GTGACTTTAAGCTGTGAAAGTGCTGGAAAGAAGTTCCCCCAACACTGAAGGAAGTAGTGCGCTTTCCTGTGCAAACTCAAACGGGATCCCTTAGTGAAGCCCACCCCAGAGGGGCAGAAAGGATTTGACCTGGATGTCAGCACGGAGTGAGTGGGGTTCTCCTCCGTCACCAGGGAGTCAGGACTGAGAAGGCAAGCCTGACTGCCTGGTGTGTTAAGACAACAAGACACAAGTCCTGCAGGGCTCTTCCAGAGAAGCCCTGCGTTTCAGCACTCCTTTTGGACATTCCCAATATGATAAAATGTTTTCTCCCTGCTCCCCCTCAGTCTGATGGGAAATCTACTTCCCCTCAGCAGCAGCAGGGTCCTGCCTGGAGGAGGGGTCAGGCTGCGAGATCCACGAAGATGGCATTGGCAGTGGTCTGTCCGAAGATGAAGGCTCCAAGGGTGACCATGAATACCCCGTAGCCAACCTGGGCCCACCAGCTGTGGATGCACACGAATGGGCTGCACTTAGAGGGGGACCTTTATGCCCAAATCCCACAGGAAAAGCAGGGAGAGGGGAAGCTCATTACCTGACTGCTCTGGTTTCTTGGATCTCGGAGAGTTTGGCTTGAATCAGGCAGAGCCCTGAGAGGGACAGGAGGCACATTAAACCCAGACAAAGACTGAGCAGATGCCCTGCAGACCAGGGAGCTGAACTGAGCTCCACTGAGGCAAGGGGAGGGCGAACACGTCCTCTCCTGTTTCTCTTTGCCTTTTTCCACCTACAGGGGATGAGCTACAGTCCAACCCCAACCAATTCCCAGCCTGCTCTGGAAAGGGGCAGAGCATGCTGCTGCCTGATGAGATAGTTTTCCTTCAGCCCGTTCTCACCTAGCCCACTGCTTCTCCCATGCTCCCAGTCCTAGACAAGAGACAGCAGTCAAAACCAGTTGGTCCTCTTTCTCTAAAGGTCTCCTAGCTCCTATGTTCCCATCCCACCCCCTCCCTCTTTGCAATACAAGGCCATGAGACCTCCACCAACCATGGAGCATCCCAGGATGTACCTGGGAAGACAAAGATGAAGCAGGCAGCCAAGCCTCCAATGACAGAGATGACTTTGCCAATATCAGGGATGAACAGAGCCAGGAGGAGAGTCAGAAGGAACCAGCTAATGGTCTGCAGCAGGCGTCTCCTCCGCTCCCGAACCACGTCCTCCTCCACTGTCACTCCGGTGTAGCGGAGCCAGAGGCCTTCCAGAACAGCCCTGTGGGCACAGAGCCATGGGAAGGAAGGAGGGTTTCCAGCAGTGCCCCCATGCCTGCGCCAGCCCCACTGCCTTTCCTCACTCACCGGCCACAGAAGTGCAGGATGGGGTAAGATGTCAGCACGCACAGGATGATGAAGGCCCGAGCGAGGGCAACGGGGATGTCATTGGAGGGGTAGGAAAGCAACACATCCTGGTCCACGCTGGCCCCAAAGGTCAGGAAGCCACAGACACCTGCCAGGGAAGGGCATGCTCAGCAGGGATCAGGGAAAGACCCTCCTGGATGTGTGTTCAAGGTACCTCTGCTGACCCAAGCGTCTGTCCCCAGGAGCTCATAGCTCCTCCCAGGACCACGCAAGCCACCATGGGGTCCCCTCACTTACCAGTGCCAGTATAGACAAAGAGAGCAATCACCATGGCTGCTGTCACCACTGCTCCCCATGTCTTCACCTCTGGCTGCTTCATGCTGTTAAAGACAGGCACGCTGCTCACGTGGCACTGCCAGAGACATGAAAAGAGCGAGGGGACACGTTATGGGATGAGCCAGAGCAGCAGGGAGATGCACAGGATCCTGTGTGCTGCTCAAAGCTACCTGGAATCCAAAGCAGATGGTGGGCATGGCATTGAACACGGCCATCCAGGTGGAGGGGCTGGGGAGAGAAACGGCCACCAGTCAGAGTAGGGGCATGTGGGAAGTGTTTGTTCCTCTGCTGACCTGCCCCCAACTCAGCCACCAATTGCTCCCACCTGGGACAGAGCTTTTGCATGGATAAAGGTTTTCCTGGGATCAAAAATAAAAGAATTGCTAAAAAAAAAAAGAAAAAATAAGGATTAATTTGGGCAGTAAAAAAAACTAATCTGAACTGTGCTCTGCCCTAAAATTCCTGGGGCAGCCATGCCTGCCCACACTGGGTTCAGAAATAGTCCCATACTGTGAAGGAAAGGAAAGCCAGACAGGCAAAGGAAATAACCAAAAATCACCCCAAAGGAGACCCAGATCTCTCCTTTCTGAGGTTTGATGCAGCTGTAGCAGAGCTAAAAGTGAATTGTTCTCCTCAAATCCTGTGCTGGAGGACTGGAAATCCAGCTGAGACCATCAGCATCACATCTCTTGCACGCACCTGGTAGGAATCTCCACAGGCACAAGCTCCTTGTCAGGCCAGATGTACTTGATGATGATGACTGCGGTGACATACCACGTGCCAATCACACTCAGAGAGCTGCAGGAGGGGACAGCAAGCCATCAGCATCCTGCCTCCCAGCTCTGAGGATGTCTGAGGGTCTCCTCCCAACATCTCCAGCCCCATCGCTCTGCTTGCACAGCCTGGGCCATCCCAACCCCTACAACCAGGATGATCCCTGCTCTTCTCTTTCCCCAAGGAAGACACCAGGTGCTGTCACTCACTCTCCCCAGATCACCCCCCCAGCCCTGCAGGGCTCTCCTACCCACCTGGCATATTTCTGGAAGCCAATCTCCTTGGGGATGGAGAGGGGTAGGATGAGGAGGAAGGCAGTGATGCTGATGGTGAACTTGCGGTCCGTGTACCAGCGGCTGCTCCCTGCTTCCTCAGGCTCCGTCACCAGAGCAGCAATGACTGTGGGCAGACATAAGGTCATAGAATCACAGGATCATTTTGGTTGGAAAAGATCACTAAGATCACCACACCCAACCCCAATCCATCCCCCCCAAGCCACGTTGCTCAGCGCCACATCTACCCAAAGGATCACATCCTTCCCCCTTTCCAGAAGAAGGGATACAACCCATTGCTCCTTGGGCCACTCACTCTTGTCCTCCTGGTCTCCAATGATGATGAGGAAAGCGATGCAGGTGCCAAAGGTGTAAACGGCGATGGCTACCTCACACAGCACACCTGGCACCTTCCCACACACCGCCCACACCACCTCTTGGTACGTCCGTTCATTGCTGGCCTGCGAGCAGTACGCCAGGATCACCAGTCCTCCGATGATGAAGATCAGCATGCACTGGGGTAAGGGAAGAGACAGGGAGGGGACAAAGTGAGGCAGCAGCAAGCCGACGTTCCCAAAGCCACCCCAAAACACACGCAACATCCCTGCTGCTCCTCAGAAGTCCGAACCTCTGCTTCACCTGAGGGGTTTCCACCCAGGATCTCCTCCTCCCCACGGCCCCTACATGGAGCTCCACGTCCCCCCCAGCTCCTCCAGACGTGGGACAAGGGCTGTCCCACCCCAGCTCTCACCATCTGCAGCGCGATGCCCGCAGCCACGCCGCCAGCCATGTTGAAGGCAGCGGGGAAGTTGAGCAGCCCGGCCCCAAGAGCCGCATTCACCACGATGAACACCGCGCCCAGCGCCGACGTGGCCCCGGCTCCGTTCCCTTGGCTCTCCCCGCTCTTCGGCACCGCTTCCACGCTGGGGCTCTGCAGGAGCCTGGCCCGTTCCCCGGCATCGGCGCTCCATTCCCAGTCCCTGTAGTCAGTGTTGATGCTCCCGGCGGCCTGAGCCATCCTCCTGCCGGCAGGGCCTGCTCCTCCCAGCTGTGTATCCTGCTAGCGCTCCCGCACCGGGGTCAGCCGAATGCCGTGGGGCAGCATTGGCTCCATCGGGTTTGGCGACAGCAAACAGCCAGGCTGTCACTGCTGGAAAGGGCTGGAGGAGAACATGAGGCTGCTGAGGATCCTCCAGTACCCCTACAGCCTCTGTTAGAGAGAGACAACGGGGTAGGGCACAAGGACAGCGAGTGCCCTACAGCGCACACATGCTCCAGGGAAGGAGAGCTCACCTCTGCCTCGCTGGGTTCACGGGACGCACGTTGCTGCGGGCACGAGCCCTGCTGAGCTTCCTGAATTCCAGCCCCAATTTCTGCAAGCTCTGCAGAAGCTGCTACACACGTGCTGCGGGGTAAAGGTCAGGGCCGGGCTCAGCGAGACCCGCAACGACCACCGCAGCGCACGCCCGGCGCGGGGCGCACATCGCTGCGGGAACGGCCGCGCGGTGCCCCCGGCCAGCCGCCCCGTCCCCGCGCACCGCCACGCAGCGCGGACGGAGGCCGGCGGGGCTCGGGGGGGAACCCGCACGGCCCAGGGGAACCGCCGGGCCTCCCGCACGGACCGCGTTTAACCCGGAGGCACGACGGGCGGCCCCCGCGCCCAGGCTGCACCCTACGGGAACCCCCAGCCCCCGCCGGACCCAACGGGACCCCCCCGCTCACCCGGGCGGGGCGATCTCTCTCTGCGGTCCGGAGCCGCCTCCCGAAGCCGTGCCCACGCCCGTCCCTCCCCCCGCCGGGGCCGCACCGCTTTCTCTCCCCGCCCCGCCGCTCACCGCAACCGCGCCGGCGCCGCCCGCCCCGCGCTACGCCCCCCGAGCGGCTCCGGATCGGATTGAAAATCAGAGCGGAGCAATGAATGCAGTGAGCGCTCCAGGCTCACTGGATGGGACCTGGGGACAGCCAGCCTGCGGCAGGGCTCGGGGCTGGGTGAGCTTTGAGGTCCCTCCCAACTTCAGCCATTCTCTGATGTGCAGAGCAGCCCGTACTCTCATCTGTAAAATGAGACGATGGTTTTTGCATGGCCAGCTCTCAGAGCGCCCTCGGGATCCTTCCCTCCTGCATCACCTCCTTAGCATCACCAGCCCTTGAGATGAAGGGAGTGGATGAGGTGGATGCCACTGCATCCCCAGGTCAGGTTGGATACAGCCCAGCTGAGCTGGGCTCACAGGGCTGATGGGATGGGGGTACAGGGGTTGGGGAGACACACAGAGCCCACAGAAAGCAGTTTTCAGAAGGAGTTCTTATTGAGGGGCAAGAAATCATTTGACCTCAGAGCATGGGAGCAGAGGTTGAGAGCAGTGACAGGAGTCTGTCACACACACACACACACCAATGCCACTGTGAATGACACCTGAAAAAGTTCCAGATGGAAACAACAAAGCCCACAATGGAGCACATTTTAGTAGTGACAAGTCCTCAGAGCCTTTACACTCCTTGTTAGACAGCAGCTTCAGCACTGCCCACCACCAGACTAAGCCCAAGTCCAGCAGCAGAGGATGGAGGAGGACAGAGCCTGCAGGCAGCAGGGATAGACTGAGTGCAGGCCACCAGATGAACCCAAACATCCCACCTCCCAGCCCACCCTGCTCCCTGCCTGCTGTTGTTGGGGTGAGCAGCCTGGTAAAGCCTTCTCGTGGAGAAACAAGCACAGGGATGCCTTTGGTGTGTACGCTGGTAGGACGCAGAGCAGTCAGAGCAGTAACCTACTCCCTCCAGTGCAGATGGGTGTTGGGGCTGATGGACAAAGGACAAGCAGCAGGAGAGAATGGCCATGATGACAGGGAGCCAGCAATTATGTCCTTGCTCCACAGCGTGGTGCAATTTGGACTAGAGGCTTCTACAGCAACTCATCTACATGATACATTCAGCAGCGGCATTAAGTGCTGTGGTTGGAAGTGTTCTCCTTCCTCCCTTTCCCTCCCCTTCTTTGACTGATGGGGAAGCAGCTCCAGGGCACACCTTTGTCTTTACTTTGTGACTTGATGGATGGCATGAGCCAGGTAGCCTACATTGCTGGATGCAACTCCTGCCACAGAGATTCGGCCGTCCTTTGTCATATAGATGGAGAACTCCTTTGTCAGCCGCTCCACCTGGGACGAAAGAGCAGAGTTCAAATTAAAGCCCTATCTCTATTCTCTTGGTGGAGTGTGAATTTATACAGCTTGCTGGAACTGAACATAAGCTGGGTGCCAGCAGAACCACCATCCAACCATCTGCAGAGCTCCAGGAAAGCAAGAGCTTCCACTCAGCTCTTGGGCAATGTGCAAACCCAGCAGATGTTCAGCCAGGAGTCACCTCAGAGTGGCACTAAGTGACTGCTAGATAAGCAGGATACATTTGCTTTCAACCTCTACAAGAACATCAGGAAGCAGAGCAAGACATGGGACCCCCACGATACTCCAGTTCTGCAGGTTGGGAAGATGTTCCTCTTTGAGAAGCCCTGCCCCCGTGGGCTCATTCTGGCACCAGCACTCTGTATCTTTCTGACAAGTAACACAGACAACACCTCAAGAAGAACCGTGTTTACCTGCTCAGGCTTCAGCCCCGTGAAGCAAAACATGCCAATCTGGTCAGTGATGTGCTGCCAGTTGTGGGAAGATCCCTCTTTCTTGAGGTTGGACACCAGCTGAGTCCTCATGCTGATGATCCGGTCAGCCATGCTCTTCACCTCCACCAGCCTGACAAGTCAACCCAGTTACTGCTCAGAGCACAGCAGGGATGTGCCAACTCAACTCCCTCCTGAGCTACCCAGGAAGCAAACTGCCTCCAACTGCAGGAGCCCTGCACCTCAAAAGCACAGTGTGCCATCAGAGTCCACAGCCAACCATGGAATGGTCACACAGCCATAACCACAGCTGAGAAAAGCCCATGAACTGTGAACCTTTTGCTTTGGCTGGACAACTGCTTATTTATTCCACTGCTGTTGGATGCTATTACCAGAGTCTTGGCAGCTCTCACTTCTGAAAGATCTGGGAGAGCTGGAGGCTCCTGGCAGCACTGCCCAAAGCCCACATAAAATAGTATCTGGGGAGAACTAAGGGCACCCCCCAGTGCAGGCAGACAGCCTCTGCTCCAATGCAGTGCAGCTGGGAGACATCTCTGCTGGATCATACAAGGTGTCAGCCTGCCAAAGCAGTGTGGCCATAACACACAGCCAGCCTTTGTTCTGCACAGCCAGCTGCTGGAGCAGCACGGGCTGGCACCAGGAAGCAGGCTTACGGCACCAGGGTGACATTCCTGTGTTTTAATTCTCAAGGGGCTTAAGCTTCTACTTCCCCTAAAGTGAAACACAGCCGCAATGCCTCAGTTGGTTTTTTTTGCACTCCTTCAATTAGCAGCTCCAGCAGCCTTCAATCCTAGGGAAGCTTTATCCTCCCACCCCCTCGAGTGTTCTCTGCCTCAGCAGTGCAAAGAAAACCCTTACATGCCAGGCCAGACTGATAGTAGTTCATGCAATCAGATCTGGGTGGGGATTTCCCTAGAGGAAAGCAGTAGCATGCTCTGGCTACTCACGCTTAGTTCAGGCTCTGGCTGTAGCCTGAACTAAGAGCTGCCCACAATGCAGCAAGCACAACACAAGGCTACCACAGAGAGACCATGCCTTGCTGCTGTGAGCATTAGGAGCCCCCTCTTACCACTCCTTCCGTAGGTCAGGGGTGTTCAGGATGAGGGAGGCGATGCGGGCTCCATTTATGGGTGGGTTGGAGTACATGGGACGGATGAGGATCTTCAGCTGTGATTCAACTCTCTTGGCCTCCTCTGCATCACGGCAGATCACCGTGAAGGCGCCCGCACGCTCTCCTGAAACAGAGGCTGTCAGGTCCCAGCTTCTGCTCAAGGATACCCAGGGCTGGGGCAGAGCTCCTCCATGGAAAGACCTCCACCAGCTCCCAAGGGCTTCCTCCTGTGCTCAGTTCCATGCTACAGGCTGAGCACAGGCAGCAGTTAGAACTGGGAGAACACAAAGCATCTCCACCAGGACACCCACCGCTAATCCAGCCTGGAAGAGATCTTCCACCCCACCCACCCAACTCACCGTACAGCCCCATGTTCTTGGCATAGGACTGTGACAGCACGACGTCGATGCCCTGCTCAATGAAGTGCCGCACAGCCCAGGCATCTCTGTTGATGTCCCCGCTGGCAAAGCCCTGGTAGGCCATGTCAAAGTACACGAGGAGGTTCCGTTTCTGCCAGCAAAGAAGCAACAGTGTGACAGAGTACCCAGATGAAGCTTGCAAGGAGACACCAGGCATGTGAAAGATCTTCCTGCATTTTTAATATGTGAGTATTGGGAGACTCCCCTTGAACTATCACTGCTCGCTCTCTTCACAGAGCTCCCTCCACCACCTTCCCAAAAGGCACCAGCAGAAAGCCTGCTGCTCAGACAGGAGCTTTATGGGTGCCTTTGTCTGGCTCCTGCCTTCAGCACAGGAACTCCAGGGCAGGGAGCAGCCTGTAACTTGGTGATGACCAGATGTTACGCATTAAAGTACAGAGATGTGGTTTTCCTATGAAATAAATGTACAGCATCCCCAGGACACCCTCATGCTCACCTTCACCACGGATGCCAACTCCTTCCATTGCTCCTGCCGGGGATCCACTCCAGTGGGGTTGTGAGCACATGCATGCAAGAGGATGATGCTCTTCTCTGGAATTTTCTAAGAAAGACATTACAATGAGTGATTAAAACATCTGAGCACTCTCCTCAGCTGCTAAGGTGAGACTGTTGCCCCAAGATGGTTTAGATGAGATCTGCAGAGCCACAATTCAGTGTCATCGGGCTCCTCACCATGTTTAGGTGAATAAAAGCAGCTTGCCCTTTTCCCGACATCACCTCCCTGCTTCCTGGCATGGAAAGCAACTCACAGAAATGTCCTCCATGGCACCCGTAAAGTCCAGGCTACACGTTTTGGGGTCGTAGTAGCGATAAGCCTGAAGCTGCAGGCCGGCATCACGAAAAATGGGTGTGTGATTGCCCCAGGATGGTTTGGGTAGATAAACATCACGGCTAAACTTGAAGAACCGTTGCTGACGAAGAAAAAGACACGGTGTTCAAACAGACTGGACAGATTCAAGCAGACAGAGAAAACCAAAGATTAAGTTCTTTTCAAAGGATGTTCCTTCCTTCCCCACCCAGCCACTCACCAAAAAATTGGCTCCAATTCGCAGAGATCCAGTCCCAGAAATACCTTGCACAGTAACATACTGCAAGGGAAGAAGAACAGAAGGCTCTGAGCAGATGCAGTAGGATACAGGGAACAGCCCAACCATCACAGCAGCATTTGCAGCTGCACGGCCCTGTGGCTGCACACCCAAACAGGGACACAGGGCTGGAGGGGCAGGCATCAGCAACTCCTGTTGCAGGGCAGAGAGTTGGACCCCTGGCAAGGGTCTGACCCCACGGTGGGAAGGACTGCTTGCTGAGGAAGCAGTTATCCTTGGGCGAGCCTGCCAGCAGCTCTGCTGGGACCCACACCAGCCTCTCTGCTTCTGCTGGGTGCCCACACAGTGACCACATGTCTCAGTGCTGCCCACCCACTGCTCCCCAGCCCGCTCCTCACCCGGCCACTCTTGAAGGCCTCACTGTTTTCACCAAGCGCAAGTTCTGCTGATGCTCGAGTGAAATCTGCCAGCCCTGCAATGGGCAAGTACTCCTTGTCCATCTTCTTAGATGCTATCATGGCCTCTGCCTGGAAAGGAGGACACACATTCAGCACAGGAAGCATTACTGTGGTGAGGACGGTGGCCAGCTCAATGTTGCTTCTCTTCACATTTGCTCACTCAAAAGGGACAAAGTTTGGCTGACAGGAGCTTCCCTCCAGAGACCATAGCCCAGCAAAGCTGGGGCAGCAGTACACATCTGGTGACACTCAGCTTTTACCACAGGCACCAGATCCACAGAGGGTGTTAGTATTGGGTGTTAGTATCAGACTGGCAGAGCCAGGGAATTGGGTGCCACTTCTGGCCCACTGTGAGTTAATGCTGCTGCATAGAGACACATGTTTCTTTGCCCAAGCTGGAATTGTCCTGCCGGACTGGGAGACTCAAATATTATGGAGGAGCAGAAAATGTCTGCTCTGGGAACCCTGCCTGTAGCCCCAGGGCAACAGGACAAAGCATCAAAAAGCTCCTCCTGTGACACCACCCAGGCTGCCTGGTTGTGACACAGCTGCAGCACGTGCCAACCCAGGAAATGGAGGGCAAAGAATGGCTTTAAATCTCAAGCCAATAAGATCCAAGGACAACACATCCTCCCTACATCAAGACCAGCCAGTCGATGCGCACTTCAGCTGGCAGCTATTTCTAACAGCCTGTTTCTACACACAGAGCCCCAAAAGGCTCCATAATCCCCTCAAAGGCAGTGTCCACAGCCAGCTCCTTGGGCTGGAGTCTTAGGGCTTAAGGACAAGCTGGTAACAAAGACTCAGCAGAATTTTTAAGACTAATCCAGTAAGGGGACAACGTCAGCTCCTCCATCCCATGTGGGCCAGCCCAGGGAATGCCAGTTTATTCAAGAAAAGCCTTGAGGCTCAAAGGACAGCTGGGTTCAAGGACTGCTGTCAGTCAGCAATAAGTTAGATTTCCCTGGATGGGAATGGGACACACATTGGGTTTATCCCATACTGCTTCACAGCTGGCTGTATTGTGTCTCTAAAGCACTGGCACTGCTAACAGAAACTGCCCTGCTCTGGGGCCAGGCTCACCTTGCGAACGCAGTTCAGGACGTATGGCTTCCCGTTGTCATCCCGGTAGGCTCCCACACCCAGGTTCATCTTCTTGGAGTTGGTGTCACGCTTGAAAGCTTCGGTCACCCCCAGGATAGGGTCGGGGGGACCCATCTCCACATGGGACCACCATGAGCTGAAGGGAAAAAAGTTCAGAATCAGGCTGGAGAAGTGGAGATGGTGCTGTGCCCTGCAGCTTTCGGGTTTCTGGATCATTTGTGAAGGGGACACAAGCAAGAGTGCTGTGGCTCTGGTTGGGCAGAGGGGACATGAGACCCAGTGTGTCACCTCTCAGATGGGCACAAAGAGCAACACCTTCATGTGCACCTCGACAGGACACATAGTAGAGAGAAAAGCTCAAGGGGAATCCTGTCTTTAAGCCACACTAAAAGGCACAGGCAGTGCCTGTGGAGGATCATCCACACGAGCTGGCACTGCATTTTACTTGGCAGAATGGGCAAATAGCCTTAGTGCATTGAGCCTGAAGACGTCTGGCTGCCTCCAAGCCACCAAAAGGTAGGAGTGGCTCTGCTTTCTCCATGTGCTGACAGAAGCATGTCAGCCCTAAAACTGCTGCCAGCTCCTCACGGCCCACAGGCTGCAGGTCAGTCCCACCCAGGGCACCTCAGCCAGATGCAGGCAATCATAGAATGGCCTGGGTTGAAAAGGACCACAGTGCTCATCCAGTTCCAACCCCCTGCTGTGTGCAGGGTCACCAACCAGCAGCCCAGGCTGCCCAGAGCCACATCCAGCCTGGCCTTGATTGCCTCCAGGGATGGGGCATCCACAGCCTCCTTGGGCAACCTGTTCCAGTGCCTCACCACCCTCTGGGTGAAAAACTTCCTCCTAATATCCAACCTAAACCTCCCCTGTCTCAGTTTAAAACCATTTCCCTTTGCACAAAGTCCTTTTGCACAACGCAATTCTTCCAAACATCTAGAAGGGCTGTTTTCCCTGCCACTATTGGCTACTAATGGATATCTCTCTTCCCTGCCCCGCTCCAGGACAGATACTGGAGCCAAATGCTGTTCTTCTGGAAGTAGCACAGGATGTCTTCTCCCCCTCACAAGGACTGACAAGCTCCAAAGCAAAGGCGTGCTTCCTTGCAGCCAAGCACAAGCCCTGCTCACGTCAGCAGGAGTCCCATGAGCCACCTGCCCTGTTGGCATGGCATCCCGAAGGCACAGAACTTCTCTGAATGTCAACAACAGCACATCAGACCACGCTATAAAAATAAATCTGTCATCCCAGTCCCACGTTCAGGCCTGTGCAGTGCACAAAGAGAGGTGGTTTTGCAGCAGCCCCAACCTGCAGGCAGGACTGCTTTGGGTTGGAAGGGAAAGGATGACTTCACGCAGCTCCGGCCATCCTGACGCACGGCATCATGCAGACTCCCTGCTTGGTGAGGCATGCAGCACAGCACATCTCAGCTTTTAGCTCCACTGGAACAGGATTCAGCCTTCAGAGCTAAAGGAGAAACCCAGCAAGCCAGCTCCCGTACCTAATACTGCCCCGTGACAGCTTTCCAGCCTGGAAGGGATAACATTACATGGGAACGCTGCCCAGGTAGAAGCAGGCAGTTTGGGTGCCAGCATGACCAGCAGAACACCCAAAGCCATTTCTCCTCCCACTCAGTCCATTTTAGGTCTCTCTGACCCAGTCCCATTACAACACCAACATGCTTATGCATGCAGGCTGCTCCTCATCACAGCCCAAAGCTCACTGCCCTGCCCTGCTTCTTCCCAGCATCACAGCACTTCCAAACAAAATGCCTCTGCTTCTATTCCTGGAAAAAAGGCAGTTAGCACATCCAAGGCAGTGACACCTCAGGAAGTTTAAAAATGGAAGATGCTAAGACCGCTAAGCATAGAGGTAATTAAGACTCGTTAAGTACAGGAGGATGAGTCAGTGGTGCCACCAACACGCTGGCCCTGCGGTGCAGCCGCTGTGTGTGTGGTTGGGTATCAGGGCTGCCCTTCAGCCAGGCAGCTCACAAGAGGCTCACCGTGTTTGAGCTCCCAATCCTGCAAACACTTAAGCACGTCACTGGCTCCAACGTGGACTGCTGCAATTACTGCTGATCCTGCTGGCATTTACCTAAGCTCCAGCACCCCAGAGTTAAGAGCTTTCATCCTGAGCCTTTCTATCAGCTTAGGGAAGGTTTAGGGCTGATTTTCCCCTTCTTGGCTTGAGGATTTTGGGGTGAAGGCAACAGAATGACTCCTTTGCTGCTTTTGGAGAGCTGAGCTGGCAGGGAAAAGGGGAAACAGGAGAGAATAGTCCATGCTGGGTTCTTCAAACACATCACAACACCCAGGAGAGCAGAGCCAAAGCTTTCCCAAACCCCGACATATTGCTACCCCTACGTCCCTGTAACATGCTGTCACTGCACTGCCTCCCACTCCATTTCTGGCAATTAAATGAGCACTGGTCTCAAATAAAGGTCAAAGTTATAAACTGCACAACCTCTCTGCCCACACATCAGGGCTGGAGGCACTTCAGTGCCGAAACCCAAGCCAAAACAAGCTGAAGCTACAGCTGCACTACCTAAGAGACATCCATTGTGAGCAGAACGTGTTTCCATCCACTTCTGGACACAAGGAAGTCAGTACTGGGATGCAAAGCAGAGCTCTTGTTTCCAGAAGCCTTCTGCCTTTTGGTTTGGTCAGGAACCTCATCAACCAGCAGCACTCGTTAGAAGTATATGTGGAATGTGTAGCTCATGGGCTCAGGCAGGCACACAAAGCAGCTTTCCTATGGGCGAGCAAGCACTCACAGGTTTCCTTCCTTGGGGGCCCATCCCCACAGCAGATGGATCCCAAAGCCTCTGCCAAATCCCTGCAGCAGCTCTGCAAGCCCAAGCAGGGTGGAGAGGCCAAAGACCAGAACAAATATTTGCAAGGGAACAACACCAAAAGGCTGCAAGCCTGAAGGGCTGCTGGCCCAGAGGCTGCAGAAAGCCGCCCATCAAATAAAGGCATTTACAGCAGCCGTCTGCTGATCCTCTAGGGCTGAGCATTGCCCGTCCCTGATGCACTTCCGTGTACCAAAGGAGTGCTTTAACTGCTCTGGATCTCACCGCCTCTGTCCTGATTTCAGGGTGCCTCCACCTGAGCACATTAAAGTGAAATTAATGAAGATAAGCAAACAGAAAACTGCTGAGCATCCATGTGCACAACACACGCTGCACAGAACAGCTGGAGCTGCACAAAGGCTCCTAACCTACAGCAGAGCTGGCATGGCCAGCATTGCTTTCAGGTGACCTAGATCCAATTTGTTAATTTGCAGCTGTGCAGTGAACCTGAGCAAAGGAAAGCTACGGCCAGGAGGCTGCTACAGGGTGGGCACAGGACCAAGGGGTCCAAGGGCACAACCCAGACACAATTGTAGGCTACTACAGAGCAAGCACAGCATCAAGAGGTCTAAGGGCACAACCCACAGACGCAATAGCTGTTGATAAGAGCCAGAATGCAGCGTCTGGAGTAGCTGGGACTGGGGGCATTCATCTCACCAGGCAGCGAGGAGCTGTGCAGGGCAGAATGGGGTAAATAAGCACCTAACAGTCTTCTGCATCTGCTGCAGTGAGGAAACTTTGCTTTCCTCACTGCCCCAGGCAGGGAATGGCTTCCCGCAGCCCACTAAGGCCAGCACAGATCAGGAGACTTCATCCTGAACAGCAGCAAGGCTCAGATCCTCCAGCATGTGCTGCTTCTCAGCCACAGGACCAAGGAATCTGAGCACACAACCCACAGATGCAATACACCCAGATGAAAGCCTGAACACCACAGCAGGAGCAGCACTGCATGCAGCTCCTCGTAGGGTTCCAGCTGTGCCCTGCATCCTCGTGTCCATCCCTGTCTTCAGGTCCATGTCCCTGTGTTCAACCCCAGTCTCTGGTCCATACCTCAGTCCCCATGTTCATCCCCACCCTCGTATCCATATCCCTGCCCCTGTGTCCCCTGGCCTCATGCTCATACCTCAGATCCCAAGTCCCTTGGACCCATGTCCATTGGCCCTATGTCCAGATCCCTGCCCCTGTGTCCCCTGGCCTCATGCTCATACCTTAGATCCCAAGTCCCTTGGCCCCATGTGCATGTATCCCTGTCCCCATGTCCATATCCCTGTCCCTATGTCCCTTGGCCTCATGCCCACATCCCAGTCCCAGTGTCCCTTGGCCCTATGTCCCTATCCCTGACTCCATGTCCCTTGGCCCCATGTCCATATCCCTGGCCCCATATCTCTTGGCTCCACATCCATATCCTTGGCCCCATGTCCAAATCCCAGTCCCTGTGTCCCCTGGCCTCATGCCTGCATCCCAGAACTCGTGTCCCTTGGGCCCATATCTATACCACTGTCCCCACATCCCTTGGTCCCATGTCCACATCCCAGTCCCCACGTCCCCCTGTCCAGGTATCCATCCCTGTCCCTATGTCCATACCCACGTCCCTGTCCCGGTGCCCCCACACCTCACATCCATATCCCTGTCACATCCCTGTGTCTCCTGGCCCCCTTTCCATTCCTATCCCCACATTCCTGTCCCACGGTCCCACAACAGAACCCTCCCCCCATCGCTCCCCCCCCACGCGCCCTCCACGGCGGCTCCTCAAGGGCAGCGGAGGGAAGCGGGGGGGGGCGGGGGGCGCCGAGCCGCAGCCAATCAGAACGCGCGCCCCCCGACTCGCTTCGCCCGCCGGCCAATCAGCGCGCCGTCCCCACGGCAACCCCCTTCCCGCCCCCGAGCCCCACAGAACCGGGACGGGTCCCCCGGCCGCAGGGACACGCTCCCTTCTCGGGAAGGACCCCTCTCGAGGCCCCCCCCTCCAGCCTAACGGCACTGATGTCGCTCCCGGGGCCTGAGCCGCCGTCAGCCCTCACCTGGCGCGGGCGGTGGCGGCGGCGCGAAGCGGGGCGCCGAGGAGGAGGCGGCGGCTCTGCAGCAGCGCCATGGCGGCAGCGTGCGGATGGCTGTGAGTGCGGCGCCGGCCCTGCTCAGCTCCGCCCCGCGCATGCGCCTTTCAACGCGCTTCGCCTAAGAGCGCCCCCTGGCGGCCGGGAGGGCTCCGTGCGTCGCGCCCAGCAGCGGGCAGGGCGTGGGGTTGTGCGGGGTTACACTGGGGTGTGCTGAGCAGTACCGGGCTGTGCTGGGCTCTGAACGGTTCGTTCGGGATTGTACTGAATCATGCCGGGCTGTACGAGATTGTACTGTGTCATACTGGGCCGTACAGAGCTGTACTGCATCATGCTCGGCCATGCTAGGCTGCACTGTACTGGGTCATACTGGGCTGTACTGGACCATACTGGGCTGTACGGGGTCATACTGGGCTGTACTGGGCCATACTGGGCTGTACTGGACCATATTGGGCTGTACTGACCATACTGGGCTGTACGGGGTCATACTGGGCTGTACTGGGTCATACTGGGCTGTACGGGGTCATACTGGGCTGTACTGGACCATATTGGGCTGTACTGGGCCATACTGGGCTGTGCTGGGTCATACTGGGCTGTACTGACCATACTGGGCTGTACTGACCATACTGGGCTGTACTGGATCATACTGGGCTTTACTGGATCATATTGGGCTGTACTGGACCATACTGGGCTGTGCTGGGTCATACTGGGCTGTACTGGACCATATTGGGCTGTATTGGGTCATACTGGGCTGTACTGACCATACTGGGCTGTACTGGATCATACTGGGCTGTACTGGGCCATACTGGGCTGTACTAGACCATACTGGGCTGTATGGGGACATACAGGACTGTATGGGGCTGTGCAGGACTACACTGCAGCATACTGAGTTATACTTGTGTTATACTGGACACACGGGTTTACGTTGCTCCATATGGGATTATACTGGGCTCTACAGGGCCATACTCCATCGTGGAGAACAGTGGTCCATGCAGGGCTGCACTGGTCCATACTGGGCTGCGGAGGGCTGTACTGCACCATACTGGGCTGCACTGCTGCATACAAGGCCACCCTGGGCTGTACAAGGTTGTACTGGAACATACTGGTCTGTACTTATCTCTGCTGTACTACACTGGACTCTGCTGGTCCATGCAGGACTCTGTTCCACCATACAAACATGGGTTGTACCAGGCAGTACAGGGACATATGGGGGTGTAAGGGACTGAACTTCAGCACGCTGGCTATACGGGGCTGCAACTTGTGTTTTACTGGGCCATACGAGTTTGTACTACACCAGAGGGGGACATATTGGGCCATACTGGTTTCTACAGTGCCATGAACTGGACCACACAGAGCACTGCTCCATGCAGGACTGTAGAGGGCTGCACTGCACCATACAGAGCTGAACTGGGGTGTATAGGGTCATACTGGGCTGCACAGGGCTGGCCTGGGTCGTATTGGTCTATTCTATACCATACAGGGCCCTACTGGGCCATGCAGCACTGTGCTTCACCATACATACATGGGCTATACCAGACAGTGTGGGGGCATATCAGGGTATGTGGGGCTGCAAAGGTCTGCCCTGCAGTGTACTGGGTCATACTGGGCTGTACTTGTGTTATACTGGGCCACATGGGTTTGCACTGCACTATATGGGGATATACTGGGCCATACTGGTACAAGAACAGTCTGGAGGCCTTCTGTGATGGAGTGATGGCATTGGTGGATAAAGGAATGGCAACTGATGTCATCTACCTGGGCCCATGCAAGGCCTTCGATACGGTCCCACACCACTCCTTATCTCCAAATTGGAGAGATATGGGTTCAAAGGGTGCTCTGTTGGGTGGGTGAGGAGTTGGTTGGAAGGTCACAGCCACAGGGTTGTGGTCAGTGGCTCAATGGCCAGCTGGAGGCTGGTGATGGGTGGTGTCCACCATGGGCTTGTCTGAGGACCAGTACTCAAATCAGTGACATAGATGATGGCATCGAATGCACGCTCAGCAAGATTATGGTTGACACGAAGCTGAGCGGTGTAGATGACACCATTAAAAGGAATCCTATCCCAGACCTGTGCAGACTCAAAAGCTGGGGCCCATGTGAATCTAATGGGATTCAACAAGGCCAAGTGCAAGGTGTTTTACTTGGGTTGGGGCAACCTCAGGCACATCTGCAGACTGGGTGAAAAACTCACTGAGAGCAGCCCTGCCAAGAAGGACCTGGGGGTCCTGGTGGATGAAAAGTGGAATGTGAGCCAGTAGTGTGTGCTGGCAGCCTGGAGGCCAACAGCATCCTGGGCTCCATCAACAGAGGGGTGATGGCAGGGGGATTGTTCCCTTCTACTCTGCCCTCCTGAACCCCCATCTGGAGTACTGTGTCCAAGACAACAGGGAATGGCTTTTATCTAACAGGAGATGCAGGTTAGATGATAAAAAGAAATCCTTCCCTCAGAGGGCAGTGAGGTGCTGCCCAGAGCTGTGGGTGCCATCCCTGGAGGTGCCCCAGGACATGGATCTGTGGGGCAGCCAGTCTATGGCAGGGTGTGCACCTGGATGGGCTGTAAGGTCCATTCCAACCCAACCACGCTGTGATTCTATGCTGCACTGCTCCACGTTGGGCTGCAGAGGGCTGTACTGTACCATACAGGGCTGCAGTGTGATGTACAAGGCCATGCAAGGCCATACAGGACTCTACTAACCCGTACTGGAGTCCCCACAAGGCTGACGTTTCGCCCTGCTCCAACAGGCACAGAAACCCCCAATGTTCCCATCAGAAAGCATCACAGAATTTAAAAAAAAAAAAAAAGAAATAGAGAAAAAACACCTCCAATGGTGCAATCACCCTTTTTTCCAACTCTTTTTTTTTTTTCTTTTTGCTCTAAATCTATTGGTTTTGCCCCACCGAGGCGGCCTCGCGGCTTTATTTGCAAATAACTCTTCTTTGGTAAACCGAGAAAAAAAAGAAATAAAACTCAACAACTCGAGAGCAAAAAAAAAACCACAAAGCGCTCCCACCTCCGAATAACGCCCGGAAATCATAAACCAACCCAAAGCCAACCAGGTGGATGGGATTAGAAAGAAAAAAAAAAAAAAAAAATCACACCCAAAGCGGGGATTTTAATGGGAAAACCGCGCCATGGGGCCGGGGATGGGGGAAGCCTACAGGGGGGGTTCGCTGCACAGCACCACCTCCAGCTCCTTGCGGTACAGCTTGCCGCCGTCCGACAGGTTCATGATGCTCCGGCGGTAGTTGGTGAGCTGCTGGATGCTCATCTCCTGCAGGGAGGTTTGGGGTGGTGGATGGGTCGCAGGGTGCCCTGGACCCCATAGGTTTGGTGCTGCCCCGTTCATCCCAGCTTACTTTCTTGTTCTTCTCGTAGAGGTCTTTCAGCAAGGCATCCAGCTCGTGCTCGTCGATGAAGCCGCTGCCGTCCTGGTGGGGTGAGTGGGAATGGGATGTGAGCCCTGAACCCACCCAGCAGCTCCCAAACCCATGGGGGGAACAGCAGGTGTCCCAAAACCATGGGGGGAACAGGAGGCGTCCCAAGGAGATGACAACATTCACCCCGACCTTCCCCCAGGGAGATCCCAACCTTCGCCTCAACCTTCCCAATGGAGATCCCAAATCTTTCACCAGAACTCTCCCCAAACCTTCTCAACCCCACGGAGAGAGCACGGATCTCCTCAAGGAGACCCCATCCCAAACCCTCTCAGTCCCATAGAGGAAACAAAAGATCTCCCCAAGGAGACCCCAACCTTCACGAGAACCTCCCAGAACCCTCTCATTCCCATGGAGAGAGCAGAGATGTCCCCTATGAGACTTCAAAGCCTTCACAGAACCTTCCCCAAATCCATTTGGTCCCACAGAGGGAGCAGACATCTCCCCAAAGAGATGTCAACCTTCACCCCAACCTTCCCCAAACCCTCCCAGCCCCATGGAGGGAAGAGATCTCCCTATGGAGACGCCATCCCAAACCTTCTCAACCCCAAGGAGGGAGCAGAGATGTGCCCAGGGAGAACCCAGCCTTTACCCAGACCTCCTCAGAATCCTGTCAGCCTCAGCTCAGTGACACAGGGCTGTTCCAAGCCGCTCTGTCCCCAGGTCCCTATTTATATTGGGGTTCCCCATGTCCTCCTCTCCCACCAGCCCCATACCTTATCATAAAAAGCAAAAATCGCGTTGAACTCCTCCGAGGACAGCTTCATCCCCTGGGCAGCGAGAGATGGGGATGTGAAGAGGCACATTGCAAGCAAGAGGTAGGAATGATTATTATAATAATAATAATTTTTTACCTGAAACTTAAGAAGGAAATTTTCTTGCACAGGCAGCAGTCTGAAAAGCAAGGGATGGATGGGGAGCAGTGAGCCGAGCTTCCCAAAAACATCACATTGGCCAGTGTGTGACCAATGCTCCCAGCCCACCCATGTCTCTGTGGCAAGGAGGGAACCTGATTTGGCCAAAATCACTCTTTTTTCCCCCATTCTTTTCTTTTCCAGGGTCAGTTTGAGCCTCAGGGCAAAGGGTGGGGACCTCAAGGAATGGGAACCCAGGGGGGTCTGGGCAGAATGATGGGCAACTGCAAGCAGCCTTTCTAGAATACAGATTTTTGTCTTTTTTCCTTAAAAAAACAACAGGTTAGTGAGGCCAGACGGGTAGCAACCTGACTCAAAACACCTCCTGTGGGTGTCTTTGGGGTTTCCTCTTCCTCCCCACCGCTCGTGGCCTTACCGGGACATCTCGGAGAGGCCCAGTTTCCCGTCCCCGTTCATATCAAACATCCGCAGCTGTTGGGACAAAAGTGGGACCGGGTCACCCCTCACCCCATCCCTCCCTCCTTCTGCAACCATGGGACCATGGAAGTCCAAAAGGCCATGTGGGGCCAAGCCCAACATCCCCACTGGCTGACACATACGATGGTCTGCGTGTACTCCTGCAGCTTGGCCTCATCGTATGGCCGGTTCGCCTTCTTCAGCAGGTCCGACAAGAAGCCCTATGAGGACAGTGCCACACCGTCCCACCGCTGTCACCTTGGGTGACAACGGGGATGACCCCATGTAGACAGCCCACCTTCAGCTCGTTGGCTTCGATGTAGCCACTGCGATCCGTGTCATACCTCCTCCATGCCTGCAAAGGGGCCACCATGGACATCACCATCAGTGGTGCCACATGGATCCCAATCCTGGTGACGACCCCACAGCATCCCAGTGGAATGGGGACATCTCCCACCCATGTCATTATGGGGACATCCCGCCCATGTCATCAGTCACCGCCTCATGCCAGCTGCTGTCCATGGTCCTACCACGGTGGGCTGGATGCTTTCCAACCCATGTTCAAATGCCACCGTCCTCACTACAACAGACCCAAAACATTTAATTATCCTCCCCAACTAAACTCTGCTTCCAGATTTGCCTCCAGCTTGGAGCCTGGAGTCAGCGCCCAAGGTGAGCATGATGGCCATACATCATCACTTCATGTCCCCAAAATCCATCTGGCTTTCGGTACCCCTACAGCAGCCCCAGCGCATCCCTAAAGCACTCAGCATGGAGGCACCGTGCTCAGCGGTCCCAAAACCCACTGCCCACCCTGCTCACCTCCATGAACTCTGAGCTGGAGCCCACATGCTGGCGGAAACACAGCAGGAAGTTCTCCTCCGTGGGCAGGATCTGGGCCAGCTGCAGGGACAGCTGGTTTCAGTGGGGCACTGCACACATCCCAGCTCTACCAGTCATCATCCCACATGACAGCGATGGCCCCACAGCCCCTTCCTCTTCCCGCATCCCTCACCTCTGCCATCTCGATTTTGCCGTCTGCATTTTTGTCATATTTGTGCATGAACTCCTTCATCTTGTCGCCCAGGCTGTCCCTCTTGGAGTCCTGCCAGCAGCAAGAAGGGTCGGGAACATTTTCCCTATCCCATCCCATCCCAGTTGCCATTCTCATCCCTGTCCTCATCCCATCCCATCTCCATCCCTATCCAATCCCCACACCCATGCCCATCCTCAACTCCATCCCACCCCCATTCCTGACGCCATCCCATCACCATCCCTGACCACATCCTCATCCACATTCCCATCCATGTCTTCATCCTCATCACCATCCTACTCCCATCTCCATTCCATCCCCATCCCATCTTCGTCTTCATCCCATCTCCATCCCACCCCATCCCTGTCCCCATCCTATCCCCCATCCCCGTCTTCATCCTCATCCTATCTCCATCTTATCTCATCCCCATTCCCATCTTCCAGGGCAGGGGATGCAGAACACGTAGCGTGGCTTGGGTGACACCAAATGGCCCAAGTGCCGTGGCCACCAGCATCCCTGCATCGCCCCAGGAGCTGATGGATGACCTGCACCTCAGTTCCTACCCCCTCCCCCTTTTCCAGAAGCCCCACAGCTCCTCTATTGCTTTTAATTAGGGCTTCCTCATTAAGGCTGGATGCCACCAGTGCAGTGGCATGCACATCCCACCCCAGCGGTGGTCCCCACATGCGGAGCTACACGGTGACCTTACCACCCCAGTGCCCTTCCTGGCACTTTCCAGCTCTTGGAAGAAGTTTTCCAGCTCTTTGCCTTCAATGTAGCCATTCCCTGGGGAGGGGGAAGAAAGGAAATGAAACCCCTGTGTGTACACACAGCAGGGATGGGACGGGGGGTCCAATGCCACCGGAGCCGCACCGGTGGGACGCTCAGGGTGTGTGCAGAGCCCTGGCCACCTCAGCATACCCCGTCCTCATCCCCAACCACTGCCCCAGAGGGTCTTCTCAGTGCCCTACAGCCCTCCTGTACATTCCCTGGGGGGCACTGAGCCCCGGGAGGGGCTGCATGGTGCTGGGCAGGGCTGTGTTTCGCTCTTTTTGCATCTTTCGGTTTTTGCATCTTTTAGTTTTTGCTCCGGTTCTTTTTGCATCTTTTGTTTTTTTTGCTCGGGTTCTTTTTGCATCTTTTTAGCTTTTGCTTTTGCTTTTTTTGCATCTTTTTAGTTTTGCCTAATTTTTCTTTTTTGCTTCTCTTTCCCCCCCTTTTTTAAAAAATTTTTTTTGCTTTTTCTTTTCACCCTCTTGCACCTTTTTTTGTTTTTCTTTGCCTTCACCCCACTTTTTCCCTTTTCCCGTCCTTTTTCCCTTTTCTCCTTTTTTTTTTTCCCCTTTCCCCCCTTTCCATCCCGCTCTCTCCCGGCAAACCACCGCACGGAACACCCCGACCCCGTCCGGGCTCTGCGCTCCGTTCCAATCGGAGCAGCACCGCAGTTCCACCTCCATACCATCCACACGGCGAGACTTCGGGACCCGCACCGAGCCCCCGCGACACCCCCAACTCTCCCCATTCCCCATCACTTCGGGTTCCCCCTCATCCCGGCTCTCACTGACCGTCGGCGTCGAAGTGCCGCCACACGTCGAGGAACTGCGAGGCGCTGAGCTCCGCCAGGTGCAGGTGCGGGGCTCGCTGCCCCGCCATCTCCCCGCCGCTGCCCGCCGCCCGCCGCCGCCCCCCGCTTTTATACCCGGCCGACCCGCGGCCGCCAGGGGGAGCGCGGCACCGCAGCGCACCGCAGCGCACCGGGCGGGGAGGGATGCGCCGCGTCATTGCCCGGCTCCTGTGCCACCTGCCCCTGCCCAGTGTCACCCAGCCCTGCCCCGTGTGCCCCCTGCCCTGTGTTAATTACCCTTACCCAGTGCCACCTGCCCAAGTCGCTTTCCCTTGCCCTATGTCACCTGCTTAATGCCGCCTACCCCCGTCCTGATACCCATCCCTACCCCATCACCTTCCCCTGCCCCGCGACACCTCTCCCTTCTCAGTGACTGCCTGTGTCATCTCTCCTTGTTTTGATGTCTACTTTTGTCCTCTGTCTCCCACCCCTGTCCTGTGTCCCCTACCCCCGTCCCATGTCACATGCTCCTATTCAGTGTGCTCTGTCCCACCCCACCTCACTTACCCCTGCCCTCTGCCACCCATCTCTTCCCACTACCCTGACCCCTGCCATATACCCCTGTCCTCCCATCACTCTGTCCCTCCCTTCTGTCACTGCATCCCTCCAGGCATCGTCACCCCCTGCCCATGTCACCTGCCCTGATCCTGGGCCATCTGCCCTCTCCCCCCTCCCCCCAGGAGGAGAATTTCTGCCCCCTCCCCCCTCTTTACACCCCCCAGACTGTGCAGGGTCAATTCCCATGGCCCAGCACACAGCATCCCGGGGCTTTTGGCACCGCTGTCCAGCGGGATGCGTTGCCATGGCTACAGGGGTGGAAAAAGATAATTCACATCCAGAGCTCTCAGCTGATGGATGTGATTAATTAATGATGGGAAGAATGCAGGGACGCTCAGCACAGGGCAGGGATGCAACCCTGGTGTCCATAGGATGCAATGGAGTGTGAGGAGCTGAAGCTCTGGGGAGTGAGTTTGGGGGTTTGGTCTGGCCCCATTGCTTTTCCTTTCTTCTCCCTTTAAAGCTTCACTCCCGACAGATGCAATATGATGTGGCCAAGAGCAACACATCCTTGCAGCGAAGACCATAGGAAAAACCAGAAAGCCCTTCGTTCAAAGGCAGATTTTTGGTAAAGAGAAATGTCTGATGGAGTTCACGTAACTTGAGGGCAAAGCACAGGTTTTTTTGGCACCTGCCCATCCTGAAACAGACCCCATTCAAGTCCTGCTGGGTTCCTTGCTAACCCCCAGCACCAGAACAGCAAACACAACAACCCCATTTCCAGGATCGTAGCAAGCTTTATTTCCCCCCTGGCGCCATTGTGCCTTTGGAAACTCATCAGCAATAAAGGCGGTTGGGCTGAAAGCACCCCAAAACCAGATGGATCCTCTCATCCATGGTAAATCCCCCCCCCTCCCTGCAGCGTGACTCCCAGGGCTCTCCCCCTCCTCATTTCAGGTTCAATATTGGGAAAAATTTCTTCTTGGACAGTGCAGTGAGGCACTGGCACATAAGGAGCTGGGGGAGTCACCATCCCTAGGGATGCCCAAGAGCCCCAGGGATGTTGGCACTGAGGGATGTGGTCTAGAGTGGTCAAAGCATGGGGTGATGGCAGAGATTGGAACTAGATGATCTTTAAGGTCCCTTCCAACCTAATCTACCTACGGCTGGACTAGGAAGTATTTCTATAGAACAATTTGGCAAAGGTAGAATTAGTCATTTGTTAGATGTCAGGACCCCATACACACAAAGCTTCACCCTAAAAGCTGCCTTACATGAAGTCTCACCCTACAGCCACCCCTGGATCCCACCACCTGCCCCTCAGGGAGGGCCAATGGTACTGGAGGAGCCCAGGCCCCCATCTCCCCAAGACAGGCTGTTGGGAGGCCTCCCTGCACACTGCAGCCCAGCCTGATGCTGCTTAATTAATGAGGCCACCTGAAATCCCAGCCTTAGCTACGGCCAACCGCACAGCTGCCTTCTGCGTGTACTCAAGAGGCTTTGTATTTACCAAGTATTAATTAGATGAACATGAAGCACCATTTTCCAGGCAGGGGGATATTAGCCAACCTCCCTCTGCCCCTGTAACAAAACAAGCACAGATTGAGATGGCTCTGAGAAGGGAGAGGGGAAAGTTGGCTGCTCAGAGAGCTGGTGCTGCCCCATCCCTGCAGACAGCCAAGGTCAGGGAATGGGGTTCTGAGCACTGATGGAGCTGTGGGTGTCCTTGCTCAGTGCAGGGAGTGGAGCAGAGGGCCTTTAAGGTCCTTTCCATCTCAAACCATCCTATAATTCTGGTGTTGCCAACATCTGCATCACTCCCAACACAGCATCATCCCTCGGCACCAACACAGAGGGCCCCAAATACCCACCCAGACAAACTCATTGAGCCACAGCATCCTTCTGTGCCCCAAGCCAAAGGGATGTCACAGTGGGCTGAAGCCTACACAGAGCGCTGGCGTGCAATTGATCCACTAAATTTAGGAAGGCAGATTGGAAGCTCTCCATGATGAGCTGGGCTGCTGGGTTCAGCCTGTGTCATTGGTGAGCAGTCAGTTCTGACAGCAGTGGGCTCGATGGAGAGCTCCAAGATAAATGAATGTAAAAAGTCACCTCATAATTACAGCTCCTGCTTCACACTCAGCCACAGTCCGACCTTTGGGGAATAATGAATAATGCACTGATATGGGGAACAGTCACCTTTCCCTCATAGCCCATCAGCATGCTGATAATGAGAGCGAGGTGGCCCCTGATGTGTCCTAGGTTCAATTTCTTCTTCAATGGAAAGCTCAATCTTTCCACAGGCCAGCAGAGGACTTTCCTAGGCCAACAAGGGAGCTGGCTACCAAAAAGGGGATCATTGTGGCAAGATTCAAAGCAAACCTCAGCATCCAACTAGCTAAAGCACAGAGACAAAGCTCAACCATCTCCTCCCAGTTGGGACATCAGAGTGGGACCATCCCAACCAGAAAGAGAAACCAACAATCTGTTCCAAACTGGAAAACCAGAATGGGACCAGCTCACCAAGGGCTCTCCCTTGGCACATCCTAGCATCCATGCGCTGTGATTCGGATGTTAAATGGTTGAGATCAGGGGGAATTTGGGCCGAGCTTGCCAATGAGGTGCACAACCAACTTCTGCAGGGCTTTGGCCTGGCCTGCTGAGACACGCAGAACATCTTCGTGGCTGGCTTTCTCCTGACTGCCATAGCTCATCACTGCTGTGTTGGTGATGAGGGACAGCCCGAGGACACACAGACCACAGTGCCGGGCCACAATCACCTCTGGCACAGTGCTCATGCCTGGGGAGGAGAGGAGCAGGATGAGTGGAGTTGGTCTGGATTCACAGCAAAACAGCTCCCTGAAAAGAGGTCGTGCCAAGGGAGATTTGGGTTGCTTATAAAGAGCAGTGAGGCACTGTCAGCTGCCCCAGAGGATGGAGGGAGTCACTGTGCCTGGAGGTGTCCCAGAGCCGTGGGGATGTGGCATGAGGGACGTGGTACAGTAGGTTGGGACTGGACTTGGGCATCTGAGAGGTACTGCAGTTGCCATCTCTGAACAGCCAGAACTCTTGTGGAGGTCTGCTTTGTAGGGAAAGGCACAGCAAGAGTTCCAGAATGTTAAAGATCATGGAAAAGCACAGTTATTTTTGATTGGGTCCCACTGAAGTGGAGCCACCAGAGTGTGGGATATGTATGTATGATTTGGAAAATAAGCAGAATATTGTGCTTGGCTCCTCATTCTAGACAGCCATAAGCACACAAACTCGCTCTGCAGGTCCATCCTAGAAGACCAAAAGGGTCAGCCTCGTGCAAGATGAGTTGTTTAACCCATTACTAAGCACCCAATTGACCCCACAAGCCTGGCCCATGCAGCTCACCCACAGCATCTGCTCCCAGGGCCTGCAGCAGGCGGCACTCGGCGATGGTCTCGTAGCAGGGACCTGCCATCATGCAGTACACCCCATCTCGGGTGAAGCCCAGGAAGCCCAGCTCCTGTGCACTCTCCATCGCCAGGCTGAACAGATCTTGGTCATAGGCATCAGACATGCAGGGGAACCTCACACCGAACCTGCAAGGCACAGAAAGGCACAGCCATGCTGATATTGCGGCCGCTGCATCCATCACAGCCCTGCAACACTCAGCCTCTGGAGGAAGGGGGAATAGTGGGGATGCCAGGCTCATCAGCACAAGCTTCTGTCCTCGTGGCATTTCTGCTAGATTGAATCCCTCGAAACCATCCGTGTGCAGAGATAACACCTGTCTGAAGGTTTAGCTTCTGTATTTGGTATTATTGGATGCTTCAAGGCTGGGTCTCTTGCTTGCTTTGTATCTCAAGACACCAACCCAGTCCTGCTCCTGACTGAGCAAATTCTTCTATTGTTTCAAGGACAGCAGAAGGAGACTGCCCAGATCAGTTCAGCACGCTGGGCCAGGTCTCTCATTCAGGCTATTAAAGCTCCTGGATGGCTTTCATGCTCCTCCTATTGAATGTTCAGAGCAGTAGCGGCTTATTTTATGTTCATAAGCACTAAAATATTACAAACAACTTTCCAGTCTAGTCTGAGGGAACAACTATTCATCAGCATGAAAATCGCTTCTTTCCTGAAGGATGCCCAGCAACGCGTTCAGGCCAATCTCTAATTTATTAAATCAAATCTGCTTGATTCTTGCCTATATTCCTTTTCCACATCACTTCATTGCCTCCAGATTTTCCTAGCTATGCTTTGATAAATCCTTCCTGGTGGCTGAGTGGGACTGGCTTTTAGAAAGAGTTTGCTCAGCTGAAGCTCGTACGAATCAGCTCACAAAGTCTTGTCGGACCTTTTGTCCATTTGGGTGCCTCCATCAGCACTACAGAACTCCCCAGGCACTGCAGTCTGCACTGAGAAGCTGCCTGTGGGAGGCAGTGAGACAGACACACTGCCTTTGAACACTGCCCAGGTGAAGTTGTTGTTTGGCTGCTGTTTGTCCTCCTGTTTCTGAGTGATTTTGCAGGTCCAGAGAGCTTCGAGCACTCCTCCATGTGGCTTCTTTGCTTTTGGTTATCCTTTCCTCCCACCTATGCCAATATCTATGAAGATTTGAAAGGAACTGTCAACTAGAAACCAGGCACACCATCGTGCTCTCTGCCAGAACTTTCTTTTTGGATGGATCCCAAGTGCCTGCCCTGCAAACATGTCCCTTTCATTAAGGTGAAGGTCCCAAGCCAATAATACATTCAACTCCTTTGTTAACTAAGCTTATGAGTGAGTTATCATCACCTTTACCACCTCCATTCCATCCTCTGGCTGTAGACATCTACTTGTCATCCAGCTTCTCTCCTGCCTGCTTGGTTAGGAGATCCTTCTTGTTGCTCTTATCTCCTTCTCATCACAGTCCACCCTCTCTCTTCCCTGCCCTGGATCCCCACTTCTCATTTTTGACTTCATTGACATCTCATGCTCCCTTCTGTGCTCAGCCCAAGTCTTCCAGCCTGGCCTGGGACCATTATAGCATTCCTAGAGTCATAGAATCATTAAGACCTCTCAGATCCCCAAGTCCAACCCCACCCCCACCATGCCCACTGCCCACATCCTTCAGTGCCACATCTCCATAGTTCTTGACCACCTCCAGGGATGGTAACTCCCCACCTTCTTGGGCAGCTGTGCCAGTGTCTCACGCCCTGAGAAGAAATTGTTCCCGATATCCAAGCTGAAACCAACCTGAAATCCAACACCTTACACTCTTTTCAACCCTACTTGGCAGCCAAGTAGGAGATCTGGCACATCCCCTCTGGTGCTATAGCCCTGCCAGTGCTGGTTGCCTTCCATTATACAATGCCTCAGGAGGGATTTAGGATATAGATTATTGGGATGAGAGATAATGGCTTTATGTTGTGTCAAAAGAGGTTCTCAGTTTGATGAGCAGGTTGCTTCCCTCTGGGAAGCTGAGTACAGCCTCCACCTCTCAGTACTTGGGGTTGAGGAACCATCTAGGGACTAGAAAAATCTAATCAGATATAGGACAGCTTGGACATCAATGTGAAGGAGATGAATGAGGACAGGAGCTGTGCTGGAGCCTGAAAACAACCCATCATGGAGAGGGTAGTGAGGTGCTGGCACTGAGAAGTATTGGTGCACCATTCCTGGAGGTGCTCAGTGCCAGGCTGGATGGAGCCCTGGGCAGCCCAATTTTGTGCCTTTAAGTGGTTGACAACCCTGCCCATGGTAGGGGATTGGATCTGGATGGATGATAGTTGAGGTCCCATCCAACCCAAGCCATTCTATGACTCTACAGAGCTGTTTTAAGGCAGTAATATTGAACCTCCATCAAACAACCTTTTGTTTTTTGGTGTTTTTTTTTTGTTTTGCTTTGCCCATTGTAGGAAGAGGAAGCTGCCTTACCTCTCATCATTTGGGCCACGCAGTGGGTTCTGCCCTCCCATGCCAAACATGCTGATGTGATCTCTAATGAGCATGATGTCCCCCACCTGGAAGTTGGGGTTCAGCCCCCCAGCAGCATTGGTGACAATCAAAATCTCCACCCCCAGGAGAAAGAAGACCCTGATGGGAAAGGTGACCTGCAGGAACCAAAGAGATACATCCTGTGAGTGTCACAAGTCTCAGCTCGGGTGTTTGGTGTTCCAGCCACATGGCCTTGGCATAGGTGGGACGAGTCAGTAAATTGAGAAGATGCAAGAATAGAAAGAAAGATGAGATCACAGTGGACCAGCAGTGCAAACAAAGCTGAAGGAGGCATTACATAGATGGTTAATTGTCCCTGTTCAATTAAATATAACGGCAGCAGAAAAAGTCATGTTGACTGTGACCAACAGCACTGGGAGTGCATGAAGGATGGGAAGACAGTGCAGAGGGTTTGGGGCAGCCTGCAGTGGCCTTCCTGGGGAGAAGGGGAGATTGTAGGCAGTCATGCTATGCAGAGAGGGGCCCCTGGGAGCCTGCAAGCAGACAAGTCCACCTTTTTTCCCTAATTTTAAATTTCTCCCTAATTTAAATAATTTTAATGTTTTTAACCATATTAAAAAACTAATTTTAAAATGAATTCCATTAAAATTCAAGCCCACATTTATTATGGTTGCACTAAGGTTAAGTAAATGCAGCACAAATAGAATATGCAGATAATTTTTTCGTCTCTGCCAAGGTCTTGCAGAGATCAAACCACTGTGCTGATTGGAGGGACTACTTATGCACACAGCCCTGGAGTTTAATTGATACACAAGCTTCTTACAGCAATGATGCGTTCTGCAAAAGCATAGAGATTGCTTTCTTAATTTCAGTTCATTCACATTAGTTTGCCTCAGCAACCCTGTCTGAAGTTGGCAATTGTTGGGAATTGGAAAAAAATATATATAAAAATCAATTTTGAGGAGTCAGGAAGGAACTAGGATGGTAGAAGGTACTCCTACAATGTTGAACAATGTAAATACTTGAATTTTCACATACGTGAGCTGGGAGAGTACATCAACTTATTCCAGCTAATGGAAAAATACCCTAAACTATACAAATGCAAAAGAAGATTAAAATAGATTATTTCTATCACTCATAGTTTTGTGGTTGCAGATTCAAACCATGATTAAAATGACTGAGCTAAACCATGAAAATAATCTGCCTTGTACAATGTATGACTCTGCCCTAGGAGCGTGGCAGAGCTATCCACAAACTGGCTGACTGCCTTTCCCTCTGAATTCCTCATTTTATCTCATTCTAGGAGGGTGAGAAAGCCATTTGTATGCTCATTGCCAGAGCTATCCTCCCACAGCTAGGTACCGAAGCACACATTAGTTTCATCTCTTGGTAAAGACCTCTTTGGTGTGTGAATGATCTTCAGAACTCACCATGCTGATGGAGTATCCCTCGTAGAAGTGGAAGCGTCCCTGCATGCAGACACACGGCCGCCCGCTCAGCTCCCCAAACACCAGCCTGCCCGTGTGCCCTGACACTGCAAAGGAACAGCAGCAACACCTTGGGGCTTCTTCTTTTTAAAGGGATTTCTCAGCTGGCTATACATCACACCTGAAATGTGGATTTCTGCTCGCTGTCAGATGGGCCAAGAACACAGCGTTCCTCAATGGACCCTGAAGGGTCACGAGATGTTAAGAACAAGCAGCCAGAGATGAATTTGCACTGACAGCCTGCAGAGGAACATCAGTTCAGGATGTTATAATTACTTGAGTTTCCTTCTGTCTAAGAAGGCTTTTCTTTTGTTTATAGAATCATCTAGGTTGGAAAGGGCCACCAAGATCACAAGCCCAACCATTCATCAATCCAATCTGCCGAGCCCCAACACTAAATTGTGTCCCTCAGTGCTACAAACACACCTCAGAGATGGGGAATCTCCGTTCCAATGCTGAACCACCAGTTCTCCCTAATGTCCTAAACCTCACCTGGTACAGCTTCAGGGAATTCATGATGAATTCAAACTTACTGAGACACGGAGGCCCTGGAGTGTTTCCACAGAAGGGAATGGAGCTGTGAGTGGTCCGAGCACAGTGCTGTGGGAGCAGCTGAGGGAATGGGATGGGTCAGTGTGGAGAAGAGGAGCTCAGGGGAGAGTTCACAGGGAAGGGATATCAGCTTCTGCTCCCAGGGAACAGCAATAGGGTGAGAGTGATGGCTTCGTGTTAAGGGTCAGGTTGGCTATTGGGAACAACTTCTCCCCAAGAGCAGTGATGCAGTGGCACAGCTGCCCAGGGATGGGGGGATTCACCATCCCTGGAGGTGTCCCAGAGCTGTAGGGATGTGGCACTGAAGGACACGGGCAGTGGGCATGGTGGGGGTGTGCTGGGATTGGACCTGGGGATCTGAGAGGCCTTTCCAACCTTTATGACTATGATGAAATCAAACTCTTCCTTGGCAATAGCACAGTTGTTAGGTTACAGCTACCACATGGATAGCACAACACGTGGTGTAGGTCTAAGCTCAAGACATTACTGACATTAGAGTTGAGATGCAGCCCTGTGAATGCACATTTTGCCTCTGAAGGACCCTGTGCCCAAAGCCAAGAGAAGTGGTAGATGTTGGTTGGAGTTACCCACATCTCTGTTGCTGCTGATGGATGGGCTGCTGTGCTTACCTGTGCTCCGTGGGAAGTGAGGGATATCCTCATAGGGAAAGACCATCTTGTGCTCCAGCATATCTGCCAGGTCTCCCAGCCCAGATCCACAGATGATGGCAATCTTTGGGCACTGAGCAGTGTGGGCACGCAACCAGTCTGCTGTTTCCTTGTACACCTCATAGCTATTTCTGCAGGAGGAGAAGAGGTCAGTGAACCTGTAACCCCATCCAAAGAATAAACTTCAAGAGATAACGGTCCTGAAAAGGCACAGAGAAAAAAAGATTTATTAAGACTAAAACGGTAGGAACTTCACTGCTATTACAGAAGATGTTTCTCTATAGCAATCACTTTTAATCTCATTTTACCCCTGGCCACAGGCAAGTTATTTGAATCCTCTCTGCCAGACTTATTTTATAGTGGAAACTGGCTAATGATACCTATATCACCCAGATGTCACAAGGCATAACAGTTCATGCTTCTGATGTGCACGAGTCTCTCCCCAGTTAGGGAAGGAATGGAAAAGCACAGTTAGTCTGAAAAACTGCAACCTGCGTGTGTACGTGAGGATATCCAACCTGGGTTGGGGAAGTACAAGGGAGAAAGGCGCAGGGGCAAGCAGCATCAACAGGGATGGGGAACCCAGCTTCGTTAAGTGTGGAGTGCCATCAGCTCCCAGGGCTTCCTTCTGGAACCAGGAACACCTCGCAGACATCCATACCTTGTGGTTTCAGTAAGGATGCTAAATGTGGATGCCTTGTTCTTCCTCTCCTCCCCCATGTGGTGGGCAGTGGGTGACACTCTCAGTCTAGTCCTGGGCATGAGGTATAATAACATGTCTATATGAAAATAGAAATTAAACCCATGAATTTAGTTCATTTTCTGTTTTAAAACAGGTATGTTCTGTTATTTTGCCAAAAATAGACCTTATCCAATGCTGGTGTTACTTCTCCTGCTTTGAATTTGTCTTTTCAGAAGAGAGACAACCTCCATGTTCAGCTCTGACAGTCCAGTATTCTTCAAACACATTAATCGCAGTTTTGAAACTCAATCAATAGAAAAAGAATCCCATAATCCTTCTTCCAATAGGACAACAAAGATACTTTCTGAAAGTCAATATCAAGGTTGATTGGAGAGTCTCTTCAAACGCAAGGTTGCTGATAGCATTTCCTGATAGCTATTTGCTCATTGCCACCCGTGAGTGGCATTGGTGGCCATACACCTGGGAGGACTCGGAGTGAACCAACATGGCCACGTGCACATGGAAGGCTGCTCTGCCTAGCAAGAGGTAACAAGGATCAGAAAAACCCCAATGTGTTACAAATTTGTGACTCCACGGGAAGAAATACCTTCTACAGCCCTGAATTGAAGTGCAGTCATTTAGCTGAGATGCTTTTCAAAGGAGAAGTCTGGAAACGAGAAAGACCTCATTTACCATAACATGTTGAATTTTCCAAGTGCACCATAAACTGTTGAAATAAGCAGAAGGTTTGAAAACGATGTTACTGAAGCCTTGAAGCCTACGCTTGACTGACGGTATGATTATCCCTTGCCCAACAACAGCTGTCCCAGGCAAAAATTAAGAGTGCTTTGCATATACCAAAGGAAAAAAAAAAAATCCCCAAATATTCCTCTGTTGGATAACTGTAACACTTATTTAGCAAAACTGCTGAATAATTGAAAGCCTTATTTAGAGGGAACAAAGAGAACTTAAACACAATACCCAAACGGATGATGTACCTGTGGCAGGCATAAGAAAAATAATGAGGTCACCAGCATCTGCTCTTTCACTCCACCACCAGTCTCTTTATTTTTGCCTTTTTTTTTTTTTTTTAAAATAACATTAACATTTAGACACTACCCCTAAAGCTCCAGAAATTTGGGGATGGAATGAATCCAATTCATTGACAGCTGAAGATAATAGGATTGACTGAACAATACAGAGTTTCAGAGGGACTTTTCCTTCCCAAGCAGGATGTTAGAACATTTCCTATCCAAATGTGCTGAAGATGCAGAGCATCATGATGCCCAAATTCATTTGCTGTGCTCACTACAAGCTTCTCTAGGGTCCCCCCATCAGTGTGACCCAGCAACTGTAGCCTCCACCCTGGATGTGCATGAGGTCTGTGCAAACTCCTTGGCAGCCTGAATTAGCACAGAGCACCAAGCCCCCTGTAGCTATTCCTTCTCACACAATGCCTGCCTAATAATAGTGCTCGGTAGCATCGCTTTGGATTAAATCACAGGATCAGCTGAAAGCACAATCCCCTTCATTGTGAGGGCTGTCATCCGCTGGAGGAACGCATCTGCTGCAGAGCACAGGACTGCCATTGATGACATCTTTTGTGGCATGAAAAAAGGTCCTCGTTCTACTTCTGGCTTGGTTGAAAGCAAATCCACATAAAACGCAGGCATCTCACAACAAATAGATGGATTACATTTCAGAGAGGGTCACACGTGTGTGCAGTGTACACCCATCTCCTGGTCCACAGCCTCTCCAAGGTCAGCTGCTCGCTGCTGTATTTCAAAATAGCAGCACCTGACATGGGCAGATGGCCAGACCCCTCTTCAGTAATAAGACATTTACTCCTGAGCAGCCTCAGCCTGACATTTATTGAGTACCCAGCAAGGAGAAGAAGAAAACATGGCAATGCGTTTCTCCATTCCCTTCCATCTCTGACGTCGCTGTATTCCCTATTGCAAGCACCTTACCTGTCCTCTTCTGCGTAGGCCATCCTCCTCCTGCTCAGCCCAAGAAGGGGACAGCTGCTGAAGTGAAGCCACAGCTTTTTTAGCCAGCCCAGGAGCAGAACCCAAGAGCAGGTAGGTGCCCACAGAGCTGCCGCCAGCCCCAGCTGGGCTCTGCTGTCTCTAATCCCTGGAGAGCAGGGGCACGTCGGGACAGCAGCTTTTCTGGTCTCACTCCATGACAAGCCAGCTCCAGAGCTCGGCGGAAAGCCCCACACATGCAGATGGAGCCTATGGAAAGTTCACGTGTGACTTTTTTCAGCAACCTCCCAGAGCAGCTGACAGCAAAGCTGCATCAACGCGCACGCGCTTACGTCAACCTGCAGAGTCTGCAGGTCAACCCGTGCCACCCAGCACTGCAACGAGATGCTTCCACGACCTCACGTTATCTTCCCATTCATTCATGCTTGTCCTGCTAGCTCCCTGCAGTTCTCCATTCATTTAACTGCTACACTCACCTCAAAAGGAAATACAACCTCCAGTCACAGAATCACAGAAATGTAGGGGTTGGAAGGGATCTCTACACATCATTCAGTCCAACCCCCATTCTAAACCTGAATGATTACATTAAGGGAGACACGGGAAACAAAACAGAGCCCCATGATACACCTTTGCAGTTTCCAAAGATGCGCCCAAGACAACCGAGAGCCAAAAAAAATACAAGATGTTGGTGATAAATAGAGATGGTACATCCAGAAGGGCCACATGGGACTAAGGTTTATAAATATTCAAAGTAAGGAGAGAGCCTTGATCAGAGCTTGTAAACTCCAAGGCAAATTGGCCTGACATGAAATCTCACAGTATTTTGTAGCACTTCCATCCACCTTCGCTTGTTGGCCTCAAAGACCACACATCAAATGCATCACTTTCCCAGTAAGGAGCCTGATAAAGATGGCTTTTCCCCACACAAAACCCAGCAGGCTGAGAGCAGAGATGATTTTGGGCAGCACTGCACCAAAGAGGCCCCGAAACAACTCACCAAGCAGAATGGTGAGCTCATGTGCCCTGGTCACTGCCACCTGCCTGAAGTCCTGGGGCCACCTCTCTCTGCCCTTTGTGCCCTCTCCAGGCCATGCTCCTCTCACTGACACTCAGCACATCCCTGAAGGCCATTATCTCTTCCTACTAAACTAACAAGTAGAGCAAAGCTGGGCCCTTAGCATTCATTTTCCATACAGTTCTTCAGTATCAGAGTTCCGATGCCCCCTAGATATGTTCCCTTGTTTAGCCTTAATCTGATTACATTCATTAATCTGATCTTTTTGCAAAGCAGACAAGAGATCAGACAGCCCAAGAGCTTTTCCCAATTTGTTCTTGTCTAGGACATCTCTTCCCTAGTTCAGATTTACATGGAAAACAGGATTACCAGACAGGACCATTTTATCTGTCTCTCTGCAGCACCTGTTATTTAACAAAAATTACTGAGGTTTACGTTGCGATGGTGCACGGACTGGACAACTACAAGATAAAGGCTCACCCTACTAGAAAGAATTAATTTCAGCATTGAGGGCATTAATTCCAGTAACACTCCAAAAAGGAAAAAAAAACTAATTAAGCTTCTGCTCCTATACAAATACGCCAAAGAAGATCCATCTAAAGTTGGTGAATAGCTTGCATAATTCTTAAGAAAGAGTATTTAAAGTCTTGTGTGCTGAATCTCAGCCCTCTGTCACTCTATGTGTGTGTCTACAGAAAATTATATCTACAATCCAGATCTGATTGACTTGGGTGCCATTCAAGCCTCGTTTCTGCAGGCAGAGCTTCCACAGCTCTGGGATGCAGATACAATCACCTGAAATAACTTCCTAACAACGCTGTGCCTTCCTGCAGCAAATTTCTATCTAAAGAAGTGTTGTGAAGTGTTTTTGCAAGTGTTTCATCAAAACACTTAATTAATGCTTTAGGGTACGTCTCCCACTTCCCCGCGCTATCGCAGCATCGCATTATCACGCAGTCTTCTCACGTGTGCTGCACATCGTGCTTCTGGGAAAGGCTGCACAGCCTGCAAGCTCAGCTCAAGAATTAGTAAGCATACTCCAAGAACTAACCAGGATTTCCACAGTAATTTGTCAACTCATTGCTTAGGAAAGTCATTTGTTTGTATGCTTGGCTATCCCAGACAGCCAGAAGGAAGGTAAATGCAAGCAAATTATTTATCAGGAAAGTTATTCCCCTCGAGGTGTCTTTAATATCTTGGAAGATCCGAAACAACACATGTGCTCCTATTGTATACCTATAGGAAGGAGACTACAGCAACTGATTACAGGAAAGGGGTGGCCAGGGGTACAGGGAACAAGGAGCTAACAGAGCTCGTCACAGTTAGCTGAGCAAAATGCAAACTGAGCAATGCTCTGATGGCAGTCTGAGAATGTTACCATGGAGGCAGGGGAGAGAAACTTCAGACAAGCACCACAGCACAGGGGAGACACGTGTGCAATTGAGCTAGGCACTAGGGAAAAAAAAGCTTCTAGCTATCCAAAGCATGAGACTCCAAGCAGCCCCACTGCAAGGGCAGTGGGGGTAGAGACAGAATTGTTTAGGTTGGAAAGGACCACTAAAATAATCTAGTCTAATTGTCAACACATCCCACTGTGCACACTAAGCCACGTCCCTCAGGTAGGGTCACGTAAAGGGTTGCACAAGGAGCAATGCAGGCACACCGTTCACAAACGATGCTAGCTCTAAAAAGTCAGCTCTTCTTCTTTTTGGAATTTAATAAAATTTAGAGCTTGTCCAAATCTGTGAATAAAGTTCTTATCCTGGCATCACAATCAGCTGTTGGCTCTGGGCATGCTTCTCAATGTCAAGAAAATGACTTCTCCATTGGTAAAACAAGGACACTTTTTACTTACATCGTAACAGCAGTCTGACCACAACTCCTTTGGCAAAGGAAGCAAAATGCAAACCTGCCTGACTTCAGACTACAAATCAGAAGAAGAGCCTTTATAGACCTATCATCAAAGTCGTAAGAAAGCACTGTGCTAAGGACAACCAGCCTTTTCAGCTAGCATGCACATGGTTCCAGGCAGGTCAACACCGTGAGCCTTATGTCCCATCTGGGTGGCTGCTTCCACTCAGCAGTGACTTTGGTATCACCCAGCAGAGCTGTCATGGCTAACACCAGTGTGAAAGTCACAGCTGAGCACATCCAAAGCCTCCATTGTGGCTGCACTTCTGCAAAAGAGATAAAGGCCATTATTTACCAGCCTCCAAGAAAGCTACATTGCCTCCCCAAATGGTGAGCACCTTGCATCCTCACATACAAAGTGACAGCAAAACACATGGAACACCTTGCTCTACAAATACATATCCTGGGTATGACTTGGTAGCTCTGCAGATGTGGGGTTGAACCAGAATGAAAGTACTGAGTTCCCATGTGGAGTTTCTGACAGAAGAAAACTTTGAGTAGTAAAAGAGAAATATCTATCTGAATTTCTGCCTTAACTTAAAGGAATATAATAGTACATACGAAAAAAATTAAGACTGAGTTCACAGTAAAGTTGAGTTTACAGTGAGTTGTATTACTCACAACAGAACTAACAGTTTAGTTACAGACTCGGAAAAAAGCAACATATTTATCTTATTCATGTTATTCACCTGTACTGCTTTTAGCTAGGATCCTGATAACATTGTATGCTTGGGAAATTCCCCTCAGTCCAACAGATCGTGGTACAGATGTGTTACAAGTGCCAGTAAAACCCAGCAAAACAGGGCAGAAGAGGGAGAAGTTCCCCTTCCACACCATTTCCCTTTATGCACAGAATTGTACTCATTCTCTTTCTGGTATTTTCAAAACACAAGTCAATACTGTGTGGGAAAAAAAAAATTAAACATCCAAAGTAATGTCAACTCAAAAGTGATGTAAGTAACTTACTATACACTAAACCACTACAACTCTAGCATGAAGGAATAGCAAAAAGGAATATCAGAATATTACAGCATTACTGCACTCACATCAGAGAAAAAGCAAGAGTAAAAACATAACCAATCTGTAGATCTTAATTAGAAACACGAAGAAGAAAGAAAAAAGGAAACAAAGCACTATAGCATGCCTGCCATGGTCTCAACAGCACTAAGCTCTCACCAATTAAGGGAAGCAGAAAATTTAAGCAATGTTGTTACTGCCAAAGCATTCTCTACGCAGCAGAACGTAAACAACTACAACAGGCCCTAAAGACCCTCCCCTACCACTGTTCTGCTTCAACCTGCTTCTGTTTTCCCCTTTTTAAGTACCCAGATATGCTGGAGAGTGATTTTCAGCCAGTCACAGGGAGAAGAGGCACTGCATCTGTGCACATAAACCTTCCATCCACAGCTGATGCTCCTTGTTACATAAAGACCCTTCTCAAAAAGGTAGAAAATAGCATATTTTTGTTACGTAGCATTTACCACGTTGGTTTTATCTTTATGCATTAACTCTATCTTAGGAATAAATTCCTTTCTTTCTAGGGACTTGAGAGTGAAAAATTAAGCTGTGCATTTGTGTTTATGAGCTGTATGTATATTTTTAATACATACACTCACTGCTCTATTTTTCAGCAGCGTTCCTTTGCTTTAGAAACCAACTAGCTCTAAAGGAACGAGGGAGGTTACATATTTCATTGTGACTTTAACTTGTCATTTCTCTGATTGCAGTGCTCTTAGTGTATCATTTCTCTTTTAGTGTATCATTAACCCACATATTACAGCTATATCCCCAACAAAAATGTGTTATTTATTGACTGGTTACTTTGCTCCTAAAAAAACTTCCTGTGGTTACACAAACTTTAGAATCCTTTGTACTCATAGCACAGTCTTTCTGTGGTAAAGTGTATTCTGGATTAGGGGTATCCCACTTTATCAATGAGAAATACATGAAAGCGGAGCAAGCTTAACAGCAAAGTGAAAGAATTTTTTGCTAACTCATGCTGTGCCACTGTCTGTTTGAGTCCAAAACAAACAGTAAGTGCTGCACTCCCTAACCTGTGTGTAGCAAAGCCCCCACTATTTAAAACACTGGGAGAAGCACTCAGCACCTGAGCTGCATAAGTTTGATAAACGCTTATCACTTCCTCCTATAACGAGATACCCTTTGGGTCTGTGTTACAGCAGGGAGGTGGCTCTTCCCCTAAAGAAACGAGCTGCGAGTGCGGCTTTCTACTCGAAAGCCTGCAGCTGCTGCCCGTGCCCGACTCTGCCTCCCATACCTCGCTGAGGATAAAACAGAGAGAGAAAGGAGCGGCTCGGCTCGACTGCGGGGCTGGGCGCTGGAGAGAGAGGGGCGGTGCGGTGCTCGCAGCCCGCCCCGCCGCCGGGCCTGCCTGCCTTCCCGCTGCGCCGCCGGGGTAAGAGCGGGGCCTGCAGTAGGCCGCGCGGAAGCCGCGGTCTCGCGTAGAGGGCTGCCCGCGCGGGGTGCCGCCTCGACGGGGGGCGCCTCTACGAAAGGCCCGGGATGGGCGGGATGCGGCTAGGCCGCGCCGTGCGTGGGGAGGCGGACCGTGAGCGGGCGAGGAGGGTAGAGCTGGTGTTCAGTGTTGGGATGTGGCTGTCTGGGAAAAGGAGGCTGCCCAAACGAGGAGCAGCTGGATGCTGTCGCTGGGATGGGTGGTTTAGTGGCTTTCCTGGCCTTACCCTGAGTGAGGGCTGGGAGCAGGGAGAGCCCTGAGCTCTGTAGCAGACTGGAACCAAGGCCAGGCCAGTTCAGGTAATGGAGACTGGCATCTTAGGGCCTTGCCAAGCCTGAGTTGGGATTTGATGGCTTGAGCCTTAATTAAAAGGTTGTCACAACATTTGTGGTAAAAATGAGGTGAAACTAGGATGCAGTGCACGCCCATGCTGAGGTCTGTAAAGCCTTCAAACCAGAAGGTGAGGTTTAAACTGGACATAAGGAAAAAGCTTTTTACAATAAAGACAGTGAAGCACTGGTAACAGCCTGCACTGAGAGGCAGTAGTGCTTAGTCCCTGCAGGCACCCCGGGTTGGGCTGAATGGCACTCTGAGCACCTGGTGGAGCTGTAGGTGCCCCTCTTCGTTGCAGGGAGCAGGAGCAGATGGCCTTTAAGGGTGACTTCCAACTCAAACAATTCTATGATTCGTTTTACCTTTTCTCCCCCAGCATGCATTGAGATAAAGGGTGCTGCTGAAGATAAAACAAATCTTCATGAGCAAAAGTGAAACTAGGTGTGTTTTATGCTTATTGAAAAGTAACCAAGGTGAGGAAATAAGTGGAAACATTGCCTCAGTGCTTCACCATGTGCTGCCTGTAGCAAGCTGATCACTGTGATCACAAGCTGAGTTGGCCTGAGGTGGTTACTTTGGTGGAGGGGGTTTTAGCTCTTTTTTTTTTTTTTTTCCTGTTTGCCTCCTAAATTTCTCAGCTCTTTTGATTTTTTTTTTTTTCTAGTATTTTTTCTCAATAAACTCTTTGGTGACTCTATCACAATATTTTCTTGTATTTTGCTTCTGAGGTAATGAAACAGATTTGAGGATGGCTAAAATCATATGCTGAGGGATTTCCTGTCTCCTATATTAATGCTGATTAAATAATGTCACTTAAATGAGAAATCTTAGTTTTTGAATAGACTGACTGGCTGATTTCTGGTTTCTGAGCATAAATTCTCCTTTGCCTGCTTTGTGCTGTGTACTGGAACAGATGGCAGAAGACTCGCTAGCTTTGTGCCAGTGTGCTCATAGAATCTTGATCCATTTAGAGCACAACTTCACACTGCTTTCCTCTTTAACATCAAGCACAAGTTAGCACTGACCACAGTTGCAAGCAAGTATTTTCTCGCTTCAGATTTATCACCCTTTTTCCAGTAGGGAAGGCAAGATGTAAGAACTTGCAGGAGCCTGGTCAAAATGGTGTGGGGTTGTAACACAGAAAATGTGTTTTGGTTGCAGTGCAGCTACAGGGCTTTTCTCAGGAAGTGCCTGTGAGGAGCTCTGCAAACATCACATTTGTTTTAGTGGAGGGGAGATGCGTATTAGCTGTGGCCGGTTGGGAGAAAATGGAAGGAACAGCAGTGCTCCCTCTTTAATGGTAGCTGCTGTTTGTGTCTCCCAACTCTACATATTTTAAGCATAATTTGAGCACTTGGATAAAATATTGGTGTAATTGGATGAAAAAATTTGTGCCTGTATGGGAACTGTTGAGTCATGGCCTGAACCACTGGTTGAACACATGGGAAAAGGACCTGGTCAGCTCTGGGAGCACAGGTGAAGGCAATTCAGCTGTGCAACTGGAAGGAGTGGAGGCTGGCTCCACCTCTCTTAGACCCCATTTAAGGGTTTAGTGCCACTGGGGAAGGATCTCCTGGAGATTCCTCCTTGGTGAAGATTTCCCCTGGGAACCTGGAATCTTCTGATATGGGTAAGCGATCTTCCCTTCCTTCTAGCACCTTTCTATCATGCTGATCCTTCTTCATTACACCTCTGGTGAAACACCTTTTCCCATTATATTGGTCTGTCCAATTGCTACAGTGACCCATCTGGATAATTTGTATAGCTCTTGATATACTCTGTTTTGAGCCTGAGGTCTAAACACTTACATATAAATACCTGTGTAGTGAGTAGAGTATTCAGAGTTCAGTGAAAAGCCAAAGTAGCAGCCAGCCCTTCTTTACTTTCTGTGTAAAGGGTAATGGAACTGGTGACCCTTTTCATTTACGAATGCCCTTGTCTGTTTTATTTTTCTCATTGATACGTGGTTCTGTTGAAGCATTTTCCTTTCCATTTCAGAATATGGAAGTCAAGCAAGAGTATCCTTTTAAAAAAAACAAAAGCAGTAAAAAAATCTTTGTCTATTTATATGTGCTTATGATTGGAATTGTTTCTCTTTCTATCTTTCAGATCGTCAGTCAGTCCAAGAATGAGCACATGTAAGAAGCTTTACGTTGACCAGACTACAAATCTTGAAAAGTTCGACCCTGAAATTCTTTCTGAAATTGAGAAGCTCTTTGCAAAGAAGTTTTCTTACACTAAGCCACTTAATAATGAATGGCAGCTCCCAGATCCCAGTGATGCCTTCACGTGTGACCACAAGGAATTCAACTCGCTGCTTGATCTGAAGAACTCGATGAATGAAGTGAAGAATCAGCTTAGTGATAAGAATCTTATTGAATGGCATCAGCACACTTCGTTTACCAATAAAGCAGGAAAAATAATTCCTCATGTGAAGAAATCTGTGAATGCTGAGCTGTGCACCCAGGCCTGGTGCAAGTTTCATGAGATGCTGTGCAGTTTTCCTCTTCTCCCTGCAGAAGCTCTTCAGGAGGGACAGCTGAATTCTGTTCACCTCTGTGAAGCACCGGGAGCTTTTATAGCCAGCCTCAATCACTACTTGAAATCCCACCACATCCACTGTGACTGGAATTGGGTGGCTAATACTCTAAATCCATATCATGAAGCAAATGATACCCTTATGATGATTATGGATGACCGTCTCATAGCAAATACTCTGCCTTGGTGGCACTTTGGCCCAGACAATACCGGCGATGTGATGTCATTGAAACATCTGACAGGACTTCAGAACTTTATAAGTAATATGGCCACAGTTCACTTAGTAACTGCTGATGGCAGTTTTGATTGCCAAGGAAATCCAGGTGAACAGGAAGCCCTTGTCTCCCCCCTCCATTATTGCGAAACAGTCACTGCTTTAATGATCCTGGGCGCCGGAGGGTCCTTTGTTTTGAAGATGTTTACCCTGTTTGAGCACTGTTCTACCAATCTTCTCTTCCTGCTAAACTGCTGTTTTGAGGAGGTCCATGTCTTTAAGCCAGCCACTAGCAAAGCTGGAAACTCAGAGGCCTATGTAATTTGTCTTCGTTACATGGGCAGAGAGAGCATTCATCTGCTGCTTTCTAAGATGATGCAGAACTTTGGGACAGATATGATCAACAAAGCTCTTTTCCCCCAGCATCTGATCCCAGAATCTTTTCTTAAAATGCATGAAGAATGTTGTGTGTTCTTCCACAGGTGCCAGGTAGAGACTATCTGTGAAAACATCTCTCTCTTTGAGCACATGGAAGAAGCAGAGCAGACAAAACTGAACAAGTTAAGAGATTGTGCAGTAGAGTTCTTCATGCAAAGATTTTGTATGAAACCCATTGCTAGAAGTAACTGGCTTGTCAAGAAATCTCAGACTGGTTGCAGCATGAATGCAAAATGGTTTGGGCAAAGGAACAAATATTTTAGTACGTACAATGAAAGAAAAATGCTGGAAACCCTTACATGGAATGATAAAGTGGCAAAGGGCTATTTAAATCATGTTGCTGAAGAACACAGCTTAAATAATGCTGGTAAAATGTGCATTTTAGAAGGATTGTCTTCTAACCTTAAGTGTAACTTGTGGTACATTTTGGAAGGAAAGAGGCTACCAGCAGTAAAATGTTCACCATTTTGTGATGGCCAAGTCTTGGAAAATCTTAACGAAGCTATGAATGAACTGGTGGGGAGGCCAAAAACCAAACAGCTGCTGCAGCTTTGTCACTCCTGTGAGGTACTTTCTGGGGAGCAGATATTGGCAGAAGTGTCTGAGCTTTACCAGTCTTATCAGGAGATCCTGAATGGAAGACGTGGGGACAGATTCAAGTGCCTTGTGGTGGATTTCCCATCCCTTTATGATACTGAAAGCCAGCCCGGTATGGAAATAAAGTGCCTAGACTCGGCCACGCTGCTGACTTTTAGCTTCTCTTTGCTTTATGATGGAGAACCAAAATACCAACAGCAGCTTTTGGAGTGTGTTCTGCATTCCCTGAATCAGCTTACAATGGGAGATGCACTGATTCTGCCTATTCTTTCTTGTTTTACACGTTTCACAGCTGGCCTGGTGTTTGTACTGCACTGCTGTTTCAGATGCATCACATTTGCTTGTCCGATGTCCCACGAGCCACTAAAGACCTGCACTGTTTTGCTGTGTGTTGGTTACCAGGGTGTTCCAAATCCAGTTATTGAGTACCTGCAACATCTGCATAAGCTAATGAGTTCTTTGCTAGACTCGGATTCTCCCAAGCAAGTTTTGCAGTTTGTGCCAATGGAGAGTCTCCTCCAGGGCAAACTGTTGGAGTTCTTGTGGGATTTGAACACAGCCATTGCAAAGAGACAGCTCCACTTGCTTGTGCAAGCTAAGCAACAGCAAATGACTGGCAGTATTTCACTATAAAATAACCCTAAAATTGAGCAAGTTGCTGCTATGCCTTGTTTCTCAGGCAGGTAGAAGTTAAAAATGTTGATGTGAAGGTAACGTCAGTGCCATGCCTAAGTTTTACAGTCACAGCATTGGGAGGATGTTTTGAGCTATCAAAACCTTGGCTTAATCTCAGGTATGGGGACTTGGGGCAGTGATTGAACTGGACAAACTGTTTCTTCTGTCACAGTTATCTGTTCAAATTTCCTAGTGTACCACCTGGATCAGTGATGTGGCCTTTGTGATGAAAGGTGGTGTGGTGCCTTACCTGTTTATTCCGGTCTGACTGTGGTGGGCTTTGTTTTGTGACATTATCTTTCTTTTGCTGAGCTAAATGTGGGAGTTCTGACACTGCTGCTTTTCTTACGGGATTTGTGGAAGCCAAAAATTGATGTTGGGGCCAGAATGCCCAGCAGGATGCAAGCCTGGTATGCAACTTGAAGGATGAGTGTCTTGTGAGTTGGCACCTGGCTTGCAGGGGCTGGGTTGAAAACAAATGCCTTTAAACAGTAGCAGAGGTGTCCAGGAAAAGACTCTCTTTAACTTGAAATGTGAACGCGAGGACCATGCTGTATGGCCTAGGACAGGTGATTGTGTGGCTTCATCTCCCTGTCCCATCAATGGATGGAGTATTTTAACTTTTTTTTATGGGCACCTCCTTAATCTGATTTGGGACTCGTTGATTGAAGTGCTATTAAGGAGGAACTGGAAATGTTTTTCAGGCTAAAAGTGCGGTCACGCAGGGCTCTGTGTTCTAAGAAATGCTTTGGAGGAGTGCTAAGCTGAAGAAATGTGATACTTTCCTTGGGTTAAGATTTCATTTGGTTCTCCTTAGAGATAAAAATGATGAAATTGCTGACTGACTGCTCCTTTAAGGGAGTCAAATTTTATTTTTCATATTGCTCCTTTGAGAGCTGAATTTTGAAGCCTAACTCGTATATTAACATTTAGTTTTAAGTTTGTAGTTTACATGGGAAAACTTGCTTGGAGGGAGAAATGATGTTTGGAAGGGAAAATGATTTACTACAGATATGTGCAGGATCTCTTAGAAGAAAGTCAGAAATGTGGAGCCAGAAGGAAAATAGTCTCCTGATTAATTACCAGTCACCTTCTGGAAGCACTTCTAATTATGTAATAAATATAGGAGCTTGAAGGATAATTGATTACTGCTAAGGATTAAAAGCGCTGCTGAAAAACTGTTTTGTCTGGAGGTGCTGCACATTTAATAAGCTTTTTTGCCACGTTGATTGGGGCAGAATTTCATGCATTTAACAGTTCATTTTTTATTTAAGGATTTGATAGGTGAATGAGTTGGTGGCTTAGGTCTGACTAACTGATAGCATTTTCTAAAAGTCGTGTTTTTTACAGCTGCATGTAGGTAGAAGCAGAGGAGCCTTGCTAACAAAAGCTTCGGGGGTTGGTCATTGTCCCCTTTCATTTATTTAAATGAGCTTGCTCTGTCATGAGCTGAGTCATGCTTCCTCCCTCGGACCAGGATTCGGGATTTCTTTTAAAAAAAGAAATACTGAAAATGAGAGGAAAAAAAAAAGCAGGAAAGGATTATTGTAGAAGAATGACTGACAAGATGGGTTCAAAGACCACCTGTAACAGTCTCCTTTACCTGAGGCAAAGCAGAATAAAGGTATTGTCCACTGAAGACACCTTTGTGTCTGCTGCTGTTTCAGAGGTGATCTATGCATCTGAAGCTTGCAGTGAGCTGAAGCATACGAAGAGGCTTCTCTTAAAGCAGGGGCAAATGAGATTTTGAGTGCAGGGTGTTCTTGCATTGTGGTATGAGCTCTGGAGGCTCAGGTAGCAGAAGCATCCCAACCAGCAGATGAATAATGTGAGGTTTTTCTCCTAACGTCAGTCTGATTTCTTTGAATTCCTATTGTAAAGTAAAATCTGAGCATCACTCAGGATGTGGTTTTTCAAACTTGAGCTTTCAAGCTTTCCTTGGTCTGGTTTGCACATCCGGCAAACCATGCAGACTTCTTGGAGATTTCTCCAATCTCACCTTTCCTCACAGTGTTCTGCTTCCCTTTCTTCCTTAGCTTTTAAGACAAAGCATTTTGAATAGCCACAGAATAGGAAGCCAGATCCCCCAAAACATAGGAACTCCAATGTCTCATACATCCTGGTGCCCCATTTGCTCTGGACCTGTTCTGTTAGCAGCTGTCAGAAGGTGATGGAACAAATCCTTTGGCAGCAGCTGCTCCTTCTGTTACGGAGAATATCTGATTTGGAAACACTTCTTTTGTTGTTGTTGTCTCAATGGCAGCAGTTTCAAAGTTAGGAATGACGCTTGTCTCTTTAATTGTGAGAGTCCTGCATTGTCCTGGCTGTCTCTAGACCAAGAATTTCTTTGAGAAGTGACACTTAATTTCACTTGTGACTTTTGGAATATGTAAGAATGCATGGGAAGAATGCATTAACCTTTGCAGAGAGGGGCTGATGGCTCCTGAGTTGGTCAGTGCTGTCAGTCCCTTTGGCTGATTGGGTTTTGGGTGATGGCTGATGAAGTGTCTCAATGTCCTGGCTGTCTTTATGTTGGCCTCTTTCTTTTTTTTTTTCTTTGACCTGTTTGAAGATGAACTGGTTGTCAGCTCTCTTTTGTAGGAGCCATGATATTCATGCAGGAAGGATGGTGGAGGGAAAAACATAGATTGGTAGATAAATAGAACATAGATTTAATCAAGGTGCATAAAAACTTGAAGTAAAATTAGTTCTGCAGCTCTGCTACTGCATGTTTCCAATGGAGGACCAATATCTATGTCCAGTGATCAGCTGCAAGCACCATGGTTTTCTTCTGAAAGTCTGGAGCTTCTGTTTTAAGCTAGCATAGTAGCTGCATGGAGTTTGAATGGATTGGATACCTCACCAACCGAATGTGTTGGTTTTCCTTTTTTTAGTTGAGTTGCATTGAGACTTGCCAGTTATTTTCACTGATCTTATGTGGATTTATTTGGATGTGTGCAGATTGTGTGTTTTTGCCACTGGCTTTTCAATTTAATTTCTGCGAAACATAATGAGATTTATAGTATGAAATCCGGTAGCTTATTAAAATGGTACTAATTGGTGTCTATTCATCTTAATTTAAGCTGATCTATTAAATTACTAGTGGTCAAAGTAGAATATTTAGCAGAATTACAGTTTATTAAAAGCACAGCTTGGAATTTAACAAGAAGGACTTTGTGTTCCTTAAGTAGAAAGTGGGAGAAGAAAAGAAGAAACCCCACACTTTGATTTTGGACCCCTGCAACTGGATGCTTTAGGATGCAATAAATGAAGGTTGACCTGAAGCAAGCTGAAGCCTCAGAGCCTTACCACCTTCTGCTGCTGTTCCTAAAACCCATCTTTTGACATCTGTTTAATTTACAGGTGATTTTCAGCTCGTTAATTCTTAATGGTGAAGTGGAGGAAGTCCTACCTTAATTTGTCTTACCGTTTTGGGTGGTGTGAAATGCTTTTGTTTATCGGCTTTAAACAAGAGCCTCCATCTCAGCTGCAGCCTTTGAATATCTATCTCTTGTTTTTTAGCACTTTGAAGGCAAGGAGATTAAAATTTCCTCCCAGAAGCCTGGTAATGGTTTCTCCATCTCATTCTTGAAACCGTTTTCGTGAATGCCATACGGATATCCCAGCTCCAGTTGTTTGTGTTGCATTCACCTGACAAAGATCAAGCGTGGCTGTTTATGCTGGCGATGCATTCAGCCTGTGGCTGCTCATTTCTTACTCCTCAGGGAATAATTTGGATTGCCATTGAGCCCTCCTGTGCCACTTGTAGGGGTCCGGAGCTGAATGCAAGTCTGAACAATGGAATTTGCTGAAAGAATTAGCTGGTGGCTGTAGGGACTTAAACAAGCAGAACCTTTATGAGGCATTTAAATGCAGGGCATTTTCCCACCAGCAAGGAGAGGCCTTTCCTCGCTCAAAATTCTGTTTTAAAGAAGCTCTGAGGTGTGAGCATCTGTACAAATAGTTTGCCAGTTGTGTGTTGCCTTTCTTTTACGCACGCTTGTGCTTGCGTGTATGGAAACCCCCATGAAGATGCTACAACAAGGAAGATTTTTCTTTCTGTAACTCATCGTATGCTTTTGTTTTGAAGGGTGTGAATGTAAATATTGTTTTGATGTACATTATGGGATGTTGGCTTATGGGGCTGTTGTGTATTTCCATTTGGCCCGCGAATGTGTGTTAAAAGAGCTCATCTGAATGGATGGAAAACAAAATGTGTGCAGAGAAAATAAACTATGTTCTGTTTTAGTTCTGTTGCTGTTCATTTCTCTACCCAAACGTGGAAGAAGAAAACAAATTGCAGGAGGGAGAACCTGCCTTGTGGACCCATCATCAGTGAATGAAAGAGGCGGAGGCCTGCTGAGCACGGTGTGTCTGCAGCTCACTTTCTCAGCTCTTTTCCTTTGCAGCTTACTGTTTCAAAGAGACATCAGTGACAGAAGAGGTGTGAGCAGTGTGTAGGAGCTCCTTGGTCCTGTTACCCATCTTGGCAGACAGGTGCTGTGCATGGAGCCCGCTTGCACAGCGAGGGCTGTCCAAAGGATCTTCAGTTCCTCCTGGCTCTGACAGCCCCTCTGGTAGGAAACCACACTGCAGTTTTGTCTGCAAAGTCTTTTATTAATCCTTATCCAAATGCTTTCATTCAAAGTACTTGCTTTCAGTGAATGGTGTTATTAAACAAAGAAAAGCTGCATGCCTTATTTCTCTGCTGTACTGACATGGGTTCCAGCTGGTTGTCTTTGGCCTGGTTATCAGGTTTGTCACGAGACTTTGTGCTAGCTGGTTCTGATTGCAGCTCACATTTCTCACTGCCTCTCTGCTTTGGAAGTGAAGGAGGACCCCAGGTTAGGGAGCTGGTCAATACTGTACCATATCCTAGAGGTAGGAGATGATATAAGAGGTGTACTTCTCTGGTACCTTGATTTTCATACAGGTGGTAAATATTGGGGAAAATCTTTAAGCTAGAAATGCTGTTGAATGCCTACTGAAATGTAGGCTAGCGTTGTCTCACTTGATTTTAACTCTAGACTGAAGCGTTGGCAGTGAACATCAAAATGTGCTTCAGGAGACGTGAGTCTAGAAATGAATGGTCATTAAAATGGGGACTGCGTTGGAGGAGCCTGTCTGAAGGACTATGTCAAATTTGGTGGAAGTGTGGTTTAATGTGGCTGTACTGAATTACAGGGAAATGTAAATGTCTGCAATTGTATTTAAGCTACTAAACAGTTCTTTGAAATATTTACTTTTCACAATATTGCAGTATAAAAATATTGCTTGAAAACACGAGATGGCAGATTAGAAACAGAAGGAAAAGCGTGGCTGTCCTTGTTTTGCTGTTAGAAACCTTAAGCTGCGTATGTGATTTCTTCAGTCTTTAAAGTCACTTGATACGCTACATTATGTTGATTATAAATCTTATTTCAGTTGTGATAGATCTTATGCAAGCTGGCCTGCCAGATCTTGAGTTTTAGGTGTTGTCAGAAGCTGAATCACTGAACGCAGAGCAGAGGAGCTCTCTCTTTTAGGCTGAGCAGAGAGATTGAGCAAATTCTGCCACCGTGTTCTATCATGTTCTTGGTACCTGCTGGCAAAGGAGGGGGGATGAAATTTTACCTATAATACAAACCTATTTGAAGGCAACTACTGCACCACGCTTGGTGGTCCCTTTTAAAGGATGCTTTTCTCCTGTAGGAAACCTGAACATGTTTATTTAAGTCATCTTCAGTGTTTCATTAAATGAAGATGACTGCTGCTTGTTAACGAATTGATTTATCTAAACTGAGGGGGAGCAGGGAGGAGTGCCTGTCATTTGTTGACAAATTGATTTATCTAAATTGGTGGGTACTGGGGAGAAGTGAATCAATATTCAAAACTTATTTGTTGCTGAAGTCAGAGATCATTATCTGTACGGCTGAGAGATGCGGATGGATGAAGGCTGCCTGATACAAATGAAAGCTCACGCTGCTGTACCCTGAGGTCCTAAGCTGTCAGGTACCTGTGCCTCAAAACAATGACCTGATGGCCAGGCAGTAATGAAACCTCAATTAGATGGAGGAACGAAGGGGCTGCGGTGGTGAAGTGCTTTAATGTAAGTCTCTAGAGGGTTAAGGTGATTAAATGCTTTCTTTATAATCAGTTGACTGTTCCAGGTTGGTGACAGTGTACTATATAGCTGTTGAGTTGAAAAGTAATGAAGTCTATCTTGGGGTCACAATTAAACCTGGCTCTGAGGTGGCCTCCAATAATGATGCTGCTTGGCAGAGGGGGCAGGAGCACAGTTGCTGCTGGGGACATTTGAATCACAGGAACAGTGTGGGAAGCTGGGCTCCCTGCCTTTCTTCCATACTGCAGCTGCACTGATGGAAAGTGCCAACTACACGAGCCTGAGAGATGCATGCTGCAAGGTGAGCTCAGAGCCCTGCATGGAATAGGTTGTACAGGGTGTTGGGAACCAGTCCCCCGGGTTGGGATTCTTGCAAGGTTCCTCACAGGTAGCAGTGCTGCTGCTCAGCACTGGGGGCTTGCTGTCACACAGCTCTTACAGCTGGCACTGAATGTGTTAGCACAAGCTGGAAGGGATCTGGATTGGCTGATGCACAGAGTGTGAGAGGGCAGCTCGATCCCAGCCAGCTGGAAAGCTTGCCTAACCATCAATGACTGCAAGCTCACACTTTCAGTGGAAGCACTGCAGTAGCTGGGTGCTTAATAGCTGTCAGTACTGTAACCTTAACTATAAATCACCCAGTAATTGATTTCAGGGTGTTAATGAAATGTAGATTTACAGAGAAGTACAATTGTGCCTAAGATGCACAGTTAATAGCACTGGCACTGAATAAACCCTAAATTGGCTCTGTGCTTCCATTATGGGCTTATGTTACCTTGTTTCATAAACTTCTGTAGATTGCTTTGCTCTTAATTACAAGACCAGCTTTACCAAAGTGAACGAGCTCGCATACTTAAATGCAGGTTTTGAATTTGGAAACCTGCTCAGAGCTCAGGCTGTTGTCCAGCTTTTGTTCCCTCAGCTCCTGCAGGAAGTGAGTGAGACCCCAGGCTGAAGATGAGTATTTTATCTGACCCAAATTCTACAGGGACTCTGCACAGGAAGAGGATTAGATCCAAGCGTGAAGTTCGTTCTGGCCAGTTTATCACTGGGTTACAGAGGGAATAGACCAGAAATTGTTCCTTACGTTGGATACTGGAGCGGTGAGTTTGGTGAAAGTGGAGCTCAACCAGCATTCTATAGGCCTTCCCAGTCACCTTGTGTCACGGAATCATTAAGGTTGGAAAGACCTCTAGGATCATCTGGTCCAACCATCAACCCATCAGTGTCATCCTGATAGTGTTCAGTGTGTGCAACCACACCAGAGCTGACCTGCAAGTGGGGCTGGAGCTGCACACAGACAGTGCTTGGGAACACCTCCCTGTTCCTCACTAACTACATGAATCATCCCATCACTCTTAGCAGTTTTGAGTGACCTAAACTGCTTCCCAGAGAAAACAGTGACAGCAGCAGTCTTGGGAGCAGGAGTGGAAGTAATGAAGCAGTAATTAGCAATTAATGAAATGTGGTGAAACTTACAGTTTTAATAACTGCGCTGGCCTAGAGGTTTGATGCTGAAATGTAGCAGTCTCTTGGAAATATGCAATTCTGAAGCTTAATTATCATAATTTCCTTTAGACACCATCTGCTCTTAGAGTCAACTTGTGTGTTTATTCCTTCCCCTGAAGGCAGCTGAGGTTTTAAGGGCTCCACTTCTGTGGCTTTTCACAGCAGAGAAGATGAGGAGAGCATGGGTGGGTTAGGGCTGAGGTGGGCTTTGTGGCCTGTCAGACAGAATCTGAGAAGGTGAGGTTCTGTTACAATAAGCAGAAAGGTGTTTAGATATGGAAGGAAGGAACTGGGGGAAAATTGTGATCACAACCTCCTTTGTAGTTTGCAGAGGGTTCAGTCTTGTTTTCAGTGGGAGTACAAGTGGGCTGTGCTGTCTGTATTCCCTTCTGAACCCACTGGAAGATGGTAACTCCTTACAAATGCTATGATATAATGAAAGGCAGTGATTGCTAAGTCACCCCTCACCTGAAGTAAGTATTGGGTTGCAAACACCATGCAAACCCCAAGGCCGGGGCCAATAATCCCATTCTGAGAAGGAGGAACACGGTCCCATAGCAGTGGTGATGCATGCAGCAAAGCTGCTTGTGACTCACGTCTGTTGTTCTGCTGTGCTTTACCAGTCATATGCTGTTTTATGCCTTGCTGAGCACTGTAAGGGCAGCTCGGGTTAAAGCCACCTTGCTGCTCTTCTCTCTTAAGGGTGAGCCTGGAAATTGGTCAGATCATGAAAACAAATAGCCAAACAGCCCCTGCCTTCCCCTGACTCCTCATGTAATCATTAGTGGCAGGAGTGAAGGCTTGGTCAGTCAGGAGCAGTGGATTAGGCTGAATCCTTTCTTCCTTTCTGTCTGCTGCAGAGATGCCCAATGGACTTCATCAGAGCAAAACACTTTTCAAGCAGCAAAGGTGAGAAAATGGCACATGGGAATTTTGAAAGATGCAAGTGCTGTTGTAGACGTCATCTCTTCCCACTGAAGGGCTGTGTTAAGGATTCAATTTTGTCTTGTGTAAATCGGTTTTAATTAATAGAGCAGATGTACCAACAATGCATCTGGAGATGAAATGGAGGGGAAAGAAAAGAGGCAGCTGGTGCTGGTGGATGTAAATATTTGCTTTTTGGGAAGTGAAGCTCTGTTTCTGAAACTTCAGATTCAAATTCAGATTTCAATTTCAGGAGAATGCTGCTTTGCCTTTGGAGATATATGGAGCAGAAAAAATCAGCTGAACCATAATGCTTTGTTCGATTCTAGCACATGTGATGTAAGAAGCATAAGGCTTTAGAACAGGGCCAGCACATGAAGTCTTGGTTCCTACTAAAATATTAAGGCTCAGCCCCACGTTGGTATAGCATGCAGTGATTTCGGAGGAGCTGACTGGAACAAGCAGCTTTCCCCTGGCCTCTGCATCACAGTCTGACAGTATAAAGCATGGACAAATGGAGGTGCTAGCTTTGGCCCCCTGGTGCAGGGCAGGAGGCTGTGGTGCAACTAAATGAGGCCTTGCTGGCAAGCCAAGTGGAAGAGTTGCATGTATCTGAAAGACTCTGCTAGGGAGATATGACAGGTGTAGCTGTGGGCTCTAAACTTCATGTAATGCTGAGGATTTCAGGAAGAAAATAGGCAGTGTGTGAATTAGAACTTGGTATGCCTTCTGCTTTTCTGTTTGAGGTACTGAAGGACTATATCTGTTCAAGGTGATTTGAAGAGTTTTTGTTACTGTCCGTGACTTAAAAATTTGCAAACGCAGCCCTAAAAGCAAAGAGTCTTGAAGCAAATAAAGAATGTAAGCAGACAGAAGCCAAACAAATAGAAAAACCCAGAAAGAAGGGAGAAGAAAAAGCAATTTTACTAAGAAGTCATATCTGGAAAGCAGCAGAATTGGAAAGCTGGAGGAGGCAGATGAGGAGGGTTGATCTAGAGCAAATATTTCTAGACCTGAAGTCACTTGCCCTAACTGTATTGTGTTTGCAATGTGAAACACCTCACTATCTGTCACTTCTGTTTCAGAGCTCTGCTGCCAGTTGTTTGATACCCTACTCTGATGGCTTGTGTCCTGTTTTCCATCCTTTGTTGACACTGGGGAGCAGCAAGCATCTTGAAGGTGAGGGTGAAAATGTAACAGATTGGAAGAGGCAGCAGGACCATTTGCAGGGAGAGATTTGTCAGGTCCTCAGCACTGCAGGTGAAGCAGCTGAAATCTTTTAGAATTATGATCTCTTCCAGGATGGCTCACGCAGTTTCCAGGATGCTATGAAGCCTAATTTTACATTACAAAGGGATCTTGAACTCTAGACCTCAGACAAGTAAGTAATTTCTTGCTATTAGAAAAAGTCACAGTTATTCTGTTTGTCATTAGCAGATGTTGAATTGGCAGCAGGCAACCAGCAGCCTTACTTCTGACTCTGCATCCTCCAGTCACGTATGTTATCCCTGTGTATTTGGGCCGTGGGCATTTATGAACTTTCTGCACCTATTCCTCTTTATCCCAGTAACTGATCTGGAAAAACTGAATTGCTAACAGTCAGTGTATTCAAGATCACATCCTCAGCAGGTAATAGGATATGCCTGAAACAGTAGCTTGATCATATTGGGGAATTTTTGCAGAGCCACATCTTGAGGTTTAGAAGTCAGAACATTTCAACAGCACTGAGGTAGGAAAGCATGAAGAGGTTGCAAAGCTCTCAGCTGCAGTCCTGTACGTGCTGAGCGTGCATGTACTCAAATGCAGCACTGTGCTGCCCCAAACTGCAGAAGTGACTGTGAAGAAAAGCAGTTAAAGGTTGTGTCGTTCTCTGAGGATTTCTAAAAACTAAATGAAAGTAGCGTTGTTCCTGACTTCTTATTCTCTCAGGTCCCAGTGAAGCCAGGCTCACTCTGTATCCTTAGGGTGTTCCTTTCTATTCCTGCTGTGTAAAGTTGGTCTGCTTGATGTTTGTGCTCCTTAATAAGATTATGGCAAAAACTGGGCGTCTGCATCCAAGATCACAAGGCTGTGCCTGAAGAAAGGAGCTCATGGCTTTCATTTTAATGTAGTCTGGAGCCTTTTTATTTAGCCTCAGTGCACAGGTGTCTAACCTAGCCAGATAACCACTCCTGGCCAAAAAGCCTTGCTAATTGTTATTCCTCTTGAAGGCATAGTGTGGCAGGTGAGTTTTGTGGTTGTGCTCTTTGTCTTACCTGGACTGGTATGTGTAGAATGCTGGGCACCCAATCTTCAAACCTAACAAAGAACAAATCTTTTATGAAGAGCTTAGCACTCAGCAGTGATGCTAAACCTTTTGGAGAGGGGCCTGGTGTGCCTTCAAGTTTCATTCTTTCCAATAACAGTAAATTGTCCAGGGTTTGCTCTGTACTTCAGCTGACTGTAAGGCAGCAGGCAAACCTGTTGTGCGATGCTTAAATGCCTGGGCAGCCTGCCCTGCTTTGCAGGGGAACTGGGAACCTTTGGAGGCACTTTAGTAACAACTGCAGTGCTGTAAAGCAATAAAAGAAAGCAATTGGTTGAATTCTGCCATCAGACACTGCAGGCCTTTGTTTGATAAAGGGGCTTGCAAGAATGCAGGGCAGAAGTCAGGAAAAGCTGTCCTAGGTGGACTGTTGGGGAAGAGTGATGTTTTGTCGAGGACTCAACTAGCCAGCTTCCTGCTGAGCTGTAAGATGCAGATCTCAAAGCTGGCTCAATTTAGATGGAGCTCTGCATCAGAGCTGCACTTCAAAACCTGATGGAGAATGTCCCTGCAGGGGGGACTGTAATTGCCAAGTATTGTGACCATAATGATGTGGGGGAAAGAATAGGGGCAGCTGTGGGGAATAAATGAGATGGTGGGTCTGATGACTCCCAGATCTCATTTTTCCTGGGTGTTAGATCTGCCCTGGAAAGCAGGAGGAGGGAACCTGGGTCTCCTCAGCTGTGCACGCCCTCATTTCAGCCTGGCTCAGCATTTGTTAGAAAGCAGGATGGAGAAGGGAGACCTGAGCCGAGCTCTTAGCTAACGGAGTATAATTTCTGCTTGGTTTTGTAGAAGGTTGGGTTGGCTGAGCTTTGGGTTTAACTTCCTCTGTGGCTCTCCAGCTGCCCATCACTGACACTCATGTTTTCATGTCTGCTCAAACAGTTGGGTTAAAGAAGGCCTTGGTTATTTTCTTTCCTTTTTTTTTCCCCTCTTGGAGAAGTGTCTCATTTACTTTTTGCAGCTGTCCTGACTCTGTCTCTCCCACTATCATTACAGTGAAGCAATCTGGCAATTACAGGGCTGGCCACCCCCAGGAGGAGGGTGTGCTCCACTGGCTTTTTAAAGAGTGTGCAGCACTGCTCTCTGTGCTCATCTCCAAAGCTTTTCTCCTGAAATGGGTTTTATTGCTCTGCCATTCCACGCATCTGTGCAGACAGGAAATGTCTAGATAGTGGACTGGTTTCAGGAAACTTCAGTTCTTTGAATCTCCTTTGGATGGTATGTTGCCCCACGCATTTTCCCTTCCCTCTTCTTTCCCCTCAAAGGATACTTTCTGAACTGAGCCTATCAGAGGTGGTGTAAAGGCATCGATTGCTTTGGCGTTGAAGTACTGAACAAGGACAGAGGAACAACTAATGTTTTTTTTTTCTTGGAGGGGGCTGCCTCATTCTTCATTCTATGGGGGGCTGCCTCTTCAGAAGGGATGGTGGCATTGGAGTCTGAGTGCCCTTGGTGGCATTGGAGTCATAGCCCTTGGCTATGTCCTGGGTTTGTCAGGCTGTGTCACAACTGGCTTTCTTCCCCCCAAACCAGACTCTGGATCTGGGTTGCTGCAGGACATCCAGCTGGTCAGACAGCAGGGCCTGAGCTAACGAGGAAAGGTTTGTGGTCCAGCTCTGATCCTGCTGAAGCCACTTACGTTGCCAGTTCAAAACCCAACTCTAATGCTGGGGCTGAATCAGACCTGCAGGCTTTTACTGCAGAGAACAGGGTGTTTACAAGCTAATGCTTAATCTTATGGGCAACCTCAGAGCCATTTCTTTGGTAACTTGTAGGAAGTATTCTGTTTTGGGTTTTGCGTAAGGTGGTATAAAGCAATCCCATGCAGCTGGAGGCCAGAAGGAAGGTGTCTGGGGGCTCCTGTGGCAGCTGTCTTGCTGTTGGAGCTGTGGGTTCCATTTCTGCGTTTTTTGTTAAAGTGTTCTGAAACAAAACATTCCTTGTATTTCCTTTCCTCTCAGGTGAGAGAATTCCTGGAAATAATCAGGTCCTGGTAGAACTGAGGAGCATTTCGTCAGTCTTTTTCCTTGAACTGGGTTGAGTGCAGCTTGCAGAACATTTGGTCCTGGGGGCACCAACACGGTGAGTCTGGGAAGATTCCTGGCACTGGGTCTGGGCTGCAGCACAGGTACTGGAGGGAGGTGCTGGTTGTTGGGGTAGGCTGACTTGCCCTCTTTTTCCCCAGTGGTTTTGTGCTCTGTGTACCAACTAACAAGCTGTTTTCTGTTGGCAGAGTTTGAGGACCCATCCGCTCGTGTTCCCAGATGAACCCAGAGGAGCCCCTTGCTACAAGCTGCAGTGAGCTCTGCTGTATTTTGACAGTGTTTGACATTTCCCAGACAATTATTAAATCTGCCAATTGAAGATATTTAACGCTCTCCTTCCAGCAGTGGTGCCTATAAACCTTGGTTTGCCCTTCAAAGAACTGTTAGCTGAAGCTTCTGCATTTTGTCACTTGCCAAATGCCACCAGTGAAGCTCTGCTTTCGTTGCTTTGGGCATTTACACGTTGCCTTTAATTAGGACATGTGCTTTTGTGGCCAGGGGCTGATTGGCAGCTCTGTACTGACAAAGTCCAGGAGAAAAATAGATGGTGTGCTGCATTATTTGTTATACTTGAAGGAATGGTTATTTTAGCTCAGCTGCCTTTGTACACATCCTTTAGGAGGGGGGATGCAAGGCCTCAGAATCCAGCTTCCTTCATGAGTTCTTAAAGCACGAACTCTTAAAGGTTAAAATACCTCTGGCAATGTGGATCAATACATGGGGATTTAAGAGTGCTCTAAATTAAGCAGACAAATGAGTTAAACTGCATTTAGCTAATTCCCTGGCTGTGAATAACCCAGCCAGTCCTGAGCCTCAGCTCAGGAGCCATCTGAGGCTGTCTGGTATTTATAGCAGAGATCTCAGACTTCCTTGGAAGTGGTTGGGCTGCAAGTTATGGCTTTATGGACCAGAAGGTAGGAGGCACTTTAAAATGGCCTCTTTTAGTGCAGATCTGAGACTTCTGCTTCTGTCCTAGACTTCAGACAGTGGCTTTCACAGGGGTCCCATCTTGGGTCTGTTTTTTTCCTTAAGGCACAGCTTTGTTTTGCCAAGTCTCTGTGAATTAGGACAACCTTTACTGTAGATCCATAGATGCATCTCTCTAGGAAGCTGTATTCTATGAGGATACAGGGCAGGCTTAAAAATAGTTCAACTTCCCATTAATTACTCAGTAGGAAAGTAGCTGTGTGAATAGCTGAGCAGCAGCTCTGGTTGGGTGTTGGCCCTGCAATGAATGCCTGTTGTTTAATCTGAAGGGCTGCTGTAGGCAATCTTCCTGCAAGCAAGAATCTTCTGAGTGGCTGAGATCTACAGGTTCCTAATCAGAGCAAAGGCTGTCCCAACCAAATCAGAGCTGGACTCCTGATTGCATCCTGATAGGGAAGATTACTCATCCAGGGGAAAAGAGCTGCTGTTTTATTGAGGGTTTTGGCATATGTTAACTGAGCATCTCTAGGCACTCAGTAATGCTTCAGCTCTGCTTTTTGGAGCCCATGAGCAGGGTTTGCCTGATTCTAAGGAACGTTACCTGCTTTCTAATGAGGCTGAGCAAGGCTGAGTGCCCTATAATCCCACGTATGTATACAGACTGATGGAGGAACTCACTCAGAACAGCCCTGTGGAGAAGCACTTGGGATCCTGGTGGGTGAAAAGCTGGACGTGAGCCAGAGGTGTGTGCTTGCAGCCTGGAAAGCCAACAGCATCATGGGCTACATCAGCAGAGGGGTGGCATTGGGCAGGGAACAGACTGACCCCTCTCACTCAGCCCTTGTGAGGCCTTATCTAGACTACTGTGTCCAAGCCTGGGACCTCCAGTGCAGGAGGAATGTGAATGTGGAGGGATGTGGAGCTGTTGGAGCAAGTCCAGAGAAGGCCACACATGCTCATAGGGCTGGAGAACCTCTCCTATGAAGAAAGGCTGAGGGGTTGGGCTTGTTTAGCTTGGAGAGAAGGCTCTGAGGAGACCTCACTGCTGCCTTCCTGTATTTGAGGGGAGCTTACAAGCACTTTTTACACACTCCAGCAGTGATTGGATGAGGGGGAATGGCTTTAAACTAAAAGAGAGGAGATTTAGGTTGGATGTCAGGAAGAAATATCTTACTTGAGGGCCAGTGAGACTCTGGAACAACTGCCCAGAGCTGTGGGTACCCCATCCCTGGAGGTGCCCAAGGCTGTGGATGGAGCCTTGAGCAGCCTCAGCCAGGGATTAGGTATCCAGCCCATGGTGGGGGCTTGGAACTGGGTAATCTTTAAGATCCCCTCCAACCTAAGCCATTCTGTGTATGTTTCTGTGATTTCTTCAGGAAGCCCTTCTTTCAGCCCATTTAACATACGCTTCATCAAGTTGTCTGGGATACTGGCATCTGTTGTTTCTTGGCTGAATCCCTCTGGTTAGTATCAGTAGCTGCCCTTTTGGATGCTCGTTTCTGACTCATTCTTTTTGTTTCCCTATTTGTTAGCTGAACACAGTGGGGGGCAAAAAGTCAGTACTACAGTCAACCCCCTCCTACCATGCAAGGAGCAATGGGTGGTTTTGTGATGGCATATTTTGAGAGACCAGAACTTGAAGTCCTACAACACAGGTAAGTGACTTGAACTGGGATTTGCCCTTTATGTTCCTGCTCCAAGGATCACCTTTATTTTTCTTGGAAAAGAGAACAAGCACAAAGATGTACCTCAATGTAGGAAAAGGAAAATCAAATTCTTGCTTGTGTGTTTGTTACAAAAGGCAATTAAGCTTGAATCAGTAACATGCTGAACCTTCTTCCTCTCACTGGGGCATGGTTTGTGGTTGCAGCCAGTTTCTTCAGGGCAAGGGGAAAGGTTTGCTGTGATAGTTCATTAGATTAACTAACCCATACCATGCCTGCTGCTGCTAATTCAAATTCTAGCTCTTTCTCTAAACAGTGGCACTTGCTGTTCTTTTACCAACTGTAGGTTGTTCTTAGCTATCAGAGCCTTGGTTTTTCTTCCATCCCAACACCCAGCTTCTTTAACAAGAACATAACTGATGCCTTCTCTGCCTGTCATTTTCTGACACGCTCTCTGTGCAGAGTGCAGTGCTTTCCATCCAGCTATGCCCCCTGAGGACAGACCTTCGTGCTACTGGATTGCAAGGCTGTGAAGAAGAGGTACATATTGTATTCCATTGCAGGGTCAATGTAGCTTGCTCAGCAGTGGAGGAGCAATGAGAAAAATCCATTTGGACCATCCAGCCTTGGTCTGACTCACACCAGAGCTGCCTTGCATATTCACCTCTTAGCTGCAGGGCAGGTTGTAGGTTCTCAAGCAGCTCCAGACTACAGAAGCTGGTGCAGTACTCAGGGCTGGTGTTGCTGCCCCAGGTTTCAGCTGATGTCTGTGCTGCACCTGGAGTGAGACTCAGCCTCTGTGCCTGCCCCAGCTTCCAAAAAGGCTCCTTTCCTCTTTCCAGGGGATTATTGGTTCATTGCTCACACACGAGGTGGATACTCTCAGTGCCTTTCAGCTGAACACGGGGTTCCCTCTTTGGTACAAAGCAGCTGGCAATTTTGTCTCGGCTGATAGTTCAACAGATGGCTGCTTAAAAACAGAAAGCAATCAAAGCAGGAGACTTTCTTCTCTTCAAGGACTGTGCTGAGGTCAGCTTCCAGAACAATGCAGGATGTTTCAGCTACGGCACAGGGTCCGAAAGGACAGATGTGTGTATCTGGAAATTTTAGAGGCAGATAGAGGCTTATGTGACCTGAAAGTTAGGGAATTTCCATCCTGGAAGATATTTAACATTGTATGCAATCATGTTTAACTTTGAAATTGGCCCCCTTTCTAATAGGGGATGGGTTGATCACTGGACTTTAGAGGTCTTTTCCAACCTTAATGGTTCTCTTGAAGAGCAGCTGTTTTGGGCTCACCTGGATTATCACCATAACAAGTGGAGTTTCTTTTGGGAAAACATCCCCAGGAGAGATTGCATTTGCTATCTGACCCTTGTTTGTGTTTTGTGCCAGCTGTTTGTGCCAGAAGCTTTGAAATTGTGCCGTGGGCTCAAAGGGACAGTTAAATCAAGGAGGATGAGTACAGGATTAGTTCCCAGGGTGACAGGATGTGTGCAAGGATGTGTTATGTTCTCTCAGCTTTTTTCAGAAAACAAACGAGCTTTGTTGTGAGCCAAGAATAGCAGGATGAACGATGGATGCTTCTGGAAGGTGATGTGCCTTCAGAGCTCTCTGCAAATGCTGCCAGTTTGTGTCCTGCCCTGCAAATGCTGCCTGTTTGGAAGGAGCAATACTGCTGTCCTGGAGGAATCCTCAGCACTGAGTACCTTTCAGCTGGCTGTGCTGGTGAGATAAAAAAAAAAAAAAGGGGCAGCCCCAAGTAGCTTGTAGGGAAGGGAAGCAGGATGTGGAAGGGCTGCTCCCTCCTGAGTTCAGGGCAGGAGTGGACAGTGTGTCCAATGAGGCAGAAAAGCTTCCTGTGCAGCAGAGAGGAGCGAAGCTCAGCCCAGGGACCACAGCTGCCATCCTAGATTGTGATGTCCTGTCTGAAAGGAGGCTTGTTATCTAATCCCTCTGTCTGGGAGGGAGGGCTTGCAAGCTAGTGGAGGAGGGAGCTAAGCTCTACAAACAGCTGGAGCCTTCCAGAGTAGCCTGCAGAGCTGTCACTACTTTGTGCTGTGGAGAAGTGTTGCTTGCAGGCTGGCTCCTTGACCAGTCTCATTACTGTCCAGATCTCCTTAAGGAGAAGATTCATCAGGTTGGGCTCCCTTTGCAGCCCAGCTATTCTTGTGAGGATTTAGCGTGACTTGGTTAATTCCAAATATGTCTTTAAATGAGATATCGTTTGTTAAAGGAGTTCTGGTGAGACCAGCCAGGGAAAAAAAATGATTTCCAAGCAGATCCAGAAACTGTCTTCCATAGGAAAATCAGGCTTAAACCATCTTTCTGTGAACAGCCCAGCAGTGTGAACCTGGCTGGGAGAAATTAGCATCCAGATCCTAATTAAAGGGGCAACAGCAGCTGGAGATGGTAAGAAGAAGGCAGCTGCCTTGAGGCTTTGCTAAAGGGAAGCTGTAGACCTGTGTTTCTTTAAGTTCATCAGCGAATACCTCTAGAAAATCTTGGTGTAATTTTAATTTGCCCTGTTGTGTTTCTCTTTTAGAGGTGATGCTGAGGGCTGACGGTACCAGCTGGATGCTCACTGCCCTTTCCTTGCTCTTTCCTTCAGGGCTTAGGGGTGAGTGACCAAGGCAGGAGGCAAGCAGCTGGGCATCTCACCCCCACGTCATACCCCAAGCCTGGATTATGACTCCGTGTGTCCCCTGTGGGGCAGGAACCTGCATGTAGGCAGCTGCCAGAGGAAAGCTGATGCCTGGTAAGCTTGGCTCTTAATTTTCATTCACAATACGATCAGCATCTTAGCTGTGTTCAGGACTGCAGCAAGCATGTTTCAATACACTGATAGAGTCAGTGTGCTCTAAGAAGGTGGACAAGATAACGTCTCAGTTATACCTATTCCTCCCATCCAGTTTGTCTAGTGAAAGGCAGCATTTTCTATGAAAAAGCTTATTCCATATGTTGCCAAAGCACTGAGCTGGTCAGGGATTACAAGAGGAGTGAACGTGAGTTGTTCACTAGCCCTTGTGACTTTGCCTTTTCTCTAATAGCTATTGCTGGGCTTGCCTCCCAAGGAAATCGAGTCCCACTGTGAGATCAGTCAGGTTGCCTGGTCCCTGGCACAGCCATAATTAGATCAGTGCAAGCTTCTGACATTTGCTGTCATCCTTGGTCCATCTTACATGCTGCACTGCCTTTGGCATGGGAGAGAGACTTTTTTTCTTGTAAGAAAGAGAAAAAGGTTTTCCATTGAGTATAGAAATAGATGTTTTTCCTGCTGTGGGAGTTAGGAATGAAGACCTGGGATAGGTCTACTGGAGGTGAAAACTCCCCTCCCCAGGTGAGGAGCTGCTGTTTGGGCTTGTTTTGGCTTTGTGCTATGGGGGAATGATTGTGATTAATTGTGATTAAACCTGCTACACCCGTTGTAGGGATATTTAGTGCTGATGTGGTAAAACCTGCTAACAGGTTCCCTCTCAGCTTTATCTTAGGTGAGTGGTGTTATTCTGAAGTGTATCTCAAGGTGCCCAGAAAGGCCAGATTTCCAAGCTGTGTAGCCAGGAATGAAGCAGGCACCTGGAGAAGGAGGATGGTAGATACCTGCCTTGTCTTGTGTCCTTGACTATATGATAGGAGCTGAGTCTAAGCTTACTGGAGCTCTCCAGTACCCAAACTGCAGGTTGTGGGTCTGAACTGCAGGCTTCCTAAAGGCCGTGCTTGCACAGTGGAGTTCCCTGCTTGCACAGTGGGACTTTGCTCATGGGTTTGCTGATAGCTTGGAGGTAGAGGAATGCTGGGAGGGCTTCAGGCATCACACCTGTTTCAGCTGACCTGCTATTTCTTGTTGTTTGCAGGGGCAGAAGCATTCTTGGATGTGCACAGTCCTCGTGCATCTTTCCTGATTGGAGATGAATTTCTTCCTGACAAGAGGAGCTCTTATTTACCACGGCTTCCTCTGCTCCTTCTGTTTATTGCCCACCTGAAATCCTCCTTGCCTCCTGTGCTAGCCTTGTTGTTCCAAGAGCAGGCAGTCATACTCCCACTGCAGCAGGAAGAGGGATAGGGTCAGTGGCTGATAGCTGACAGCTCCTTTTTATGTTCCCATCTGTTCCCTCTTTTCCCTTCTAATGAGATCAGGTGCTGGAGTGCACTGGGAAGACTTTTCAGTGAGAGGAAGTCACAAACGAGGTACTTAGGTCCTTGCTTTCATCTTTGCTGGTGAGAGGCTGCTCAAATCAAACCTGCATCCTCTTGAGCTGCTCCTAGAACAGAAAGAAAGCAAAACTGTGTAGTGAGGCTGGCAGCCCTGCATCAGGTAAGTTTGTACTGCAGCGCTGAGCCTTGTAGAGATGCAAATCTGGCTCTTCTGAGGCTATTTAAAAATGTTATTGGTACTGTTTTGTTTTTTTTTTTACATGGCTACTGCCTTACAAAATCTCAGCTAATTTAAATGGTCTTATTCTCCACTCCTTGGGGTGTTGGTGCTTCTCACATGGACTGTCTTTCTTTTGTGTCACAAGTGACTCCGCTCCTGTTTTGTTTTGAGGAGCTTTTCCCCCCTGCTTTTGGGGACACGTGTTTACGACAGTGCTGGTTTTCCATGGAGGGGAGCCTTTCTATAAAGGAGAAACTAGAACAGCTGTTTGGGGCTGTCTTCATTTTTGGCTGCTTGATTTCATGGCTGTTTTGGGGTAATGTTAAGGATGGGAAGAGGTTCAGAGGAGAACTTTCTTGGTCAGTCCCTGGTGAATGAAAGTTGCCTCTCTGCTCCTACTACCAAAATGTACCCTCCCAGCACAGGACAAGGGCTCTTGTTAGGGATGCACTGGGTACCCTGCTCAAGAATTAGTAAGCACTGGTTCAGATCCAACCCAGAACAGCTTCCCTGTAGCTGCTCATTAACAGTGCTCCCAGTTCATTTGGCAGAAGGCTGGCAGCTCTCGTGGTCAACATGATGCTTGCAGGCTGCCCCAGCATCTCCTCAGCACTGAGCTGTGCTGCAGGGAGCTGCAGCAGCTGACCTGACAGCAGCAAGGAAACCAGCTTCAGTGCTTCACAAGTGATAAGTAAAACAAGCTACTCCCTTCACAGCATTGCTTCTGGTGCTTTGTAGCTGCTGTAATTGCTGTGATGGTGCCAGGTGCTCTTAAGGGCCCGGGTTGGGTTTGTCCTTTCTGTGTCTCCCACTTAAACTGTTGTTGTTTTTTTCGTGCTTCAAATCACAGAACCAGATGTTAGTGTTTGAAAATGCTCTGCAGGAGTGAGAGCTACTAGTCCTGGATGGCAGACTTGCTGCAGAGCCAAGGACCTTTTCCATGGACTCAGGACAAATCTGACCACAAACAGAGCTGCCAAGTGATGCTGGAAACTGCAGATGTTGAGCAAGCTGGTGTAGACCAGGTTAGACAAGAGAGGGCTTTTTCCTTTGCCTGGTGAAGCTGAATGAAGGAGTGCTTGTGGCATCCAGTGTGGTCCTGATGCGTTCTATGGGATGTGGGTGCCCAGGTATTACCATGGAGAGGATGCCAAGTAGTACTCAGGTTTCTAGTGGCCAGTTTCCCTGTGGAGTTCCTGCCTGCATCTCTTCCTGCCCAATTCTTGTTTAAGGAGCAGTGCTACTTGAAGCATCTCACCCAGCTGTGAGGTTTGGACTTAAGGGCAGGACTGATGACTTCTTCCTATCCCCCTGCCTGGTACCACTGTTTCTGCCCTCCTGCAGAGCCAATAGAGGAGAGATGCTCTGTGTGTAGACTCCTGTACCTCTGGTCAGGGAGAAGACCTGGTATTCCCCAACCTCTGCTGCTGGGTGGCACAGGATGGGGTGAGAAACCTTCTGGCAAGGCCCTGCAGCTGCTGAGAAGAGCCAGATATGAGGGAGGTGAGGCTCTCCACTCATCTGCCTTGATGGCCAGAAAAGACCACCAACACATTAGAAACTCCCCTTGAACTGTGAATAACTTCTTGAATTGTGTGTGTATGTGTGTGTGTATCTTGTGCCTTTACCTACTGAGACAGCTGGCTGGATGAAGTGGTGCCATAGTATAAAAGAAAACCTCAGAGGGCACTGCACTTGCAGGGGCCATGGTCTTTGCTTTGTTTTGAAGAGCTGTGGAGAGAAAACAATTTACTCTTTTCAAATTTGATGGCTGCACAGGCAGTGTCAGGGTCTCCGAAGTGAATGTGTTTGAAATGCTGTCTTGACTTTAGCAGACAGGGAGAAGAGAGAGCAGGGTTTGGAAATGAGACGGAAAATAAGCCAAAAGGGAGGAAAGGGTTGATTGCCATGGTGGGAATCAGAAGGGAGAAAAGCAAACCCAGGGCTGTGTGCTGAGGTATGTACTACCAAAAAAATCAGTGTTTTCTTCTGCGACGTGGGATTGCATTGCTCAGAGGAAAGCAGGGGGAAATGTGGCTGAAAGGAGCCAAGTTAATTTCCCTTCTTTCTCTAAGGGGGGGAAAATATGAATCCTGCTTGAATTGAAGAGGATTATTTGTTACTTCATGAAGTTGCAATTGGGTAAGCGATCTCAGTGCAGTTGTTATTCAGTAGGAAATGTTCTGATGGTATAGAACACTGCAGATGCTGTGGGTTTGGTGTGGTTAGTGCAGGAATGATGCCAGGAAAGGTGTGGTGGTTCTGAGATGCCTGGTGCAAGCCTACCTGGAGACCCTGCTTTTGGTGTTTGCAGTACCAGCATCATCAGGCCTTGCTAATTAGACCAACTAATCAAGCAGTGGGGAGAAAGGGAGGCAGACCTTAGTGGAAAATCTTGCTGCATCAAGTCAGAAACACGGGCAGCCAAATGGGAAGTGAGTGTGGATCAGGAATGATTCTCTGAGTTGATCTTAATGGTAACAGTTGAGTACTGTGGCAGAAAACAGTTGTGAGTTCACGGAGCAGAGAGGGGTTTAATGAGGGCTGGGAGGTTTGGTGGTCTCTTGAGAGCAGAGAAATGGGATGATGGGTTCCTGGTGGTGAAAGGAAGCAAGGAGGCTGTTTCTCCCTTGTCCCTGGCCTGCACTTATTACTGTGCCATTTGTCCTTGTTGCAGGTGGATCCCACCCAGATGGCTGCAGCATCAGTGCACCACCTCTGAGCTCTCCCATGAACCAACTCTGCAGGGGAAGGATTCATATCTCATGCGTGAGGTCTTGGACCTGAAACTGATTTGAGAAACCACTTCACTACCTTGGACTCAGCTCCTCTCCTAGCTTGCTGTGTGCCCCCAGGCAGCTCTTCCTCTGCTTTCACATCTGTATCTGGGCAGCATGCTCCGAGAGGATGCTCTTAATTAAGACTTGTACAACTCAAAGCATGGAGAAGCCTGGGGTTCGAGTCAGAGAGCAGTGTCTGCAGTCCTACAGAATGTCTTAAATGCGTTTGTGCAAAGCGTGGCTTTAATTTCAGGTTCATTGCAGGGTTGCCTGCTGTCTGCAGAACCATGGCTGGAGTGAAGAAGCTACGGGAGGAGCTGGCTGTGGCCTCCCTCTGCTCCACTGCCAGCAGTGAAGGGCAATCTGGCTGATGGCGTGCACGTACAGCGACACTTCCCTGCTGTCCACTGGGCTGTCTGTTGGGGATGCAATGTATTCATTTCCTTCCAAGTCCCTGCTAGCTAGGAAAAGTAATAATCTGCAGTGTTTACCTTCTCTGTCCTCAGAAATTAAGCAGCTTTGGCAGAGCACATGTGTTTTGCAAAACGCTGGAGCCCCCCGAGGGTTTTGTGTGCAAAAGCTGAGAGAATCAAATAAAGCAGTGTTTTGCACAGGGAGCACGCGCTCCTTCTGCTCCATCACCACGCTCTGTGCAGCAGTCTTGTTGCATCAGCTGGCCCCTGCTTCCTGCTAAGGTTTGGAGTGTTGAAGTGTTGCAAAGGGAGTTGACCCCTCTGTGGGTTTTTCAAGGGTTACCCAGGACAGAGAGGGCAGCTGGGTGACTGAGTTGTGGCTTTGGAACTGAGGTCGTTACAGGGAAAAAAAAAAAGTCTTAGGATGTATTTTTCCCCATCCAGCTTGTTTGAGCTTCCCTATCCCAGGCTTCTCCTGTGCTGTTAACTCTGCTTTGCTTCACAGATAACTTGTCTAGGAAGGAAAAACAACAGCTTCAACTTTGTGCAACATCTTGACAAGCTTAAAATCTAATGTGGGGAAAAAAGAAAAGTGAAACAACTAGACTATCATAGAAAGGTTTGAGTTGGAAGGGACCCTAAAGGCCATCTGGTCCCACTCCCTGCATTGAGCAGGGACACCCACAGCTCCATCAGTGCTCAGAGCCCCATCCAGCCTGACCTTGGCTGTATGCAGGGATGGGGCACCACTGTCTCTCTGGGCAGCTGTGGTATCCTTAGCACAGTGTCCATCTGGCTCAGTGTGCTGATGGTAAGTAAACTGACCCTCACCTGCTGCTCTGAGATGGGGGGGGGGAGCACTGGCTGGGAAAAGCTGCAGATCACATCTTCCTCTGATTCCCTGACCTCAGAACCCTGTCTGTTAATGCCTTGCTCATCCCTGTAGCAGTATGAGGAATGTTAGGGAAGGATGGATCACCCTGTAGGTAATGCAGCTCTTAGGTCAGAGCATGGTGGGGCAATGCTTGCTTGGCAGAGGGGAATGTGATGTACTGCATAGCAGGGTGATTATTGCAAGGATGTGAATCTTTGCTTGGTCCTTTGAGGAGACTTCACAGTGAGAATGAGACATTCCATGTGTGTATTAGTTATTTACTGCACATGTTTCTACTGATCTGTGACGAGTAGCAATCTTCAGAAATAAAACCTCTGTGCATGAAGGAACCCTGTGAATTCACTGTACTCCCTATGCAGCCCCTGGGCTGTGATGCAAGAGCAGGATGCACAGGCTCCCAGGTGAAATGCATTAATGGCTGCAGCTCCAGCTATTCAAGCAGAAGTGTTTTCATCTGAGAGTGTTTGGGGAAGATGAAGTGATGACATGTTATTTTAGATAATTATTTCACACTTTTTCACACAGTGGCATTTGCCCAAGGCTCAGTCTGAGGTGTGGGGGACTGATTCTTAATGAAATAAGCTCATGCTTGCTACAAAGGACAAATTAATCTCTGGATGTCTGATTTGGAAATGCTCTTATTTGCCACCTTGTCTGAGTTCAGTTTGCCACTGTGGTCTTGTCAGCCAGCAAACCAGTTCTGTTTCTTTAGTTGCAGAAGCATCTATGGCTTGAAATGAGGAATTCAAGCAAAATTTGGCAAGCTCTAAGCTTGCTCAAGCCCTGTGTTTGACCCTGCACAAGCACATGGAGCAGAGGCACTGGGGTGAAATGCATCTGTTAGAGTGGACTGCAGGGATATGGAGCTCAGAGCCACCTGGAGCTCCTCACTGATGACATCTGGGATCCTTTGGGTTCAGTGAAGAGTTGGCAGCTGTTAGGCTGTGCTTCTGAGAGGGGGCTGTGTGGTAGCTGTGGAATATCCCCAGCTGGGAGGGACCTGCATGGACCATCCAGTTGACCCCTGGCTGTGTGTAGACCACCCCCAAATTCAAACCTGTGTGCTGTCCAAAGCTGCTTCTCTTCTACCTGGCCCTGGTGATAAAGCTGGGAGAAATGCTTTGTGTTCTGCAGCGTGTTTTCTTAACTGCAGCTCTGCCTTAGGATAAGCACAGGGGTGTTCTGTGTTTTGGGGGAAGTTTCCCTGCGTGCTTGCTGTGCTCATGGTCTTCTTTCCTTGAGCCTTTGCTATTTGAAAGAAGGTGCTGCTCAGCAGCTGCCTCTACTCTCTGTGCCTTTATTTTGTTATGGATAAAATAGGAATAAAGGGGGAAGCGCATCTGGGTTGTTGAGCAGTGGGATGCTGAGCTCTGAACATCCCACACCCAGCCACATCCCATGGCCACCTCCTCCCTGGCAGCATCCCCAGGGCAGTGACGTGGCCCCAGCTGGGCGGTCCCGTTGCTTTGGGAACAAGAATGGCAACAACCCGGCAGTGCTGAGTTTGGGACTGGAGTGTGAGTGCCTCCATAGGGTGAGGAGAGTGGTCCTGGGGGGGCTGTGAGGGCCCTGCAGTGAGGTGGTGATAGCTGTGTCCCTTCCTTTGCCATATGGGGGGGTGCTGGGTGAAATAGAGGGTGGTTTTCAGTGCTGGGGGGGGGTGAGGAGGCACGGATCTGTGTGGGGAGGTTTAACCCTGTGTGGCAACGCAGATCAGTGCTTGGGGCGGATCCATGGTGGGAAGGTTGATGGAAAGTGCAGCAGATGGGGATAAGTGGAGGTGGCTGCAAAACTCTGTTCTCTCCTGGTGCTGTGCATCCATAGGTGGCTTCCCAAGAGGCAGTTCCTGTGTGTGCCTAGGGAAAATACAAGGCTTGGCTTCAGCATGCGCCCAGGAAGGGGTGGATGATAGAATCATTTAGGTTGGAAAAGACCACAAAGGTCCCCAAGTCCAACTGCACCCTCTGTGCCCACTGACTGTTCCTTGGCACCCCATCTCTGTGGTTATTGCACACCTCCAGGCTGTTTCCTTTGAGCAGCAGCCTCTGTCCCTTGTCCAAGGACAGGAATCACTGAAGCCAAGGATTTGGCCCAAAGCTCAATCCAGCCAAGGTGGGGTCAAGGGGAGTTATTCCTCTACCTTTAGTTACCAACTCATTTCCAGTTTGACATCTTTGAGTTGAATTCACGCTGCTTTTCTTCCAAAGGTGAAAGCAGCGTGGTGAGAGCTGGGTATGAATGCATGTACAGCTTTATTTCACAGGAAAGCTTCTGAAAACAGATCAGGACAGCTGGGAGGCTTGCAGGATTGGAACTTCTGGTGCCACTCAGCAGATGCCTGGTCCTTTGGGGTCACTGGTCAGGGTGCAGCCTGAACTGCAATCTGGAGGTGGCTCAGAAAAGGAGGCTGTGTCTTCCAGTGATGTTCCAGTTTCCCTTTTTCCTGCTTGGGCGTGCATAGGAGAGGCTGCTGGGAAGGGCAAACAACACTATAAGTGCTGGAGGAAGGAGCTGCAGTTGTAATATATGGAGCCAAAGAGCCTCCAGAAGACCTTGGAGAAGAATTTGGGCCACCTAACAACCAGCTGAGAGCTGAAGTTTAGTCAAATGGGAGGCATAATACCGGCCTGCTATTAATTATCTCAGCCGTGGTAGAGCTTTTGTGATAAATTGCAGGGTGACAGCCCCTAAGTGATAAAATATGGAGGGAGTGGAACGTAAAGGTGGCAGGTGAAGCTTCCTGGGTAGTGTGACTTGATTTAGAAAGCACTCAGCCACTTAGCAGTGGGCTGGAGGTTATCCTGGAAGCTCTGCTTCTCCTTTCTTGGCTTTCTTGAGGTGCTGTTTATACGGTAATTATGGCTAAGCAGGCGATTTCTAGGCAAGAAATGTGATCCTGCTACTTAAGCTTGAACGGGGCAAGATGATTTAGACTAACAAAACTGTTCAATAGCATCCTGATGCGAGGTTTTAACGGATCTCCTGTCTTGCTCTTCCAGCAAAGCATAATAGAAAGGCCAATTATCCAATTACTCCAGAGAGATGCTTTGTCTTTGCAGAAGGAAGGAGAAAGAAGATTTACAGTGTGTATACCAAAGGAGAATTCAGCCACAGATGGGTCTGTGCTACAAGAAGAGCTGGGTTCCACATACTGCAGTGCGGAGTGTGCTGATGAGCAGGGAAGGGCAATCAGCTGGTGAGGGACCAGCTCCCAGCCTGCAATCACAGCATGTGCAGACACTGAGCTGCCTGCATCCCAACCCCTCTGTTTTTTCCTTAATGCCTAAAGAAACGTGGATTTATTTCTCATTTGGTTTGACTTCATATGCTGGGCATGTGCATGCAGCCCTGCCTTCTGCCTACAGGTCTATGTGGTTAGTTTGGCTGTGTGACCCCAGCCTAGGTTATGAGCCAAGCACTCACTGGGTCAGAGGTTGATATTGCTTTTATTGAGCACTCATGCAGCTCGTGACCACGAAGGCTCATCTAGGAGCAGGGAGATGCTCTACAGACCTTTCTTGCAAGGACTCACTGCAAAAGCTGTGTGCTCACATCGTGCAACAAACCCTTTTCCTTTCCTCTGAAGATGATCCTGGTCTTTGACAGTGAGGGAGCAGGCATCCAAGCTGAAAGTTGCTTTGGTCTCCTGAATCCAGAGCTCAGATCCTGATTGATGCTCCATACTTATTTAATAAGGGGAGTTTTTTTTCATTCCTTCTCTTCTCACTCTGTGGCCATTTCAGTGATTTGTTTGCCACTGCCCAGAACTTGAGAGTGAAGAAGCAGCTGCTACACAGCCCTGCCTTGCATGGCTGGTGCTAAATCAAGCTCTTACCCAGCAGTACTGAGGAATTTCAGCTTCCTGGTGCAGCAGGATGCTTTGGGCTGGAAACAGGAGAAAGAGGTGTTGAGTTCAATGGCAGGAACAAAACCAAGTGTGGGGCAGGGTCACTGAGGTCGATGACAGCTGTTGGAGCATGAAGGCTGGCTCCAGGTGTGCCATCTGCCTGCAAAAGGCAGGAATCACATCTGTGCTGGGTAGGGGAGGCTTTAACATCGCTTTGGGAGCTGCTGGGAAGGAGCACCAGGTGCTTGTGGGTGCATCTCCAGCCAGGTGTGAGAGGGTTGATGGCTTCCGCTGTGACATCTCTTAAGTTCTGCCTCCTGAGATGAAACCATAAACATGGGTGGTGCTCCCCCTGGCCTTACAGCACATCTGTTGGTGCCTTGAGCACATGAAGCTGTCGCATCTGGGATTCCTTTGCCTTGGCTCTTGGGTTCCTGCTTGGGTTTGTGGCTGGGCATCAGTTGAGAGATGTTCTGGCATGAGTTTCTGTGCTTGTTTCCGGGGCTGAAATCTCCCTGACTCCCAAATACTGAATGTTGGCTTTCAAGCTGAGAGCTCCTTGTTCCCTCCCAGATGATTTGGTTCACCTGGGGCTCAATGCCTCACAAAAAGCTCTACCAAAAACACATGAAGCTCCCTGGAGCTGAGATCCTCCTGTAAGATGGGTGGCTTTGGCTGGTGCCACCTGTGGGTGCCATTAATTGGAACAAGCTCATCAGAGAGGCATTCAGCAGCTGCAGCAGCAGAGGACAGCCCCAAGGCATGGCCAGTGCTGCAGCAACGAGGTACTGTGCCTTGTGCTTGGAGTCCTCCCTGGGTGGACAAAATAGAAATTAAACCCTTGCATTGTAAGTCAGCATGGAAGCTTTGCTTGTCCTCTTAAAGAAATGATTACCTTGTCTGTGGCATCAGAGTTCATTTATCAGCTGTTTCAGCAATGTTAACAAATGCTACTTGAAGGCGTGCTTTCTGACACTGCCACAATCATTCACTGCAGAGTGAGATGTGTAAGAAATAGATGGGCTGTGGTGGTTTGCGAGGGCTGTAATTTTCATTTGGGTGACATTGCAAACCACGCAGCCCAAGTAGGATGCTGAGAAAGTCCAAGGCAAAAGGCAGCCTCTGCTCCAACCTGGAGCTGAAGCAATCCCAAAGCCACGAATGCTGGAGCACACATCTGTGTTTGTGATGTGGGTGAAGGTGAACCCCCAAATTCTTGGCTGGGTCAGTGTGCCTTCTGGCATAGTACTGCTAGGCTGCTGAGTATGGTGGTGGTGTTATATGGTCGTCATTCCTAGTGATGTTTTCTGCTTTGGGGAGCCAGTGCAGCTCCCACAAGGATGACTGGGCTGTAACAGAGGGCTGTAGGCAGGGCACCCAGGCAGCCCAACATCCAAGTCCTGTCGGTTGCTCTCCAGGTTCCGTTGGGCTCCATCTCATCCCAACGGCTCCCTGCCCTGCTCCTGGCCCCCTGGCTCATCCAGAGCCGCTGGGGCTGTTTGTGCAGTAGGACTGGGTGCTGCACCAAGTGAATCCTGCCAGAGGAGCACTAATTACCTGCCCTAAGGTAGGGGCTGACCATGGGGTGGGGGTGAGGAGGTCTGTTGGTCGGAGGACTTACAGCTGTGTGATGCTCAGCAGGAGTGAACTGAGCTAGGAGCACGTCTGGGGGAGATGGAAGGGTGTCAGGGAGTTATGAAGTTGCTGTGCAGCTTACAGTGGTGGCAGAGACTTCTGGTTTGGCTGTGGGTTAAAAGAAGCTTTGGGGGAGAGTGAAGGCTGTGTGTCCTTGGTGACCTTCAGTTTGGCTTTTTTTTTTTTGCTCTGGTGCTTTTGGGGGATATGTTAGGATCTTCCACTCAAAACCTGCTCGGAGTTCTGGACTGATGCCCAGCTCAGGGGGTGTCTGCACTCAACCCAAAACCGAGGTGCCAGGAGCCAGAGGCATCACCCATTAAAAGCCCTTGGGTCCAATGGACTCGGAGCACAGAAAGATTGCAATCCTCATGTTTTTGTCTGCTTGCAGTCCCCACCACAGCTCAGGGGGCCGTGGCTTCTTTCTGTCTAGTGGGGCTGGCTTCTTTCTGCTTGTCCCCTCCTCATGCTGGAGCTCAGCAGGGGCTGCTGCTGTGCCCTGCTGGAGGTGGGGGGTAATGGGATGGGGGATGGAAGTAGACATCGTGGGCATGATGAACAGGATTAATTTCGGGCAAAGTTAAATTACAGCTAGAAAATTGTAACAAATAATCCAGTTATTCTCAAGACCCAGTAATAAAGCACAGAAATCCAGATTAATGTTGTATCATCCCCATTACATTTCTCTTGGGGAAAAAAAAATAGTTATTTCCAGCTTGAAATCCTGTCCCTTGCTGTAGCATGTCCTTGTGCTGGCAGGACTGGGCTGTGCTCCCTTTTTTTTTCCCATAAGAGCAGAGGGAAACAGCCACCATGTATGCCTGCCTGTGCCTTTTAGGTTGAGGACTGTCCTTTATTTCTGTGCCTGTCCTTTCCTAGCGCTGCATGAGGAGTCTGATACCACAACTGTGTACAGCACTGCTTGGGGAGTGAAGGAATGAAGCAATGAACTTCCTGGGGTTGCTTATGGAGGACTTGTCAGTGGCCCTGCTTTCACATGTTGTGTTTATGTTTTAACTGGTTGCTCATGTTTTTTAAAGGGTTTCACGCTCTCACTGCTGTTACAGTGAGCCTCTGTGATGCCTGTAGGGAGGTTTGAGTTTGGGTGTTAATAAAGGGAAATTAAGGCCCTTGTTCTCCACGGAGAGATGCTCTTGAGCACCAGGGTAATTTCATGCCTGGAAGGAATCATATTTGCTGGGTAATTTTTGTAGCTTAAACCAACCAAATTAGCCTTGAGAAATGATAACTCCCCATCAGAGTATTGAACTCAATGCTCTGTTCGTTAGAAGGCTCCCTGCACAAGGGGTAGAAACTTGGCTGGCAAGACAGGAAAGTGGTGTGCTGTTATTGATGCTCAGGGCATCGTGATCCCAGGGGCTTTGAGGCTGTTGATAACACTCTGAGCACAGAGTTGTGGCAGGCTGGCACTGCTGTGTTGCTTCCTCCTTTGTCAAGTGCATGGGCAAGCTCCTGTCCAGGCATCCAGCTACAGCCTGGATGCAAATCCTGATATGTCTGTGCTGGCACTGAGTCCTTACAGTCTGACTTCTCTTCTGGATTTTAAAAGTCCCATTGCTGCTTCTTATAGGCCGGCTGAGACATGGCTACCAATAAGCTCCACCAGTCCGTGGGATCCTCCAAAAGCCCTGATGGATTCCGGAATGAAGTGGTGGCACCTTGTAACCCAAAGCTGGCCACTGAGGCGGAGGAGCCTGTAACAGTAAGTACCAACTGTGGCCAGGAGGGATCTGTTAAGGTGGGAAACATCCATCCTCCATGTCCCTGGGTCCATCCTCAGTGTTCCCTCCTTGCTGCCATGCTTCTCTGTTGGAGGTGGCTATTGCAGGGACAGGCTGTGTGTTGAGTTAGGGAAAGTCCAGGCTCTTGCCTGTGTGTGCTGGAGCTGAGCTGAGCCTGTGAGGTACTGCACAAGGACAGCTGGAGCTCCTACACGTGCTCCTTGCTGTGTCCCCATGGTGTGAGGCGGGGACGCCTCCAGGCTGTGATGGTACCTGTGACTGCTGAGCTGCAAACTCTCTCTTCCTCATCCCCAAACGTCCCCTCTGCTGACTAGAGCTGACCCAGTGCTGAGCCTCTGTTGAGGAGACATCAATGCACACCTCTGCATAGGGTCTGTAAGGCCAACCTGCAGAAAACAAGCAGTTAGAACAAGGTAAATGAGGACTCGGACCCCAAACCAGGTCCTGGCTTGGTGCTGCTCTCCTGCGACTCGCCCAGCAGTGACATCTCTGCACGCAAACGCATTGTGTGGAGCTGGGGACTTGGGACAAGCTCCTCCCTGCTCTCCTCAAAGGTCACTGGCTCCACGCAGCAAAGCTAAAGAGGAAACAAATGCCCAAAGAGCAGAAATCCCCAAACATGTCACTTCGAATCACGGAGGAGAGGCTAATGGGACAGAGCTGCTCTGTTGGAGCCTGTGTATTCCGCTCTATATAATTAATTTACTGGTGATGAATATTTCAGCAGGTAACTTATGGGACTTCCAGGACTGTCCTAGTGGCTGCAGTCATAAATGATTCATCGGTGGGGCTTGAACAAGAAAAGCCTTTCAGAAGGAAGGCCTTTCTGCAGCCCTGGGTGCGTTTTGCCTTGCAGCTGACTCCTTCTGCCTTCCTGAAGGAGATGTCCCTCACCACGGAGCAGAGGTTGGCCAGCACCCACAGCACACGGCGTCCCCGCATTGTGCAGCTCCTGGACATCAGTGACACCTCCTATCAAAAGGTACCGTTTTCCTGCCCTTCTCCTTGCTGTTTCACGTGGCATTTCAGGAGCACGTGTGTCAGCTTGCCCCCAGCATCTCTCAGTAGCAGGGTGAGAAGGTCTGGCTGCCCTCTGGAAGCGCTGATGATGCTGGAGTTCCTCGTGCTGAGGGAAAGGCAAAATGTTTTTGCATCGCTGGGATGTTTTTAATGCCGAAGCCGATAGAGATAAACTGCTGAAATCAGTGGTGGAGCTTAGCTAGCCTTACAGCATGGGAGAAGGATGCAGCAGGAAACAAGCTGCCCTCTTCCATCCTTGCTCCCTAATGGGGATTAGGGCCACAGCTCCATTGCTGGTGGCAGCGTGGGCCCTTGAAGGCTGGGTGCCCTATAACAACAGCTCAAGATTGATAAACAAAAATTATTTTATTAATGCTTTGGGTTGGGACACACAGGGTGTTGGATTTGCCAGCTGCGTGGTCCTGCTAGGTACCCACACCTGGCAGAGTGAGCAGATGTGCTTTATTCTGGAGGATTGCTCAGTGTGTGACACAAGGTGGGTTGCTGAACAGGAATTTGCCAGCCAGAGACCTGTAACGGGTTGGTGCAGAGTTGCCCTGCACAGCACAGGAGTTTGGGGGCATGTTGGATGAGTGTCCAGTGCATGAAATAAATCGTCCCTCCACATAAAGCTCATGGCAGACAGAGATGCCAGGTCCAGTCTTGCTCAAGTTGTCCAGTAACGCTTGACAGGAGGTGAACTTTACCACCACCCAGCACTCACCCTGCTTGCCTTTGTGCTGCTGCACTGCTTTCTTTTTGGCCTTCCCTCCTTTGGCACCATTCTGTGCTTGCTAGTTTCCATGTTCCACATCCAAATGAGATATCTGGGGACCTGTGGGACTCGATCTCTGTCTCGGAGCAAAGCTCATCCCAAGAGTTGGTCTTGGAGCTCTACACAACTCTTGGGCTTCATCCCCTCCCTGAGTGCTCGTGGCTCTTCTGATGAATTCTCTTGGACTGTGTGACCACACTGGCTCCTCTCACTGCTGTCTCGTATCTCCAGTTCTCCTCAGTTGACCTGGATCAGACCTTGTTCCAGCCTTTCCCATCCGAGGTGGTGTTCCAGAGCTACGTCCCCTGTGAGGTCTACGAGGTACCCCTGGTTCTGAGGAACAACGACAGGGTAAGTGCTGGGCTGTGTGTCTTTAACACTGTGTTGGGAGAGGAGAGTGGTGCACGTGAAATGCAGCGTGCCGTATCCAGAACTAGGTGCATCACATTCTTCCTGTCACAAAGATGTGGAGATGTTCTTGTGATATAGGGGTTTTTATCACTAGTTTTGACCATGCATGGGTGGGTTCTAACCCAAAGGAGCTTTTTGGACAACATCCTTCCTCTTGAAAGCTCTGGTCAATTGGGCATGTTGAGGGCTGCACAGTTCTTATCTTCCTTGATTGTGCTTCACCTCCAGAGCTGGATTTTTTAGGTTCCTGCGAAGCTTAATTTGGTTCTGCTCAGGCTTTTCTAAGATAATGTGGCTTTCTGTTTTCCCTTTGGAGAACCATAGCACGCCCAGAGAAATGGGCTTTTGAAGGTCCCTGCCTTTACTTGAAATAATCTTGTGAGCATTTTGAGACTTCTCAAGAAAGTCGAGAAGGGAAAAGTTGAAAAATGTCAGCAATTTTACTTCCAGTTTAAAGAGGAAAATGGAGACCTTTTCAGTTTCAGCAGGGGAAACGTTTGCTCAAATGAGGCACGTGCCAAGTGTGAGCTGGTGGGAGCAGACAGGAGGGAGGGAAGGAGCTGAGTTGGGAAGTGCTCTGGGGAGAGCACTGTGTGCACAGGGGGTTTCTCTTGGCACATAGAAATAAACATTACTGGTAGCAGAGGAAGGTCAGAAAAAGAAATATGTGATAAAAGATACAACTCTGGCACAGAGGCATGTAGAATCGTGGAATCATTAAGGTTAGAAAAGACCTCTCAGATTGCCAAGTCCAACCCCAACCTACTCTACCACGTCCCTCAGTGCCACATCCCCATGGTTCTTGACCACCTCCAGGGATGGTGACTCCCCCATCTCCCTTGGGCAGCTGTGCCAGAAGAAATTGTTCTTAATATCCAACTTTCCATGGCACATCTTGGGGCTGTTCCCTCTCATCATATACGAGCAGTGGGAAGTATGTATAGGGGGAGGAAAGTGGGTGTGTGGAGCCCTCTCCAGTTCTACCTGCTGGATATACAGAGGTAAACAAAAAGCTCTTGGGGTGTGTAGTAGGTGGAGGAGCAGCAAGAAGGAGCCAAGTACATCCTGAGACAACAGGTTGGAAGTGGAAGATCCTTTGGCAAGATGGATACCTTATAGTTAGTGTCAGTTATTCCTAGGGAGCTCTGTTGTTTTCCTTGTCTAGCATTTAGCTTGGGAATATTGGAAAGAAGCAGCAGGAGCACCCAAGGAATAACATCTGTGCAGTCTGCATGGACCCTTTACCATAAAAATTTCCTCTTCTGTTTAAGAGTTGCCTCGGTTTCTCTTCTATAGCTTCATTTCCATCAGGTCTTTTGGTTTCAGCTGCTCCCTTATCCACGTGGCGCTCCATAGTGTTTGTCTTTGCCAGGTGCCAGCCAACAGGCAAGCAGTTCATTTGCTCTATTCATGCTTTCTCAAGTGGAAAAGAACATCTGCATCAACATCTCTGCTGTTCCCAGTAAAAAATAATAAACTTGTACAGCTGCGCCCTGGGATTTGTATGCCCAACAAGGGGGAGACAATGTGTGAATTGTTAATTTTTTTTTCCAAAATGAATTAGTTTTTGAAGCTAGCAAGACCTCAGCTATTGGACAGTACTGATGTAAAAGTAAGATCAGTTCTGAGGACAATCCTTGGCATATTTCAGTGTATGGAGGTGATAATCCCAAGAGGGGTTGTTATATTCTAATTTAGTTGGCTTTTGGTTGTGTGTGTTCTCATAAAGCTTTCTCCCAGTTTCCCAGATCCCTCTGAATCAGACTGACTTATATTGCACAGTAGCTTGAGGTTGTCTGCTCCATAAAATCCCGTGAAGTATATTGCAGAGAGAGGCTCTGTGATGATTCAGACACAGGAGGGCTTTGGTATACATACTGCTCACGTCTCTTGTGAAGTTGCTTTTCTGCCTTTTGGCTGCTGCTTTCCCCCCCTCTGAGGTGTCACCTCTGAGGGTGGCTTTTGCTGAAGGTGCTCATCTTCAAGGGGACTCAGCAACCAAAGCATCCGTGTGCACTGGGTGGGTTCGTTGATTGGTGAAGCTGCCTGTTGGCTGAAATGGCCTGTTGGAGGCTTTGAGATGAGAGTTGGAGCTCTGGGGTTGGTATCTGTGCAGCTGGATACACCTGCTTGCTGGTCTGGGGCTGAGATTGGCTTTTAATGACCAACCTACGCACCCAGTCAGTGCTGGTTACATATCTTAATGCAGAAAATGCCATTGATGCCCATAATTGGTACGCACAGCCTGCAGCCTGGGGGGTTTCTAGGGCAAGGGTAGTGCAGCTCTCCATCATTTTGGCAAGCTGACTGCTCTCATCTTCTAGACCAGTTTTCCCCCATGCTCCCTTGCTTCTTCACAGCCCTTTTCAACAGCTCTCAGCCACCTCCCTTTTCTTCTCTGGATGTCTCTGTCTTCCTATGTTCTGTGCTTTGCACTTGCTTGTACTCCTAGTGTACATCTGTGTGTACCTCCGGGGCTAAAATTGCTTTGCAAAGGCAGTTGAGGAAGGATGTAAGCTGCACAGGATCATATCTTTGCAACCTAGGTAGAAATAGAGAAAAAATCCAATACCTTCATGTCTTTCCTGCAGGTTCCTCGGCTGGTGAAGGTCGTCTTGGAGAGCTCGCCTTACTTCAAGCTGATCAGCCCTGGTGACGTGTGCCGTAAGGTAGCACCTGGCATGCCTTCCACTTTCCGCATCCTTTTCACCCCTGAGGAGAACAAGGTGAGGCCTTGACAGGTCACAGGAGGTTGACATTGTTGGTTGGCATCAAATTCCAGTCCCTGAAGCCCCTGAGGGTGAGGTGTGGCTTTTGGGAAACAGCGCTGATTTCAGTGGGGTTGGGTAACTCTTCAACCAGGGTGAAGATTGTGCCCTCGTAGGCTGAAAGCTCTTGTTTCAGACTTGATTCTTCACACATTTCTTAAAATCATGTGTCACAGAGGCACGCAGAATCACAGAATCATTAAGGTTGGAAGAGACATCTAAGATCCCCAAGTCCAACCCCAGCCCACCCCACCGTGCCCACTGACCATATCACTGTCATATCTATGATTCTTGAATACCTCCAGGGATGGTGACCCTCACACCTATCTGGACGGCTGTGCCAGTCCCTCACCACTCTTTTGGAGAAGAAATTGTTCCTAATATCCAACCTGGATGTTTAATGTAATGTCTGTTGGGTTCAGGGCTGGGGAACTCCAATTTAAGTGGTGGGGAGGCCTCCTGGGGAAGATGCACGCAAGAGTAGGAAAACAAAGAAAATGGCAGGGGAGAATGTTGATAAGTCATCTTTCTCTTCTAAGAGAAGGGTTTAATTAATATGGAAAATACTACAGAAATAAATAGATCCAAAAAGAGCTTCTCTTTCTCATCCGGCAGCCACTTCCCTGCCTCACCCAGGGCTGGAGTGGAGATGATGCTCATTCATCCTTTCTGTTACCCAGCTTTGCAGCTGTGCCATCCCCAGGGATGCTTGGCCACAGTCCAGCTGTGAGCCTGGGTGGGGAGGAAGCTCTGCATGTGGCTGAGCCAGCGTGGCACAGGCTGTAGACATTCTTCACCCAGCAGGAGGTTGGAGTGATGCAAAGGACAAAGCGTATGTAGGAACAAATGGGCAGACTCTATCTTCCGTGCAGAGATGTCCCAAACTTGTGCTCTTGATGTGTCTGTGTCCTTGTGCATGGGGCTCCTGTTCCATGCCGCCATGGTGCATTTCTGCACCAGGACAGAAGTACAGCACCTCTTTGGGCGATGCTGCCTTCTTTTATTTGCTTGATTCTGATTTAATGTAACGCTTTGTCCCTTTCTCAAACAGCAGATAGAGAAAACTAAAGAGGAAACGCCCTGTGGTCCCTAGCTCCCCATGCCTGGGGAATAATCTGTTCCTTTGGAGCGTCTGAGAAATCATTTAACATCATTAATATTTAGGGTAAAAATTAGGTTGGCCTGGGGCAGTTTTCCAAACTACCCAAGAGCTTAATCTATGATTTAGGCTTTGCAAAGTACGCTGGTGACTTTAAAACGTGATTTATCTGTACTAATTATTGAGCGTCCATTTTTGGGAGGTGGAAGGGGAAAACTGGTGCCCACAGAAGGCAGAGCACCGCTCTTCAAGCTTAGAGAGACAGCAGGGCAATATGGGGACATCACCAGAAGCAGAGGGAGAACTCAGAGAGCACGAGGGATCAGTGCTTTGGGAATGCATCAGTAGTGTGGTCAGCAGATCTTCCCCCTGGATGTGGCCCTACTGGAGAAGGGTGGCACTTGGTGACCCTTAGGGGCCCTGCCAACCCCAGGCATTCCAACTGTGCACCTCTGCTGCCTCTTGAATACCCCATGGATGATGTGGAGAACTGGGATGTGGGCACCAACACCTCCGTCTGTAGGACTGGTTTAGGGTTTCCTTGCTTTGGCTCTCGTTGCTAATTCATGAGAGTGAAGCACGGAGCTGTGCTGAGCCCTAAATAAGAGGAGCACACAAGTGGTTTGTGGCCAAAATGCCACGTGTCTCCTGAGCCCTTTCTGGAAAATGAGCAGCTTCTTGCTGCCTCGCAGCCATCTGGTAGCGTGCCACATGGCTGGGCTGTCACAGCCAGCACGCAGCCGACACGTCTTGTGTATTGGCACCCATGTTATAAATACAAATGGATAATTCTTCTGTTGGGCAACATTTCCAATTAGTTACTCTCGCTGCCTCTGATTTCTGTGTCTCTGCATTCTGGCTTCACAACGTGTCCTGCCATTATGGGCTGCAGAGTGGGCAGGGATATGCATCGTGTTCCTCAGCTTTCTTATAGATTATCTGAAAAAGGAGGAGGTGAGAAGCGCCCAGAAACAGAACACAGCTTCATCTGTTTTGTTTTGTTTTTTTCCTTGCTCTTTTTGCTGTAGCAATGCAACGTTTGCAGGCAACGTGAGTTCAGTCTGAGGTTTGCAAAATTCATTTCCGATGCTCAGCGGAAACTGCGTTAATGCTCACTGATAATATGAAATATGACAGGCTGTTGAGTTATTGTGTTACTGGAATTAACTCCTTGAAAATTCAGGCCAGCCCTGCTAGGGGTGTTCTGCTATTCCAAGTGCACTTCTGAGCAGACCTGTAGGGTGGGGAGCAGGGAAAGAAGATTGAGGCAGTGAACCTGGGACAAGAGGACAAAAGGAAGCATCCTGTGAGCTGCTGGCTGAGGAAAGGGAATCCATCTTCCTGTGATGTTGTCATCACCCTCCAGCCTCTCACTTAACGGCCCTTTATGGTACTGTGATTCCAGCAGGAAGCTTCCCTTTTAGACTTCCCATATGACCCCACTGTGCAGGGCATTTTGGCTCTCCAGTTGTCTACAGCAAAGAATTCAGCAACGTGTTTACTGGTGATGCAGCTCAGCAGAGACCTGAGTTTGCTGGTTTATTGGGCAGTTAATTACTGACATCAACTTGAACGTGAGTTTGCAGAGAGCCTGGAATGCCAACTCCGATGTGAGCACTTGCTTCAATTTCAGTGGGCACTAATGCAAATGCCAGCAGTCATATTTTGAAGGCTGGAGCTTGTAACTTATTGCTTGTCCAAGGTGAGTAAGGGAAAAGGCAGCACTGTGTGGTGACTTCTGTTTTCCCTGAAACAGAGGAGTCATATGAAGGATGAGGTCATATTTTTGTGAAAATCTCTAGCCTGAAGCTAGCTCTAAACAACCTTTGAAGAATATAAGTGATGCAACCCCTCCCTCTCCCAGGCATGTTTGCTTAGGAAACTGCATTTAAAGGGTCTGCTGGGGGTTTGCAGTTGCACTGATTGGTTTTGGTGATACCCCTGGACCGTAATTGAGTGCGTAGCTGAGCTGCTGTCCTGGCAACATGACAGAGGATTGCAGCCATCATTTCCCTGTCTTTGCAGCAGACCCCGTGCTGTGCTGTGCTGTGTGAGCAGCCCCAGTGCTCGTGCACGGTGCCCTGTGCTCGCTTTTGGGATTTCAGCCAGCGCAGGTATTAATTCCTTAGCTGCTGATCCGCTCCCCCCCTCGCAGTAACGACTTGAAAATGAGTTCCTGTTATTTCCCTCCAGTAGCTCCAGTTGCTGAAGTTTCTTTCCTCCTTATCCTGCGGCTGATCTGAGCTCCCCCTGTCCTCCTCTGTCTACCTGGCATCTGCAGGGCAGAGATAAGGAGAGATGTGGTGCCAAGGCTTAACGAGGCGTGAGGCTTTCAGCCGGATTCACAATGCCCACGTTACAGTAGGGTGGCCAGAACAACAACAAGAAGCAGCAAATGGCTTTTTTTCATTTCCTAATGTGGTTTCTGATGATCTGAATGGTCCAGAACATGAAATACCCAGATAACAGGTGCTTTGAATTTACGGGAGCTGCCCTTCTCTTTTATTTTAGAGGACTTAGGCTGCGAGATCGAGAACCAAATTGCTAATTCAGAAAGGCTCGCCGAAGATGAAACTCTCTTGAAACGCGATATTAGGCATTGCTGCAGTTCTCTTCCTGGTGTTTTACCTTCTAAAGATGAGAAACCAAAACCCTCCTGCGGTTTCCAACGCGAATTTGAGACGCATCTAGAAAACAAGACCTTCCTTTATTCCTTTTTATGTCTCGGATGCGACGGCATCTGTTACTGCAACCCTAACCTCAGTAGTGGAGCAGGTGGTGAGCGTGCTGGGACCAGATCCCAGCTCAGTCCTGGGCCTCTGTGCCCTGTCAGGCTCAGGACAGGCAAGGGAACCTGTGCACAAAGGGGTTTGAATGGGTTCTGGCTAAGAAAGCTTGATGCTGAGCACGGTTCCTACAGCAGTTTTGTTTTATTGTGTCCTTGGAGCAGCAAGGAAATGATCTCAAGGGAGTTCAAAGGGAAAAGGAATGCAACAGCGAGAGAGAGAGATGAGGCAAAGCTTTTATTGAGCTGGCCATAACGTGTGGCTGGTTGCAGTGGGGCAAGGCAGTGCCTCCAGCCCTGGTGCTGCCCTGCCGTGCACGTGGAGATCCATCTGTTCATCCCTATGTGGTTGGATTCTCCTTCCCACTGCTGAATGGCAGGCAGCTGGGAGGGGGACTCAGGCTTCTGACTGAGCTAAAGGCTTGAGGTGTGCTGGCTGTAACAGAAATGGATGTTCACGCTGCCACAGGTAAGCACGCCAACAAGGCACTGAGGCATTTATTCCGGAGGAGATACACAAGAGATGTAATTAGGGCATCAGCCATGCCAGAATATGCAGCAGAGAGGAAGCAGAGCTGTCTTTGCATCCTCTGAGGCCAGGATGAGATGTGAAGTGAAACAGAGATCAGGCGCTGAGAGAACTTTATAAAGCTGGAATAGGATGCAAGTGGGTTGCTGGGGATGGGTGGGAGTTGTTGGTGCTAAAAGTGCTGTCACTGTTCTCAGGGACGGTTTGGGTATAGGGCTGAGCCACGTTTGGGGTGGGAAGATGGACAAGGTGGGCTTTTAAGGAGATGTCCCCAGCTTTGTCATTGGTGACACTGTTCAGGTGGTGATGGGGAACAAACACCCCACTCACCAACCTGCTGCTGACGTAGGTGTTGTGTCCTGTCTGTTACGTCCTTCATCTCAGTCTGGCTGTTAATTGTGTGTGTGGCCAGGTCCTTTAGAAGATTGCCTGAGCAGCCCTTGCCAAGCCGTGTGTAACTGGGTTACCTGCTGTGCTTTGGAGCTCGGAGCAGGTTCTTGTTCATGCTCTAATCCCTCCTTTGAAATCATTGCACTGGTCGTTCAGAACCCAGCTATCAGGTAGCTTTGTCCTCCCGTGGCATGAAGCTGGCTGTCAGCTCGCTGGGAAAGCAGGTGAAGCAATGGAGCTGCTTCCTCTTGGCGAGCTGAGAAGCCTCTACCAGTCATTCTACTGGAATTAAACATCATTAAATACCAAGTACTGCTGAATTATTGAATGAACGCATAGCAAACAGTGGCTTTCCTTCTGCAATGGCACTGAATGCATTCCTGATCCCACTTCCTTCCCGCAGGACTACTTCCACCAGCTCACCTGCATCACAGAGAGGGAGAAGTTCGTGGTGCCCATCCGAGCCATAGGAGCCCGAGCTATCCTGGACTTCCCCGACCAGCTCAACTTCTCAGTCTGTCCAGTCAAGCACAGCACCCAGAAAACTCTGCTGGTTCGCAACGTTGGCAACCGTGAGGCTCATTACCACATCAGCACCCACAGGTAAAGGCTGCCAGGTTGTGCCTTCGAGGTGCTGGAGCCCTGAGAACAGCACTGTGTGGTTGGGGGGCTTTGGGTTTGGTCTGATGGTCTGACCCCCACGACCCAGCTCTGAAGAGGAGTTGAGCAGACTCTGACTTTAGGGCTGCTCTGTGGCCCCAAAGCAGTGGTGATGGATGCCAGTGGGGGCAGGAGGTGCCCCAATTAGCTCATGCATGGGATGGAGCCCAAGAGGAGCTCCCAGAAAGACTGGGGAGACCAGGTGAGCAGAGGTCTGGGACTTTCTCCTCCTCCTCTGCTGCCTTCCTAAGGATGGACCAGGAAGTAGAATGGGAAAGAGCACAAATCTTCCCCTTTCAAGGGGAAAGGGGATGCTTCCTATTAAAAACCCCCTTTGCTGAAGCCTTGCAACAGGGGAAAAAAAGACAGAAGTGGGTGGACAGAGAGAAGCCAGTAAACAACCGAGTGAGTTCAAGGGTTGTGCTCTGCACTGAAGGAAGGCAGCCTTTGCATTGTGGAAAATGTGTAGGCAGGAACTTCTAAGTCACTAAGGTTTTCCTCTGGGATTTCTAGGTTAAGCTGTCAGAATCTAAATAGAGATTGACTAGGTGTTTAGCATTTTTCAATACTCTTAGCAACTATTCTATCAACTGATACAGCATATATTGAGTTCTTGCTATGGATATTAAAAGTTGAAGTTTGGCAATCAAAACCTTCAGTCCCAATTTGCCATAAAGAAATGGGAAATGTTAGGAAAGCTTTATCTCAAACTGCACAAAAAAAGCAGAGCTCTGGGTAACTGGATTGTGTGCATTCAAAGATCAAAAGCTGATATGATTTCTCTTGCCTGTTGAGGGCATCTGTCATCTCTTCCATTTCATTACAAACTTCTGAAAACCTGCTCAAAATTTCAAGCAGATGATTTAAATCTTTGAATATAGGCAGCATTTTATTCTAATTAAGAGTGGCACTCGCTTTCCTTTGGATTCCTTCTTTGCTGCTCAGAAGTTCGTGTGTTCCTGCCTTTTTTTGCTTTTGTTCAGTGAAATGTCACAAAGAATTCTTCAGTGGGAGCCTCTAAAAAGGCTGAGTTCTTCTAATGCCTGTCTGCCCGCCTCGTGCCATTGCATCCATGCACAGATGAATGGGAAATACGAGAAATACAGGGAGCGTGTGAAATGGAGCTGGGATGATTGAGAACTGCCAGACAGAACGATGAGCATTTGGGCTGAAAGGGACCTCTTGGAGATCATCAAACACACACCCTGCTTGGAAGAAGACCAGCTTCAGAGTTTGATCAGGTTTGCAAGTGGCACGAAAGGCCTTTTTCTGTAGAGCTTTGAATGTGTTCAATGCTGAAGGTTCCCCCTCTGCTGTAGCTTCTCATGCCCATGTGCTGGGCATGGTTAGCAGGAGAGCAACAAGGCTCTGGGCTGATGCACCGAGATGTGAGAGTCAGAGCTGCTCTGCAGGCTAATAGATCGTTAGCTGACGGTTGTCTTTGAACAAATATATTTACACAGCCTTTATACAGAAGCCTTTCCCCTGCTAATGTTGGGGGATTAATTTCCCTGTTAGAGAGGGTAGAACAAAGGCTGCATCGTTATTAGTGAAGATTTAGTTGAACGTGTCGCCAGTTCTTCTGAATAACTTCCATAACGACGTGGTGATTAATTATCATCGCAGAGCGTTTAGAATTGTGCCAGGAGCTCTGGAAATGAATGACTTATGTTCCCTGTCCTAGAGAGCTCAGTGTAAATATAAGATGCAGTAATCAAGAGTTATGACATAGGTGCTCTGGGAGCGGAGAGCCAGCCTTACCGGCTTAAATTCGGGGCAATTTCAGTCTGTTCTTATTTGGAGGAGAATTTAAGCAGCTCAAGTCGAGCGTGTTTAATTTTTACTGAATAAAGGAAGTGAATCCACGGAGCTAATTCAGCATCCTTCAGTTGCTCCCTGCTCGGAGGTCTCTCTTTCCATGGCATCTATCAGACTACACGGTCACATTTGGACAACTGGTGAGCAAAGCACTCCCATTGAGCTGCCTGGCACTGTCTTGCTGTGTTCCCTCCTCTTGCAAAGCTCGATAATAAATAACAGTATAAGCATAGAAAGTTTCTCAGCCTCTCCTCATGGTTAAGGCACAATAATGGGTTTCTTCTCTGGTATTCAGGAATATAAAAGTCATTCCATTACATTTAAGTCAAAAATGGGGTTTGGAAGCAGATCATAGGCCATGCATACATACATATGCATATAGATAGATATATTATAGGCTACGAAGACCATGAAAGGATGTGAACACGGAGGACAGAAGCAGTGAAAGTGCAGAAAGATGGAGCTGTGAGCTGCTGATCCTGCACAGGACTTCTCAGCCCTGAGAAATTGTCGTTGTCTTGAGCCTTGGATGCTTCTACGATCCAACAGACTCAGCTTGCTGGAGCAGCTACGAGCTTGTCTTTGGCTGCTGTACTATTACTAAAGTTAATATGCGCTGAGATGAGCTGATCTTTGTGTTTTTCCTGCAAAGGGTCTTAATGGACAAATGAAGCAATTCAATCACCTGTAGATTTGAACTGTTGTCTTTGGAGCAGGAGCCAGATTTTAATGCAATCAAAGAGAAGGCTGAAAACTGACTTTTTTTTCCCCCACATCAAATTGTTCTTAAAATGCAGATTAAGGCACCAAGTAGGCTAAAGAGGAAACTTCTTTGGTTGTAGGAGGGGGGAGTGACACAGGACTTGAAGTTGGAGCTCCTCGCACACTGCCTGACCGTAGGAGAAAAGGGGATGTGAAAACCTGAGGCACGCAACTGACAGCTTTTCTCCAGCATCAGCCTCTTTCCAAAGGGCAGTAATAGATGAGATCTGAGGGGGTACTGTTGAGAAGACCTCTTCCAAATCGGTGTGGCTGAATGACGTGTGAGCTGGGGATCTGGCTGTGCTTGCAAGGCACTGTTGGGATATTAAAGAGCAGGACCTGCAGAAGTTTTGATGTCGTACGCCGAAGCAAGCATCCAAACGGGCACCGTTTTATAAAGGATGTCAGAAGAAAGCCAGCTATTAAAAAAAGAAACCACAAAGCTTATCTTCTGAAAGATTTCCCGTCTTTTGGGAGGGCGGTGATTCATTGGAAGGGCAGATCTAGCAGGACCAGAATTATCTTTAAAGAACAGCTCACAATTAAATGACAATTAATGGATAAAAGGCCAAGGTTTAGGCTGCCAGCTTCCGTTCTTGGCAGTAGCTTTCGCTTGGCTATTACAATGCATCAGGGATGTCTCTTACCATTTCTTATCTGGGGGCTGCAGAGAACGGCTTAGCTGCCTTGACAGAAGTTTGGGGGAACTAAGTTTAGCTGTAGGGCTTTTGCACCTTTGTGTCCTGATGTGGTGAGGGGTGGTGGGAGGGTTTGGAGTAAGATGTGAGAGGTGCAGGGGGTTGCTCCATCCCAGCCAGCGCTGGAGGGGAGTGGGGAGATAGAGCAGGAGGTGGTACTGAGGTGTGGGGAATCCCCTTCGTTAGCAGATCTTCTGAGCTGGAAGGGAAGAGCTTTCCTTTGCTACTCTGGAGGTCACACCCAAGCACCAGCTCTGTCCCAGGCAGCCTGGAGGTGTTCAAGACCCATGGAGATGTGGCACTGAGGGACGTGGACATGGGCTGGGGTTGGATTTGGGGATTTAAGAAGTCCTTTTCAGCCTTCGTGACCCTATGATTGTATGACTTTCTCAGCAATGCTGGTAACTGAATCCCTTCCCTAGCAGACAGCTGCCATTAACAGGGCTTGAGGAGCTGATCCATGTGCTTTGGTGGAAGGAACAGACTGTGTCCTTGAGGAACCTTCTGGGGTGATTGGGAAGATCTTACTGGAGATATGAGCCTCCTGCTCAGCTGCAATGGAGTGAGCTCTGTCCTGGGAAGAGGCTGAGGTCTCCTGTCAGTGTGCGAATGCTATGGGCTCACTGCTGCTCCTGTGAGAGCCAGCAGCAATGCTCCAAGCATAATGGGAACAGGTCAGACCACTAATTGCTGCTATATCTCATTAATGAGCAGAAACTGCAGCAATTTTATCAGCTGTCGCTACTGAGATGAACAAAGTTCAGCTTGTGCATGTCTCCAGTTCTCATTATTCTTGTGTGCACAATTCTCTAATCGTGGTCAAAGCTCTGCAGAGCAAATTTTGGAGGTGATAATATGATGGCCAGCGAAGTGCTGAACACAAAACTTCTGTCTTTTGAGTGGGGCTGTGCAAGAACCACGAAGCCAAGTTGCCACCCTTCATCTGGCTTCTCCCTTTAGCATGAAGGCACAGTTCTACAGCTGGCAGCCAAGGGCCGTTTGCCTGGTGACACACCACAATTGTGGTAAACTCAAAGTGTACCAACCTGCTTTAATAATTATTTTCAGCTCGTTGTATGGAATTTGAGCATTGGCATAGGCTGCTCAGGGAGCTGGGGAAGTCACCATCCCTGGAGGTGGCCAAGAACCATGGAGATGTAGTGGTTGGTGGGCATGGTGGGGGTGGCTTGGTTCAGACTTGGTGATCCAAGAGGTTTTTTCCAACCTTAATGATTCTGTGCTTCTACGAGTTTGTCTGGTGGGCCAAGCAAGTGGTTACCAAGCTTGGATTACAACCCAGAGTCACAGACTGCATGGCTTGTGAATACATCAAGCTGTTAAACCCCCGTTGATATGCTCCTGTTACTGATGCTTGATGGAATCCTTCAGGCTTAGAATGGAGTGATCCTTTTGCTGCTGTCTTGTTTCTGTGGCTTCGCTCTAATCTGTGTTTGCACACGTGTTTTTTTCTGGTTGTTCCTTTTCTTAGAGCAGCTTTCATTCAGTGGCTGATATAACGTGCCCTTCCTTAGGTTAAAACAGGTTACTTTCAAAGTAAAAAAAAGGCTGGATTCTGCAAATTAATGCATTATTATTCTCTGGTCTTCTAGGAAGACTTACTCCTCTGTCTGATTCTAGGCTGTAATCTCCTTGGAACAGGCCTTGCTTTGACATTTGCCTCTCTTGAGGTGAGGTTTGAAGGAGGCTGGGTGAGATAGACTTGAGGAAATTGGGGTCAGCTTTGCATGCAAATAGCAGTTTGGGGCTCTGCTGTTCAAAAACAGTTCTCCGATTGAGTTGCTAGCAGCCTGACTCCTGAGATGCTGCAGAGAGGAAGAGCTGGATGCAGAATATGGGGGAGAAGAGGTCACTTTGCACCATGTGGTTTTCTGAGGGCTGAATCTCTTCAGAAGTGGGGGAAAGTAGCAGCCTGTCTGATCCTATGTATTCTGTTCTTACTCTGCAGTGTTTTATCTGCTTGGTGAGGTGAGGCGAAATAGCCTTAGATCCTGGAAGGGATTATTATCTCCAAAGCTACCGTAATATCTCTGATGCCTGTCTTTGCATTGCAGCCCTTTCTCTGTTGATCCTTCCATTGGGACCCTTGGGATTGGTGACACCGTGCAAGTAACAGTGGAGTTCCACCCACTGAAGACTGGGGACCACGGCGGGTCCCTGGTGGTTCACTATGACACAGGTGAGTGCTGGGCAACGTGCAGTGCGTGCCTTCTGCTGCCTTCCAAACAGAATGATGTGAAGTTTCCCCTGCAAGCAGTTTTTGAACCTTTTCTTTCTGAAATATCCAGATTCAGAGAAATCTGGATGTTTCAGTTTTTGGAGATGCTCAAGGTCAGGCTGGACTGGGCTCTGAGTGCCTGATGGAGCTGCTGGTCTTCCTGTTTGTTGCAGAGGAGTTGGACTACAGAATCACCAAGGTTGGAAAAGACCTATAAGAGCATCCATTCCAACCATCCACCATCACCAATGGTTCTCACTAATCCATATCCCTCAACACAATGTCCAAACATTCCTTGAACACCTCCAGTGTGACTCCACCACCTCCCGGGGTAGGGAGTCAGTTCTCTGCTTGGGCAGCCAGTTCTACTGCTTGACCACTCTTTCAGAGAAGTAGTATTTCCTAACATCCAGCCTGAATCTCCCCTGGTGCAGCTTGAACCCACTGGATGACCTTCATGAGTCCCTTCCAACTCAAATGATTCTATGATTTCATTCTATGAAGTAATGGCATGGGCTGAGTCTGTCCTTCTATGTGTCCTGTCTCACTGTGTCCTGGTGCATTCCTGGGAGACCAGGTCAACATGCTCCCTACACACCACAGTGGTTCCATCGTTCCTTTTCTTCCTAGCAGCTCACTTCCCTCCTGAGATGGAGTGAAAGACAGAAGGACTTTCATGGTCTGCTCTGAAAACCCTGAGTTTTGTTCTTACAGGGCTGAAGCATGTTGGCCCCATAGTGGTTGGTTGACCTGTCCCAAAGTGGTGAAGTGTGTGCAGCTGCTTGCTGTGGGGTGGGTGACATCCCAGCCACCTACTTGGGGATGAGCCCACGATCTCCCCTCTGCCTCTCAGCACGGCACTACAGCTATTTTTAAGTAAACTACAGATCGAGGAGGTGAGCGAAGGAATAATAAAAAGATTATCTGCCTAGCTTGGCAGCATACAAACAAGTAAAATGCTGCAGAGTTGAATTGTTGAAGTGAAACTGAAACATTTAATCAGTCATTCCCCAAAGCTGCTCATTGCAGGGGTGGTGCAGAGCTCCAGCCTCACGGTGGGGCTGGGCTGATTTGGCCAGCACCACGACCTGCATACAGAAAGCAGCCGTGCTGCTCCTGCAGAGCTGCCACCAGACTTGGTTATGAAACGAGCAGTAAGAGCAAAATAGCAGCTTAGGATGCTGGGAGGCACTTTGCTGGCACGGCTGTGTTTGTATTGAATTGCTGGCTTGTGAGTGGCAGTAGTTCTCCGTGGGTCAGTTGGTTGATTTGTAGGATGGGGTGCATGGTGTGCAGTTTTTGTAGAGGTTTGGGTAATGCTTTGGTTAGAAATTATTTGGATAAGTGTGAAGAAAATGTGTATGTAGTGAAAATCTGGCCTTGATGCTCTGCATGTATCCCCCGTGTATGTGTGTCTGTATGCATGAAGTCCCAGCCTGCACTGAAAAGGATGGGGTTTGAGGTGTTCTGGGCTGCTGCACATCCCTGTTTGTCACCTTGACATCAGGTGGTGGTGTGAGAAAGAGCTGATGAACCCAGCCTGGTAAGCCTTCCTGCTGGGAAGGGTCCTGCATTGGCACCACAAAGTGTCTGGCTGGTGCCTTGGGTCCTCCTGGGTGACTCCCAGCCCACACTATGTGGTTATGGGAAAGCAAAATCAGTGGATTTGAAACCAGACTCAACCAAGCCCATATCTGTAAAGATTAGTTATTCTTTTAGCTCTCAAGCAGTTCTCAAGTGAGATGCCCAGGATGCATATGAACACAATGACGTCTATGTCAGATGCTTTATTGCAGTGACCAGAGATGGGCTGGCTGTAGAAAGTAGGTGATGGAGAAGCACTGGGAAGTGTGGAAGGAGAAGCCTTTCTCTGCTCCCTACAGTCCTGCCTTCCGTTGGACTCCAAGAAGCACTGCAGTATGATATGAGAGGTGATGTCTGAGCTGTGGGACCCCATTCTGGATTTCTGCTTGGCTGTTCGTAGCACCTGTGAGTCTTAGAGGACTTGTGCAGCTCTGAAATGACTCTGTACAACTTTTTTTTTTTTTTAATTTTCCCATTGACCACCACATCCCTTGGGATCCTTTTGTCAGCACAGGAAGCTTCAGTAATTAGCAAAGCCCCACTGAGCTTGTGCAGAGCTGACAGACACTACATACTGAGATGCTTTTATTGCTGTCAGTGATAAAAGTAATTTGCAGATCGTTTTTCCTTCCTCTGTGAGACTGTGATGCAGAAGCCTGGGGGCAGGATGTTTGAGGGGAGAGATCAGAGGTGGTGAATTTTAGGAGACGTATCCAAGCAGAGCCAGCCCTCAAGCAAGAAAGCCTGCTCTGTTATTGTCCTTCCTGCTCGTGGTGCAGAGCTCCAGCAAGCAGCTCCCTGGGATGAGGTGCAGGCTGGCAGTCCCTGAGCAAGAGCCCCATCCTAAAGCAGATCTCAGCTTGTTTGCTGAGGGCCAGACCCAGGCTCATCGTGCTCCCTGGGCTCTGCATGCTCAGAGCAAAGAGGGGAGAGCTCAGCTCCTTGAGTCATTGCAACGAGGGCAGGTGGAACTGCAGCTCTGCAGTTGTCAACCAGATTGGGTGAGTTTTTGCTGTGTTGGGTTGTTGTGGCCTGTGGGTTTTCCCCATTGCAAGTGGATGAAGTGACACACAGATGGGCCTCTGGAGCCCCGTGTCCTAGCTTCCAGCTTGTGGGGAAAAAAATGGGTGTTTCATCTCAGATGGGAGCTATGAGATCAGAGGGAAAATGAAAGGCGTGTTTAACCATAACTAATTAAGGGGTGATGTGGAGCTCTTCAGTCACCCATGGAGTGACAGCACCATGGTGTGATGAGACATTGGGGGCTGGTGGGGATGATGGGTGGCTGCAGAGAGCAGTGACAGCGAGGAAGCAAAATGTGCATCAGTGGTGTGGAGGCCATGTCCCATCATCCATGGGCAAGGAGGAGCTGTCAGCTGCAGCTGTGGTTGTTCTGCATAGGTGGGGGTTGTGAGCCAGGAATTCCATCACTTTGGGATTCTGAATCCCTTTGTCCAGCACCAGTTTTATCTGTGCTGGTAAACGTATGAGGCCACCCCTGCAAGGGCTTTGTGGTGTGCTGGTGATGGCTGTAACCGTGCAGGAAACTCGTTGAATCTCAGCCTGCTTTCTTTTAATTGCTGCTTGAGGCTAAACAAGTGAATGGGTCTGCCAGCACCCCTGAATCACAGCTACCAGCAAAGATAAAGCATCAGATAACAGCACTGCCCTGCTGTCATCTCCATCTGTGCTCACGTAGGCTTTGGAAGGGTCAACTGCCTCTACAGAGCTGTTTTCTTCCCTTAAGAGCCTCCTTTCCACCAAGGGTCTTGTCATTCATCTTGGAATTGCAATTGGTGGCTTCCAGGAGCTTGTTTGAGAATGAAATGAAAATCCTATTGATTCAGTCTGTAGAGCAAACCTTTGCCTTTCTCTTTTTTTTTTTTTTTTTTTTTTTTCCCCACCCACTGATTGATGTGAACAGGCAGTGGGGTTTAGCTGGGGCTCAGCCCTCGCTGTGCTTCACATTCCTGACATCACTCAAGGCAGAGTGCTCTCATTTGTCCCAACTGCAGCCAGGATGGAGCAGGCGTGCTTCTTCCCTGAGCAAACCCACTGCCTCTTACAAGAACTTATTTTTGGTCCCTTGAAAAGTTCCTTTGTCCTCAAAAGGGGTTGGGATCCATCCAGCACTGATCTAGCCATGCAGGTTCACGTGGGCCAAGAGCTGTGATCATCTTGGGTAACACACAGAGGGGAAAAACGTGGGGACCGTGGGCTGCTGGGTGAGAAAGCTGGAGGTGCATGGCGTGCTTTCCTTCCTTCACTGCTGAGAATTCCCAGCACTTTGCCTGGTTCCTGCCTGATTTATAGCCCTGCCTCGCAGTGGCTGGGAGGTAGGTGAGCAGAGGGAGGTGATTTTTGGAAGCAAATGAGGTGTAAAGTTAACGTAGCTCTGTGTTGATAGTGGCAGCGCTGCACACCAGGCTGAGGGCTGGTAACCAATACCCCATACAGCTGCACGGTTATGGGCTTTTATAGCTCAGATCAATGAGAGTGAGGGGGTCTAATTTCTCCCCAGAGTGCTTATTTATGTTGAAACAGCTAACAAACGGTTCCTGTCGTCGTTCCCCTCGTCTAGAACTGCTCTCAGTAATGACTTTTTTTATACTGATTCAGATAAAGGTGTCCTACCTCTTGCAAACCTTTGCCCCTCACGAGGGCCTTGTGAGTGGGGACAGATGGTCCCTCCCTCAGCAGGAGAAGGGCTATGCTGCATCCATGCTCAAACACCCCCTCACAAATCCCTGCTATTGCAACCATGGCGTTGCACCAAGGCAAGCACAGGCTTGGTGCAGGGAGATGGATTGGGAAACAGCCTCAAGTTGCCCCCAGAGGAGGTTCAGGTTGGATATTAGGAGCAATTTCTACTCCAAAAGAGCAGTGATGCAGTGGTGCAGCTGCCCAGGGATGGGGAGAAGTCACTAGAGGTGTCCCAGAGCTGTGGGGATTTGGCACTGAGGGATGTGGGCATGGTAGGGTGGGCTGGGCTTGGATTTGGTGGGCTTAGAGGTCTTCTTGCATTGAAGTTGGAACCTGTTTTGCTCAATGGAGAGGTCACAGCTGCCATGTTGGCCATTGCCAAGCAGTCACTGCTTTGTTTGCCTCCATTTCTGTCTCAGGGCTGCTTGCATTTGGGGCAGAACCCTCTTGTTGCCATGGGCTGGCTGGAAGGAACAGCAATATGCTGTCCATGTGACAGATGCAGGAGAATTATTTATCCCAGATCAATCCTGAGCTACAATAATATCTTCTGAGCAAAGAGCTTGGCTTTATTTTTCTTGCGTTTCCAGTGATGTATTGGCAGGATCTGTCTCCTTGGCTGTGTTTATAGCAGAGATGAGAGCAAGACAACCTTCTGACAAGCTGAGTGAATGAAAATAAACTTGCTTTCTGTGCTACCCAGCTATTCCAGGGTTGGCTGTGGGCTCCCCTAGAAGAGGTGAGGGGATGCAGAAGAATATTTGTCTTGTTTCCAGCTTCCTTAATAGAGCAGTGATCAACGAAGGGGAAAATGCCAGCTGTGATTGGTAGGAAAGCATTCTTCATAAAACCCCAAATTTGTTTTGAAATCTTGTTTAAGAATTCCCTCATCCATTCATTGAGATGTACTTCCAGGCTAAACAAAACTTGTCGTTCTATTTCAGAGCAATTTGTGCTTCTCTGGAAACTATTCTCTCTTGCAATATGCAGCTCGTGTAGTACGAGAAGAATTCTGAAAGGTGCTTTGGCTTTTCTAAATCTCCTCTTTTTTAACTCTTTCCTGCAGAAATAGGGCCCAGGAAGGATGACCCACTACTAGATTCCTGTCTTGAGATTACAAAAGCTTACGATGTGTGAAGATGCCTGTGCCTGCAGTCGTGCAGATGAATGCTGGAATGAAACAGCAGTGTTTCTGTTGTTTCAGTGTGCACGATTCAGAAGTGCACAACCCAAAGCATCTGCTGTAAGGGGTGCATAAACCCAACTCTCCGTTTCCATTTCAGGCATTGCTTTGTTGAGGTTGCAGAACAAGAGCTGTCTTGTTCTTTCTGTCGAAAGTGTATCCAAAGCATGCAAGGAGGAGGGAACTGACAGCCTGGAATAAGGCAGTGTTCTGTAAATAATGGTAGGGCCAGTAAGCCTGGGTCCAGGGGATGTTACAGTAGAGCAGAGTGGCTTGTCCCCAAGAGCAGCAGCAGGGGATGCTGAGCAGAGCATGGAAGTGTGCATATGCCATGTTCCCCCGTGGGCCCTGGGGCTGGCAGTTCTCAGGGCTGGAGGCTTTGGTCTCATTTTTGTTTAATAGCTGCTGATGGTTTTGTCTCCTGAGAATGTGTCCAGGTGCTCTCTGGATGTAGAGCTGTGAGCCTCCGTCCTATGGCGATGTGTTCTGAATGAATGAGCATCCCTTGATAAAAGCACTGCTTGTTTGTTCAGTGTAACTTCTGGGAATGTTATCTCAGATTCTTGTCTTATGAAAAATTGCACCATTCTATGATTTCTTGGGTCAGGGCTCCTCTGGTTGACTCTGTGCCATGTACTCACTGAAGAGGAAGGGCAATGATCTGACCCTTCTAAACTTCTTTTTTATATGATAAATCATCCATTATAATATAATCCCTTATACAAAAAGGATTGTCCACCCCTTGGAAAAGTTGCTGGTTCTCTCACAGTGTAAACATAACTTGAATGCCCACCATTGTAACTCCCTTGAAAGACTCAAAGGCTGAATTCCTCACGTGTGGGGTGGAATGGATGGATAACTGTAGAGATTTGCTACTTTAAGGATGAATCTGGCTTCATTCCCCAAAAAGAAGGGGGTCTTTTCCCAGAACCAACACCATTCTACTGCGTTATGGCTGGATGCGTGGTGGGCAATTGCTGTTGTGTTATGGTAGGATTTATTGAGTCCATCCAGCACGTGCCCAGCTCTGTCCTTGTGTTGTTACATGGCAGCCTTTAAGACATCTTCACAAAACACGACAAGGGTGGGCACAGCTTCTACACCTCTGTTCTCACCTGCATCCCATTCTGCTGTAGGCTTTGCTTGTTCCTCTGAACATCCCTTTGGCCTCCATGCATCTTTCTTGTCAACAAGAAGGGGCTGAGAACTGTCAATCCAGCTAAAAGCTGTTCCTAATTGCTGTTAGCAGTGCTCTGCTCTGTTCCTTGTGCTTCCACCAGCAAATGGGCTGAGCGAAGGCTCTCTTTTGCTTTATTCCAGGCGAAGATGTTCTCACAAGCCTGTATGGAGCGGCGGTGGATGTCAACATCAGGCTGGACAGGAACTCCTTGATGATTGCAAAGACTTACCTCACGCTGGCAAACCACAGATCTGTAGTCATCCACAACCGCAGTGAGATCATAGCCCACTTCCAATGGAAGGCTTTTGTTACTCAGGAAGAGGAGGATCAGCAGAAGCTGAGGTTGGTGTGTGATAGATTCATTTCGGGGTGATGCTCTGCCAGGGGTACAGCTCGTGAGTGGCTTTAAGTGGCATTGGTGGTTTTGAATGTCCTCGAATGAGTAAACCGTCACAAGCATCAAGATGTGTGAGCTTCAGGCTAATGCAGCTGCATTCTTCCTGTTCCATTTTTGCCTTTATTCCATCTGGGGATGCTCGTCTGGGGAGGAGTTATTGATTGCAATGACTGCATTTCCTCACATCCGTGCTCTGTGGGAGCACAAACCCATGAGATCTCAGGATCCTGGGGATACAGAGGGTCCAGAAGGCTGAGGACTGCGCTGAGAAGCAGCACTTAACATTGCTGCATATAGCATAGCTATTATAAACCCACTGCAGTGCCTTCACTCCAGCTTTAATAGGAAGATGTTGTAGAGCTCTTTGTTGGCCCAGCAGGTTCCTGCTGTGGGGCATCGAGTAGTTTTGCCCTTTCCAGGTTTCCAGCACAACAAGATTCTTCTGCCTGTCTTTAGAAGCTGGAGGGAGCTCTGGGGAGGAGGGAAGATGGGGCTTGGAAGTGCCTTTGGGCTCCTGCTCTGTGCGGCAGTGAGAGGTGGGGCAGGTAGTGAGAGTGATGCTGGAAGGGCCAAGGGTTGGGACAGGTCCTTCCAGGAGTGCCTTTGGTGAAGCTTTGGTGAGATTTCAGTTTTAGGCAGCAAGGAAACACAGCCTGGGGGATGATGAATTTGAAATTACACTTAAAAGCTTGAGCGATTTGGGGAATTGTGTGACTTTTCAGACTTGGATGGATGTAGGTACGTTGGAGTTACTCCGAACCCACAGCTGATCAGGAAACTGCCTTAAACTGGAGCACTTTTTAAGGGCTTCTGAGCAAATAAAGTTCAACATAATTAGGTCAGAAATGCCTTGAAGGCCAAAGCTAGTTTTCCACTGTTCTCTATTTTTAATTACACAGAGTGTGACTTCCGTGCAAGCTCAATGTGCTAAAAGAAACCTCGTGACCTTCTCTTGGTGCTTCCCCAAACGATTCCTTCAGCATCTCTTCCCACCTGCCCGTCTCACATTGAACCCTGAGTCATTCCAAAGCAACCAGGTTTCCTCACAGTTAACTTCCACCTGATTTTTTTTTTTTTTTCCCCCCAGTTACATCTGATGTCATGCCAGTTTGTGTACTGGGCTTTGGCCAGACCGTTCTGGTCTTCCTTGCTGCAGGCCTTTGGAAGCATCCTAGATCCAGTGCCAGAGCCCTGCTGTCACCCTCTTGATGCACACAATGCTATTATCTTCCTGCTTGCTGGGGCTGCCCATCCTGGGAGGTGAATCTGAACCTTCCACGATGCCCAGAACTCTGTATTTCTGTCCAGGAATCAGTCACCTTCGTCCACAAGGAGCATGCTTGGTTCCTTGAGGCAGCAGCATCTATGCAGAACAGTTGAGCTTTGCACAGGAAGATCCAGAACTGAGCCTGCAAATTGAGAGCGCAACGATGCTGGAGTTAGGGCTAGTGTGACCTCCTTTTCAAATCATTTGGGCTTGAAATTATGGGAAGCCAGTAACTCTGCAGCATTTCTGTGCCCACATCTGCTGCTTTGCCTTGCAGCTTGGTGGGTACTCACAGGGTGGGGATCCTACAAAAGGTGCCTTCACGGTCTCTGGGTAAATAGACAGATAAAGGAACCTCCATAATAAACATGAGTGCACTTGGATTGTGCATGCATGCTTGGATGCCCCAAGGTGTTCAATTTGGAGCCCATACCGGGTAAGTCTGCGTTTTTGCACTGTTTCTCTGCAGTCAAGGAAGAGACAACCCAAAGAAGAGAAGCCCTTGAGGTCTCAGAACAGTTCTTCATGGGGAGAAGCAGTGCAGGACCCTGCGCTTGGATGTGACCTTAAGTGGCGTGGATCCTTAGGAATGTCAGGGTTCTGCTCTGTCCCCCTCCTGGAGGACTTCCTGGGATCCCATGCTGAGATCCATGCCCATGGATGGAGACTGGGTTCAGACTCTCTCACCTCAGTGACCTTTCCTAATCCCCTGCTTTGTAGGTCAGCCATGGAGAAAGATTTCCTATTACACTATGGGGAGCTAGCCAAAGCAAGTATTTTTGGCACTGGTGACAGCATTTGCCTGAGGCTCTGTCTGTGTGCAGCTAGTAACGGCTGTGACTGTATTTCCTTTCTAATTGCATTTGAATTTAGCTGGGTGATGACTGCTATCCTTTTCCTTCTACGTCACCTCAATTTGCTGCATATGGAGCCTTCCACCCACTCCTCTGGAGCTGTAACCTGCTGGGTCTTTGTGGCTGAGGACTGTTGTGTGAAGGGGGGACAGCAACATAACAAGGCACGGTGCTCTTTTCTCATCACTTTGTGGTGATCTTTGAGCACCAGAATTATTTCTGCTGTGGCTACTGGTGTGGGGAGAGAGAACTCAGTCAGGTTCTGCTGAAAGAGCCCAGAAGAAAGGGAGAAAATGAGGTTGTCCAAGACTAACCTCGAGGGTCTGAATTCAGAGGTTCTGACTTATTTATTGAGGATGCTCAGTGAAGTCTCTTCCACTCTTTTTATGGGTATAAAACCACTAATTTCACAGATGTGATGTCTGAGTTCACGAGTTTGCTTTTAAAGTGGTGAGAGACCTATTGTGGAAAGACCTACAGGCAACAGAAGCAGATTCTGTGCTGTGGTCCAATGGGGAAAGAGGGCGGCTGATGCTGGGGAAATGCAGCTGAGATCCAACCTCTTCCCCCTCCCCAACCCCTTCCAGAGGAAAGCACTGCGGTGGTTGCCCCTTGGTATTTCTGTTCTCTGTGTCCCCTTGAGCAGCTCTGTGGGTAGGAGAGGCCATCTGAGGTGATGGATGGATGCTCCATCAGTTGGCAGCTTTGGGCCAGGAGCTCTTTTGAGGGGTGCTAGCTTTCAAAAACACATTCTTAGCTCGCAAGCGAGGAGCAAAGCACCCTGCCATGCTGGTGAATGGGTGGTGATGACATGATCCATGTGGGACCCCGGGCTCTGGGTGAGCCCCTTGCTGTGCTGCAGCTGCTGCTCCCCACTGAGCACGTTGCCGACCCTCCTCTTACACGGCAGCCTCTGCAAATGTGTTGCTTATCCAATTATCCGCTTGGTTTGTCTCTCCCCGTGGCTCCAGGCTGTGTCACAGGCTGCGGAGGCAGGAGGAGGATGAGATGGATCGCTTTGTTGATGAGTGCATGGTGGATCCCTCTCTGCAGGAACGCCTCTCCGTTCTGTCCCGTGTCTTCCAGAACCACCGTGCAAAAGTGCAGGGAGACTCCATGCTCTTCTCCGATGACATCTTTGCCATCGAGCCAGTGGTAAGCAACACCTGAGACCTGCCTCCTGTTCTTCCCCCAATGCAGGCTGCATCACCCCGTGGCACCACTTGGCTTTCCCTGCTGGGGAATGGGGATGGGAGTAACTTCCACTCAGCCCTGTGATTGAGGGCTCTCTGGGCCACGTGTGGTCAGCTGCTGTTTGCTGAGTGTGAGTTCCTCTCCTCCGTGCACCTGTCTGAAACGTGCTTGGAGCTTGCAGAGGTTTCAGTTTGGGCACACCTTACATATACTATATGGGAGTTAAAGGACATTAAAGCACTGTCAGTTCACGTATTAACCCTGCCCCCAATGAAACAAAAGGAGGCCAAATTCAGGTTTAATCACGGAAAAGCCAATCCCTTCCTATAGTCCGGATTTGCACCATGTCTATGTCTCCCATGTGAAGTCACCTGTGAGCTGGACACAAGACTGGCAGGGTTGAAATAGGCTTTTTATTGCACAGAGGTACAGAAATATTTTTGATTTTCTGCGTATTTAAACAAAACTCCAGTTTATTTCAATCAACCGGAGCACCCCGTGGTGCATGGAGCAGAGTTTGGAGCATATCCCAGGGCTCAGGTCTGCAGGGAGGTGTTTCCAGCATCACCCCTCTTCTGACTTCCTTTAGTTATGGAACAATCAGCTCCACGTTCAGAGCTGTGCTCATGTCCCTCTGCCTACCACAAGGGTTCCTTTTCAACAAATAAATACGTTCTCCTCTTTATCAAATGGCAGAATCTGAAAAGCTACAGGTTCACTTCCCCTACACGTTCACTTCCCTTACCTTCCCTCCAGTGATGGCTCTGTGCCCTTCTGCTTTGATAGATGCCCTCTGTGCTCTGTCACGTAAATTCCACCCAAAGATGGGACCTTGGTGCCTTGGCTGACCTTCTGGCCAATGATAGTGGCTGCTTCCCTTCCCTTCAAACATGCCTGAGGGCACCTGGTGGAAATGATCTGACCCTCGTGACAAGGGACTGATTGATGGATGAATTCGCCTTCATCACCGTCAGACTGTTTGCAGAGGTCAGGAAGCTGTTGGTGCCATAGCAGCCTCGTCACCTTTCTGGGCAGGATGGCTTTGCAGACCGTTTGCTGCCATCTGTGGAAGCTGCAGCAGATCACTTCAGTCCACACAGGGTTAACTCGCTGATGAAAAATAATAACAAAAAAACGAAGAGAAGGCAGTGATTTTGGAGCTACCACGTGACCATAAACATTTTGAGCAGCCGTCCAAGCCTGTGGGAAACAAGCTGTTATGCAACTCTGACTTCCTAAGCGCATCTCCAAGTCAGTTTAATTTATTTTTGCAAATGCACAGGGTCTGTCAGCAGAAGCAGCTGTGCTGGAAGCCCAGGTGGCTACCACAGGGCACAGCCCTTTCTTTTTGCTGCATCCTCTCCACCACAGCCAAGCTGTAAACACGTGGGAGCTGACTCTTTGGAAATGGAAACCAATGGGTGGGGAGGATGCAGATTTGTTACTGTCCCACTGCCCTTGACGAGTCATCACTGTTATCAGGAGTGATCCCTTGGTGTTGCGTGTGAGATCTATGAGATCCTCAGGTCACAGAGTTGTGGGTGTGGGGGATCCTGCAGCAGGGAAGCATCCACAGCAGAGCTCACTGCAAGGCGCTCCAGCTTTTGGCAGGAGGTACCATCCCATTGGCAGCACTGGTCCATCCCACAGCTCGGTGTGGGTTTGGTTATTTATGGTCAGAGGTAGATGTGAGTGATGACACTGCTGTTCCCATCGGTGCCCTGAGCTAGCAGGGTGCACCCTGGGCATCGTTTCACTAGCGGTCGAACAAGAAGTGATGACCCTAAGTTGCACTGTGGGGATGGTCAGGTTGGATAATGGGAAAAATTCTTCTCCAGAAGAGTGGTGGGGCACTAACACAGCTGCACAGGAACTGGGGCTTGTCACTGTCCTTGGAGATGGTCAAAAACCGTGTGGATGTGGCACTGAGGGACATAGAGGTCTAGAGCTGTCACAGGCATGGGTGGATGGTTGGACTAGATGATCTTGGTGGTCTTTCCAACCTTAACAAGTCTATGATTCAGTGCCACTGTTTCTATGATCTTTAGTTCAACGTCCACTGCATCTTTTGTGCTGCACCACCCGCCCACCCCTTGCAGCCTGCCCAGGGCTGATGTAATGCCAGCAGCGTTGCAGTATCACATTCCCAGCACCTTGTGTTGAGTTTCTATCCTGGATAGCATCCATGGCAGTTCTCCCTGCCCTGTCTCAGTGGCTGTTCACTGCTGGGGGCTTGAGTCTCACACACCAACCTCAAAGGGCGGGTAATGAAGCATATCCTTTTAACCAGCAGCCATTCTTCTCCCCTGGGGTAGCAAGAACGTGGTGAGGAACCTCTCCCACAGTCTACTTTAATTTCCCAGGAGAAATAACTCATAATATTTTCTAGCTTTATAGTCTGACATACAGCAGTAATGAACGGAGAAATGACCAGAATTTCCCAGAATAGTTATGCCTGTCTTAAAGGGATTTGTTTTAGTCATGGAACAGTAGAATAAAATGTAACTGATAATTTCTTCTTGCCCTCCAACCTTTGAATCAATCTGCCCATCTGACAGGGACAGGCTGCCAAAAGTTTTCCATGCGAATGCATGGAATCCTGTAGAAGAGTGACTTCACATCAGCTCAGGAGACTGAGCCTTTTAACAGCTGGTTCTGGCTTTCTAGTGCTGGATGAGTGAGGGGCTCCACTGGCAATGCTGCATTCATGTCTATTGCAGAGCTGTGCTGGTGCATGGAGGTGGTATCTCACCCATAGGAGTTGGAGTCAGACCCTACAGTCTGATGCATTGCTTCTAGGATGTCTTTCAGGAAGTTTCTGCTGCTGTAGCTACAATGGCTCCCAGTGGTAATGCAGGAATAAGGCAGTTTCCTTCTCTAGCATGGCTCCTACCCACCCCATGTGCTGTATTCTTTTTCCTGTTCAGGGCAAGAGAAAACAAGCCCTGAGAACTGAGTAAGCGTGGGCATTGTTGCTTCAACTCCCTAGGTAGGTTGGTCCAAAGTTGACAAGACCCATAAGGATTCCTCCAAGGGGCACTGAGCTGGATGTCTGCAGGGAGCACTTCTGCAAACACACCCCAGGGCTGGGGATGGCATGCAACTGTGCTTTCTGGGGCCAGCACTCCTCTGGTGGGTTGTAGGGACCCCAGAGGGGAGGAAGGGGCTGTCCTCATTGACACAGAAGTCAGGGTTTAGGGTTGGTGGATAACATTGGATGGTAGCCCAAAGCTTCCTCTAGGTTATCCTATGTCTTAAGGATGTGGTTTGGTGGGCATGATGGATTGATGGTTGGACTACTGCTCAACTTTAAATCTCCAGCTTGGATAGAGAATCATTAAAGTTGGAAAGGACTACTGAGATCATCTGGTCCAACCATCAGTCCATCCCCTTGATGTGCACTAAACCACATCCTTAAGATATAGGATAACATAGAGGAGGCCTCAGGCTATCACCCAGTGTTCTCCTAAACACCTGGGCGTTATGGCCTTGAAGAATCAGCCTTTTTTCCTTGTGGATCCTGGGACCATTTTTTGGGAAGCTGGAGCTGTTTGGAAGGTCATCACCACCCTAAGAGGAGTGGGGATGAGCTGTGCTGTGGGCAAGATCCTTGCTATGCCTCCACTTCTGCGTGCTGCAAAGCAGGGAGCTGGGATTTGCTGAAATACATCTGTTACGAAGCTCTCCATGAGCTGCAGTGGCTCCCAGCCCTGTTTCTGAGCTGTCCCCAACTCCTGTCCCTTCTTGCTGGCCCTGCACTCAGGTCCCCATGCACTGTCACGCTCTCCCTGCTGCTGCCTCTATGTGATATTGCTGGGGCTGTGCTCCAGCCTGGTGCCAGCTCTATTTCTATCACAGATGTACTCACAGTAGAGTTCCTCAAATCCCAAAGTCAGCTAAACTTGCTCAGCTAGAAAACTGCACCGTTGGTAGCAGATACATATTCATCAGGCCAATGGCTTTTTAATTTTCTTCCTTTCCTGCTTAGGTTCATTTTTTTTGCTTATGAATTGTATTGTGCTTGCTTCCATTAACGGGAGATGTATTGCCTCTGTCAACCTTTGAGTAATAACCCAAATGCCCCCAAGTGTCCACGGGGCCAATAAGCCTGGCTGTGGTGCACAGAGCAGACCGGTTAGTGCCATCAAGAAGCCATCTGCTGCCTTACAGTGGGAGAACCTTGGCTGGTCTGGTTGGAAGGAGAGATGCACTCTGACCTTCCCAGGCCGGGCTGGGCTCAGTGAAAGCTTGTTCTGCCTCACCACCCTCTGTGTGTTGGTACTTTTATCCTCAAGAGAAGAATGAACAGCAGTGGGGAGTGAAAGCTTGAGCTAGCTTTCCTAATATCTAACCTGAATGAGGACTTTTACTTGGATTGCCCCGAGCCACTCTACAGTGGGTTCATCCCACTTACTACTGAGCATCCTGACCTGTACTCCAGTTACAGGGCTCAGGATGTGCCAACCTTCCTGCTTAATGCCCCTGTACCCCTGTGAAGGCTTCAAGCTTCCCAACCACTCCCACCACTTTGGCAATGTCCTTTCTCAGCTTGAGTCTTTGTGAGGATGATGGTGCACAGCGGGTGGTGAGGCACTGGAACAGGTTGCCCAAGGAGGCTGTGGATGCCCCATCCCTGCAGGCATTCAAGGCCAGGCTGGATGTGGCTCTGGGCAGCCTGGGCTGCTGGTTGGTGACCCTGCACATAGCAAGGGGTTGAAACTCAATGATCATTGTGGTCCTTTTCAACCCAGGCCATTCTATGGTTACAATATCCTAATGGCACCATACGTTTTTATCTTCGTCCTGTTCCTTGCTGGAGAGAAACACTGTGCCACGAGAGGTTCGGGTGGGATATTAGGGGCTGTTTCTTCTCAGGAAGAGTAGTGAGGCACTGGCACAGCTGCCCAGGGAGGTGGGATGTCATCATCCCTGAGGGTGTCCTGGAGCCATGAGGAAGTGCCACAGAGGGATGTGGTCACAGGCATGGGTTGATGGTTGGACTAGATGGTCGTAGTGGTCCTTCCAACCTTAATGATTCTAAGATGTGGCACTTGTCTTTGTTCTAGCTCTTTGAGAAGACTCTAAGTCGTTCTCTTCTTTCAGTCTTTCCTCATGGTGATGGGGAGGGCTTCTTGGTGTTGCATGTGGTTCTCTCCGCCATGATGTCCCTGGGCAGGCAGTGTGCAGAGGAGCTGCTCACAGCTGCAGCCCAATAACTCACCGTGTCTCTTTAATTTCCGTGGGAACTGTCCTTTGAGCTGTGAGCACCGAGCCGATGGGAAGTGTTACAGTTATTTAATATTTATGCCTCAGGAGCGCCGGAGGCTCCCATCAGTTCAAGGCTCGTCTGGACAAAGCACTGAGGATGCCCAGCAGCAGCAGAATCACAGCCCCGCTTTGTTGATAGAAAATAACTCTGCTCCCTGTCTCCTTCTATATGCTGCATTTTTCATTCCTTGCAGGGTATCACTACAGCTAACAAAATGCCTCTGTCGGGTGCCAGTAAAGGTACGGGGTTGGGAACTTTATTTTTTTATAGCTGATACCAAACTCTCATAAATTTTGTTGATGGATGTTCACTCGCTCCTTGCTCTTTGCTGATGCCCAGGTACAGGTTACAGTGTTTGAAACTAAGAAACGTGATGTTTGGAGGTCAACAGTTCACTATCTGCTTCTGTTTTAGGAAGGAGACGTCTGGCCAAATTCTTCGGCTGAAATAAACGTGATCTTTAAACCCCGAGAAGCCAGGCTCTATCAGCAGACCGTCTACTGCGACATCTCAGGTGGGCTCCCTGCCCCTCTTCCCTTGTCTGGTGGGGCACCAGCACTTCATGCCAACCTGCTTCTGGTGCACTGGGAGGGTGGTGGTGAAGGGATGAGATATTAAGCCGTGGATTTCCCCCAGTGCTGACAAGGACAAAGAGCTCCATACCAGGACAGCTTCTGGGGGCAGGCACTGTGAACACATGGAGCAGGTGGTGAGGCACTGCAACAGGTTGCCCAAGGAGGCTGTGGATGCCCCATCCCTGCAGGCATTCAAGGCCAGGCTGGATGTGGCTCTGGGCAGCCTGGTCTGCTGGTTGGTGACCTGCACACAGCAGGGGGTTGGAACTGGATGATCATTGTGGTCCTTTTCAATGTAGCCTGTTCTATGATTTTCTGGTTCTATGTGCTGGGAGCAGGTGTGACCAGCTCACCCCAGGTCACCCTCCTTGCCCTTGCAGAGGTGGCAGCTTTGCTGTGCTAGCATAGGCAGGGAGTGCTTGCAGCAAGCTGCATGGTTCAGGTTACCTTGCCCATCCTCCAGGGCTCTGCACAGTGCTGGTCAAGATGTTTTTCAAGAGGGAAGAGGGAATGTTGGGTTTTTCCCCATCAAAGAGGAAGAGATGGGAGGTAGCGGTCCTCCAGTTCTGGAGGATGCAGCCACCAGCATAGCTGCTTTGTGCCTTTCCTCTCCTTGGCCCTCTGAGCTGGCGGATACAAATGTCATGAAACAGATTTTATTTATACAGTAATTGCACGGGGTTTGCTTGGCAAATGCCACCTCCAGTAATTACACAGGGCTTGTGTTAACAAACCATCTTCCTGCCTGCCAGCTGCGGTTGTTAGAGATGTGGAAGGGAAGGATTTACTTATAACGTTGCTCCCAAGGGATGCTTCTGGCTCTGGGATCAGTGCTCTGGTGTCCATCGCTTTGCTGCAGCATCCTCAGAGGTTCCCCCTAGGAGGGCTGATCTGTGGCTGAGAGGTGGGGAGGCTGCTCGTGTGGTCCTGGACCAGCCTGGGTGTTATGGGAATGGAGCTGGGCAGAGGGTTCTGCTCTTGGAACGAGGGTCTGGCTCCTTGGGACCCCTGGAGGGCCCATGGGAGAGCTCAGCTCTTCCTCTGGCTCCCAGAAGGAGGACCTAAAGGTCATTTAAATTATGTGCCTACACCTATTCCTTGTAGAACAGAGCACTGTCAAGGCAAACTGTCAGAGTCAAGGTCCCTCGGTGCAGAGGGAATCTGAAGAAGCAACAGCGATGCTCAACGGGGGAGTCAATTAATTTTGCTTCTCGTTTCCTCTAAGAAGCGTGACTGTTCTGTGTGTGTTTGCATGCCATCACAAGTCCCCTCGGAGCGTGGTGTGCAGATGGTCGATGCGTCCTTTGCTGGGAATATTTGGAAGCTTGGCCCCAGTGCAGCCCCATGCGCGGCACAGCTGAATCTCACGTGCCTCGGTGGGTCATGGAGCAAGCAGTGGTGGGTCAGGAGATTTGCAGAACCCATCAGCACCACACAGCCCGCAAATCTGGCAGTAAAGGAGTGGTTTGAAATTTGCTCTGGGCAAATATTTAAGCTCAGAATGAACTTTTAGTTGTTCATGCAAATAAAACCGTGGTTCTTGGGCTGCTGGAAGGAAGTACACAGAAGGCGAGGTGGTGCTCAGGCACACAAATTTCAGTTTTGGATTAATTCGTGCTCAGAAGCATGTTGCGTTGCAATTGATTTATGCCAACAGCTCCAAACCATTCACAAACCCGGGCCACGGTAGTTGGAGGAGCCAAGTCCAAAATGGTGGACGCTCCCTTGCCTTGTGGTGGAGCTGTCCTACTAAGATCCAGGCTCTCATTGCACGATATTGAGTGTGGATTTGGGACTGAGGTCAAAAAGGAGGAGCACCTTCTCCGTGCCCTTGATCCCACCCATCCTGTGTGCTCCAGGGCATGGTTTTTTGTGGTGGGAGGACTGCATGGCACGGGTGGGCTGGGTGGAGGTAGAGAGAAGGGTCTCCATGGGCCTTCAGGAGAGGCTGAGGACATTCTGCAGAAGGAGAAGGATCACCATTGATTGGTTTGCTTGCAGTGGCCGTGGGATGCATCTCTCAGGTGCATGAATTGAAGCTTCACAGTTTCATGGGCAAAAGCTCGTTACTTGAACGCATTTGCCATTTCCTAAGAGCTGTGGTGGGTTCAGATCTAGAGGTTTTAATGAAGGTGAAGCCACGCATGATGCCAGATGGATAAATCTCTTGGCAGCAAACACCCAGTGCTGTGTCTTTTACAGTGTCTGTGAAATAGAAATCCACAGCCCTCCAATTAATGTCTGAGCTGCAAAACGTAACTCTCATCTCCGCCATCAGCTGGCCTTTGGCTGCAGCCATTTGAAAGACGTTGAATTCAACAAAGCTCCATAGCTCTTGCTTTCTGACTTTTATCCAGCATCCTCATCCCATGGCTGCGAGATCAAAAAGCCAGTTGTTACTCAAAAGGCTGTTCCAGGAGAGTTTTCAAGTTGTGGTGTAGTCACTGCATTGTCATATCTGGGCTCATCTTTCCCATTAGAAATCATCTAGCGTGTTCTGAATAACTATACAGGGCAGTGAGGCACTGCTGCCCAGAGCTGGAGGTGCTCCAGGACATGGTTGGCCCTGAGTTGGTGGGGGGGCAGCCAGCCCATGGCTGGGGTTGGAGCTGGGTGGGCTTTAAGGTCCCTTCCAAGCCAACCATGCTGTGATAAGACTCTGTGATTGCACAAAGAACTTGAAGGAAAGGAATACTTTAGCATGAAGCTACAACTCTTGGACTTTCTCCTCCTCCTCGTGCTCCTCACCTTCCATACAGAGCAGAACGGGATGGCCAGCACAGGGATGGGGATTGGAATTGAGGTATTGGGGCAACAAAGGGAATCATTGCACTGAGATGGAAATTCCCCCCAGGCCGTGAGACCAGGCTGCCCCTGCGCATCAGAGGGGAAGGAGAAGGGCCCCGGCTGCGCTTCAGCTTTGACCAGCTGGACATCGGGAAGGTGTTTGTGGGCTCAGCCCACAGCTACGAGGTGAGTGGAGGAAACCCGCCTGGCCCCCACCTGAGATCTGCTCCCTGCAGAGAAGCTGGGAATGCTTAGTGCTGCCCACCGTGCTTCGCTTGGTGCTCCTCTGGTTGCACAAACAGCAAAGCATTTCTGTAAATGAGGCCAAGGAACTTTCCATGTATTTGGCATCCAGGCTCTTGCACAAAAGAAATAAAGCAGAGCAACCAAAGGGAGGTAGTAAATGAGGCAATGCATCATGCCAGACGTTTTGAAAAGCGTCACTGTGGCAGGGAAGGACACATTGAGGTGTTTTTTACCAAAATATTTTGCTCTCTATGCATTTTTAATGCTGATTCCATATTGCTTCTTGCTGTATTAATTTATAATTTCCATTACTTGAGAAGAGATTAATAAGTCAATGATGCTGTTAGTCAATGCTGTCCTAAGCAGCTGGACTGGAGATAAACCTCAGCTCAGGGCAGGCTCACTAAGAGTTCACTTTACCATTGTGCAATCTGAATACCTGAATATTTCCAGCAGCAGCTGCAAAATTAAAAAGCAAAGGGCATTTCTGTGCTTTTGTCTCAGTTCTCCTGGCAGATTTTGCAAGGGCAGAAGGTAGGGAAAATAAATCCAAAACGCATAGATAAGGCCCTGGAAATGGCAGGGTTTCTCCCAGCGGCAATTGATAGCTTAATTTGCTGCAGGTGGGTTTGGTGGCATAGCACTGCAGCCCACAGGCACACGTGGGCATATTGTGACCAGCGAAACAGAGCTGGAGCTCAACGAGCTTTTTAATTATTGTTTTTTTTACGTAGTGGTTAGCTCTTAGGTGATGGCTGTGGCTGTTCATACAGAGAAATTCTTGAGAATGGGTGAAGTTGTTCTGCACCTCACTCCCATCCCCTCCCAACGTTGCTGGTTGGGCAAAGCCCAAGGAACTGATAGACTGAAAAAAAAATAGGAGTGTAGAATCACTCTGTTTCTATGGAACCATCACTGCTTTGCATGAAGGAACCCAAAGGCGGAATTTGTCGTGTTGTGTTTCCATTGGCTTCCACTGTGCAGCAGCACACGGCGCCTTCTGCCTCTCAGCGATGTTAATTGTTGAATTAGAAAACACATCATCCTTTTGTAGGAAGATTCCTCAAGCGTTTCTTTTTTTCCTCTCTGCTGCAGGCGATCCTGTTTAACAAAGGAGCCATCGATGCTCTCTTCCACGTGGTGCCTCCAAGCACAGCGCTGGGCTCCTGCTTTGCCTTCCTTCCCCACGAGGGCCTGGTCCCACCGGGGGGCTTGCAGCACATCCGCATCTCCTTCTGCTCCACCATCCTGGGGCAGTTCACCGAGGAGCTTGGGGTCAGCGTGCACGGCTGTCCCCAGCCCGTCACCTTGACTGTCAGGTGAGGAGGGCACTTGGTGCCTTGGGGTGATCCCACCGTCCCTGGAGGTGTTCAGGAACCTTGGAGACGTGGCAGTGAAGGATGTGGGCAGTATTGGTGGATGGTTGGGTTGGATGATCCAAGAGGTTTTTTCCAACCTATGATTGTCAGAACCAGGGTGTGCTATACGAGCTTGTCCCAGGTGGTCCTTCCCATCAGCAGGTGGGATGTGGTGTTGGAGGCTGGAAAGTTGATGCTCAGTGTTGAAGAGCTTTGGGGTGGCTGTACCTCCTCAACAACTCTTGAGAGGTATCATACCAACCATTGGGCTGGTAAGGGAATGAAAGGAATCTGCAGTTGATTTATCAATAAGGTAGGGGAAAATTGATTAAAAAAAAAAAAAAAAGAGCAAGGTTATTACTTTGCAAGAGTGGTAAGTAGGTCTGTTGACCTCCAGTAGGGAAACAATTACATTGGCTTTGTGTTTGGAGGGAAAGTGCTGCTTTTTTTGGAAATCAAGAGGGAACATTTCACAACCAAATAATTTATTCTCCTCTGTCCCTCCCCCCAAAGTTGGTCATGGGATGTTATTGCATAAGCAGCTTTCTCCTTGAGCAAGGGCAGCTTTTGCTTGGAAAGATGTGCTTATCACAGGTAGAATACAATTTTATTGTCTTGCGCCCACTGCCTTTGCCCTGCCATGGCCATGTTCCTCAAGAAGATGGTTATCCATGGGTTTCATTGCCTTCTGGTTTTCCCCAACCAAATGAAATGGTTTGGTTTCTCTGCTGGCTCCTAGAACTTCACTCCCAGTGTCAGCTCTTTGTGGTCCCTCCCTCAGCTGGGTGCAGACCTTGTTTCTCAATCAAACAGGGCTGTTCTTCCTGTTTTTCTTCCTTCCCAATCCTCGAACTCCTGATTCCTGGATGATGGCTCCTTTGCAGCCCATCTGACATTAGGTCCCCATCTGCAGTATAATTCCCAGTGCAATCTATTCCTTGGAGATGGTATTTGCCTCCTTGATTCTCTTTCTTTCAAAGTTCCCTCTCCAGCCCTTATCTTTCACCCTCCATCCCCACAACTCCTTTGAGATGCCACCTCGAGGTGCACCTCTCCTTCAGGGGGGTTTGTGGCCTGGATTTAGTCCTCCATGGAGAGAATTCTCAGTTCTTGGAGGAGATCTGCCTAGTGGGACACGGGGCTGCTAAGGAAGGAACGAGGATGAAAGCTCACGTGGTTTCTCTCTTACTTGATGTTATCTCTCTTGCTCTGCAGTGACCCCGCTCTTCCTATGCATGTGCATTAAATAATGCTACTGTAAGACAAAATGTGGCCAAAACCACTGCCTCCCTCTATTTCCTGCAAGCTGTACTGTTATCAGCTGTTGCCCAAGTTGCTTGAGTTTGGCTGCTTGCCTGAGCCTTCTGGGCAGCTGCTCAGGTTTAGCTTGAGCACAGGCACAGCTCACTCAGCAGGAATGGAAGCCTGGCAAGGCTCGTCCCTGGCAGCTCCCAGCATCATCCCCAGCTGTGCCTGGCTTGGAGGTAGTTTTCCATCGTCTCCTGGCATGGGCTGTGATGATGGGAAGCATGTCTGTTGCAAGTAAGCTGGGCTGGCTTGAGAGGTCAGGGCTGATTATGTGAGGTCCTTGGGGAGGGATCTTCAGAAGCAGGAGGGATTTGGACCTGGATTATTCTCAGGATCTAACTCAGTTCCTTGGGTTGAAATGCCTGAAAGCCCATTCTTTTTGATTACCTGATCAGAAGATGCCCAAGCCACAGGAGATTCTTATTTGGATGCCAGCCTGAACACTTGTTTCTTTGGTATTTAGAAAGGGTTGGAGAGACTGGGGGACCAGAGATGGAGGCAGGTCCCTCCTGTTGGGTTCATGTACAACAGAGGCACGATGGCAGTCCTGTGGATAAAACTAGAAGGCACCTTTCTCTGCGACATAATTAAAAGACAGCAGGTATTGATTGGCTCCAGCCATGACATAAATGAATGGATGTGGTGCAGCTCCAGATGGTGATTTCAGTGGGTGATGCTTGGAGTGAGCTGGGCTCAGGACAACCACGCTTGGTGGTGTAAGACACACAGTGCTTGTGGATGTGTCTGCTGGTGCCCTGGTGACGAGCAGATGCTTCTCTCCACAATTCAGCCATCCAGTGTAAAGAATGTTTGCTCTTCTGGTGGTGAGCAATGGGTGTTTGGGGCTTCCCTGCATTCATGCCTCAAAATCCTGTATCGTGTGATCACAGTCCTTTGAGGAAAGGATGTTTATCTAGTCCATGGAAACGCCAGTTCCAGCGAGAAGTAGGGGACTTGCTACTACTTGCTAGGTGGCAAGTCGGGTTCAAATAGTGATTCCACTTCGTTTGTGTGGATGCCTCTGAGCTCTCGTGGTACGGATGGGAGAAATGGAGGCACAGAGCCATCACTTATTCAGGGTCCTTACTAGGCCAGGTGATGGCTCTTCTTTGGCTGCCTCCTGGTCCACCCAGATCATGGAATCATAGAATGGTTTGGGTTGGAAGGGACCTTTAAAGGCCATCTGCTCCCATTCCCTGCAACAAACAGGGACACCCACAGCTCCACCAGGTGCTCAGAACCCCATCCAGCCTGACCTTGGGTGTCTGCAGGGACAGGGCACCCACCACAGATGCCATACTGAACACAGGGATGATGAGAACAAAACCCCTCACCCTTGTCTTTAACCAACCAATGCCCTCTGCCTGTTCTTTGTCCCCACAGAGGCTGTGTCATCGGACCGACCTTCCACTTTGACGTACCTTCCCTCCACTTTGGCGACGTCCCCTTTGGTGAGTGCACCCTGGGTTTGGTTTGCCAACCTGCGTGTTGCAAGCTAACACAAGAGCATCCGTCACGTTCCTCCCTTGGGGTGTTAAAACCAAGGACTGGTTTTAACAGCCTGCATCAGGCTGTTAGTGTCACACACGTGGTCATTGGGAAATGTTCCTGAGAGGAAGCACGGATGCGGCATTGTGTTTTAACCCAAAGCTGCCAGTCTTCAGGAGGACAATGAACATGAAAGTCTGTGTGCTTGGATTGCCCAGGAGATGGGAGCTGGGACCATGTGCCAGCTCTTCCCTGTCACTTTCGTGGGAGAAATCAGGGTGCTGTGAGGACATCCTGCTGTCCTTGAGGACCCACGTCACCCAGCATTCCCAGAGATGGGGCTCCTGCCCCTCTGCTGGCACAGCCCCTGCCTCCTGTGGATGCAATGGGAGCATCCACAGCTCCCATTGAAATGCAGATTCTGACTCCTCAGCTCAACCGCACAGAAGGCTTTTTGTGGAGAGGATCTAAAGTTTAAATGTGAAATCAATTGTGGATTGATTGAAGGGCCATTATCATTCTGTGCCCAGGATGCCTCTGTTTGGTTTTTTGGTTTTTTTTTTTTCCATAGACTTTTTAAGAAAACTCATCACATTTTCTGAGCTGCTTTCTCCTTTCCCTACATCACCATCTCTCACTTTATTTCCTTTGGAGCAAATGAAACAAGAAACGCACCCAGCAGAAATATGGTTATGTAATACAGGGTTCATCCTATGTAATCTGAGTTTATTAATGCGGTGTTTCCAACTGAAGAAGGTTGGCATTTCTATTTCTTGCTGCTTCTGACTGCACTGCGTCTGGCAGCTTTCAGTCCTGGGCAGGCTGCTTTTGTCCCTTTTGCACCTCTCCTTGTTCTGGAGGTGGGCGCTGCTGATAGGAATGCACTCTGCTCTCCCTGCATTTGGTCTTCCTTCCCTGCCTGGGCTCAGTGCTCCATCGTGGACAGGCAGCACTAAGCTGCTGATGTAAACCTTCACAGGTAGCAATCAAAGCCTGCATAGATGCCATGTCCCCATTTGTTAGCTGAGGCAAAACATATTTTCTGCTCAGTTTTAAGCATCAGGCTTGAAAGCAGGCTGAGGGTTGTCATGTGCTCAGTCTGCTTGCCTCAAAATAGGAGGTGCTTTCATAGAACCTCCTGCTCCAGCACGCAGGTGTCCTGTAAGACTTGTGCTACCTTTCCAGCCCTGTGTGAATGCAGCTCAGCCCAAAGTTGCTGCTGGCAGGTGCTGAACCTGCTCTCTGGGGGCTGATCTTAGTCCATATAGATAATCCAGTTGTGATGGTTTCAGTGGTAGAAATGGAAGGTCCAGTGATGCAGCTGAGCTAGCATGCCTAGCTGCTATGCCAGCTGCCACCAACCTCAGCTGCTGATAGAAGGGAAACACCACAGGAGTGTTGCATTTGCAGTGATTAGCTACAGGAACCTTGCTTCTGTCCTTGAGACTGCAGAGCACAGTGTATGCACTGAGCACATTATAAATGCAGGTGCTGCAATAGACAGCAGTGTGACAGCACGGGCACAACCACGTGGAGGAAGGCATAGTTTGCAGTGAGTAGCTGGAACGCTGCTTTTGCACAGTGCTGTAGTTCCCAATTTAATCCTTTCTTTTTCTTTACATACACTTTCTTTATTCTTACTGCGGATGCTCCTCGATGGCAGCATGCTGTTTTGGTGGGTTGGAGGTGGTGGGATGTTTGCATGGGTTTAAGATAACATTCGGCCTGAGATGTGGAATTTCATTGCTTGAATTTGGAGAATAAATAACTCGGTCTGTGTGAATGCATGCACGTAAATGAGAAGCAATGGGCACTGTTTAAGGATAGGGGCAGAGCTCCTTGCAGTCAGAGAAGGAGAAGCCTGTAGTGATGGGCAGCCTGATTCCAAGCCCAGGCTTTTCTAACATGATATTCCCAGCAGGAATCGAGATGTAATTGGGCATAAATTCATACTTTCATAGGTTTTCCCCACACCTTGTCGTGCCGCCTCAGTAACACCTCCTTGGTGCCCATGACGTTCAGCCTCCGCGTTCCTGGGGACGGCTCCGGAGCCCCCAGTGTGAGCAGCTCTGCCCAGGTGTTGGACAACACTCTTCTCTCCTGGAGGATGGGGCTTCCAGCTCACCCCAAACCCACCGAATTCACCGTGATGCCCTGCAGAGGGACCATTCGTGCCCAGGGGACACAGGACGTGCAGGTGTGGAGCATGCTACTGAGCTGATCATGAGAGGGTTTAGCACTGCTATTGTTAGAATCATAAGATGGCTGTGGTTGGAAGGGACCTCAAAGCCCATTCAGTTCATGGGCTGGGTGGCCCCACCAGCTCAGGCTGCCCAAAGCTCTATCAGTGGCCTTGGGAAACCTGCAGGAATGGGGCACCGACAGCAAAATGAGCTGCCTAGAAGGCCACAGTGAGGTCTTCCTGAAAGCCTTCTCTTCTCCAAACTCAACAAGCCTAACTCCCTTAGCATTTCTACATTGGAGAAGTCCTCCAGCCTTGAGCATCTCCGTAGCCCCCCTCAGGACCTGCTTCAACAGCTCCCTCTTGAGAGCTCCTTTGAACCACTTCTTTGATTTACGGTGGGCAAAAGATGGCTGTTAGAGAGATGTCATTGCATGAAAGTTTGCTGCTCTTCTTAGCTTTGTTTCTAATTCCCTGCCAAGCAGGAGCTGCACGGACTGCCGTGATCTCTAATGGGGACAGGAAGAGCTGTGCAAGCCACAGGCTGTGCAGCACCTGCTGGTCCATACTTTGCCCTTGTAAAACTGCACTCCATCTGTTCCAGCCAGCAGATTTCCCCTGGATTTTTTTCTACTGTAGATAAGGTTTAAAATTAAGGCTCTGATTTTTGTACAGTGTTGTACCGTAGTTAGTCTATTTGTGCTTTAACTTGGTTTGCACAAGCCTCGATAGCTGCAAGGTGTATTTAACAACTTGGCCATCATCAGCAGATTTGTGTTTGTCTTCTTTACGTGGACCAGCATAAAATTAGGCCCAAATCCTCCCTTTACTTACTGTGGGATGGAGGACCCTGTGCCCAATGGCATGTCTCACTCCCAGAGCCTGTCTGGGATTAGTTGTCCTGTGTGTTATTTCTGACCGTCTCTCTCGACCTGTGGGTTGCTAGAACGTGGGTCACCTTAAAGAGAATTCCTTGGGACTGGACCTTTATTGTCCTCAGATTCTGGTCCCTTGCCCATTTGGTCCCCAATGGGACATTTCTAGATTGGGAATGCCCATAGCTCTGTATGAGTCTTGACATCTGAGGCTGGTGGAGCATCCATCAGCAAGATTCTGTCCCACCCATCAATCCCAGGTGGTACAGCTTGTATCACACACAGGCCTTAGGGAGTGATGAAGTGTTGATGTGGATGTTCTGTCCCTGGAGGTGTTCAAGACCAGGTTGGATGGGGCCCTGGGCAGCCTGGTCTAGCACCCAATCTGGAGGTTGGTGGCCCTGCCTGTGGCAGGGGGGCTGGAACTTGATGGTCCCTGGGGTCCTTCCCAACCCAAGCCATGATATGATTCTGTGTTATTCCCTTCTGCCAGGTCACCCTGTGCTCCAACACAGTGAAACAGTACGAGATGGCACTGGTGGTGGATGTGGACGGTGTTGGCAAGGAGGTGCTGGCACTTCTTCTTACAGCCAGGTACTGGGACTTCCCTTGCAGCTCATCTTCTGTCCTGGGGCTTCCACCAGCAGTGTGCTGTTGGGTTGAGCTCCAAACAAGAAGCAAAAGTTAATGAGCTTGTTCTGCCCAGCTGGAGCTAAATCAGCTGTGAGAACAGCAGGGCTTTCAAAGGATTTTGTATGGAAAAGCACCTGTGCTCAATGGACACTGCCCTGAGTGTTTCTCTAAAGGGAACAGTAATTATAGTCATGATTGGCTTGGTCTGTTGAGGAGTATTTTCAAAGAGTCATGTTCCTGCAAGGGAAGGGTGGGCTTGTGCTGAGTGGTGACCAGTAGGCATCACTTGGGACCTGCTGCCAGCTGGTGTCTGCTCCAGGTCATGAAGGCATAATGAAGTGGGGAAGGGCTCATGGCAAAATTGATGAGCAAAAGATAAGGGCAAGATGGGAGAGGAGGGGGAAAGTAGTCCCTGATGTGAAGGGAGAGCTCAGATTTCTCTGCTCTCCTGTTCTTCTGACCAGGCTCTGAGCACCTGATGGAGCTGTGGATGTCCCTGTCCATTGCAGGGGAGTTGGACCAGATGGCCTTTAAGGATCCCTTCTAATTCAAACCGTTCTGTGGTTCTGTGTTGAGAGCCCAAAGTTATCCTTGTCTCAGCCAAATTCAGTCCTGGTGCACTGTGCTAAAGGTTGGCTGAATTACAACAGGAATGTAGCTAACCCTGTATATCTCATTAATTGAGTGTACTCAGCAACTATAATGATGGTAAGCCATTGATAAGACACTGGCATTTTAGGATGATGCCCATAGAAATAGCCAAGTGGGTTTGTGGTATTTTTGAGGCTATGGGTCAGAAATGCTCCCTCCATGCCTTTATCTCTCACTGACCTTTCCCCTCTCCTGTAAAATGAGTGCAAATGGGAAGGGAATGGGTAGTTACAAGCCCATGGAGTGTAAGAGCAAGGTGACCACAGAAGCTAGGAAAGGATCCAAAGCAGGATGATGGCTCCTGTCCTCGGTGGCTGTGACAAATGGCCAAATTTGGGGGCAAGGGAGACCATGGAAGGAGACCATGGAAGGAGAGGGAGTTGTTGTGTTGTTTTTTTTTTACCAAAGTGTGCGGGTGTTACGTGCCATGCATCCTTGTGAGTCTCCTGAGCGGAAGGTCCCTCCAAGAACTCAGCAAATAAACCAGTTCTGCTCTCCCTCAGTGTCCCTAACTCCCCTCTGACCATCTCTATCCTAGATGCGTGGTTCCCCCACTGCGGGTGCTCAGCCCCGTGGTGCCCTTTGGGCGCTGCTTCCTCCAGCATCCCTACCAGCGGGCGCTGACCCTGGTGAACGACGGCGATGTTCCTGGTTGCTACGGGCTCCTGCCACAGGTCTGCCTCTGCTCCTCCTCTCCCCAAACCTTCCCAAGGGGCTCCAGATCTCTTGCTTTGTTCCTTTCTGCTTTCTCCTGTGGGGGCTCTTTAAGATCCTTGGCTCATTGACTCAAGCATGTCAGGGTAGAGGCTGGTCACAAGAAGTGTCCCTCAGGGGTCAGTCTTGGGACCAGTGCTCTTCAACATCTTCATCAATGACATAGACAATGGCATTGAGTGCACCTTCAGCAAGTTTGCGGATGACACCAAGCTGAGCAGTACAGTCGATACACTGGAGGGAAGGGAAGCCATCCAGAGGGACTTAGACAGGATGGAGAAGTGGGCCCATGTGAACCTAATGAGGTTCAACAAGGCCAAGTGCAGGGTTCTGCAATTGGGTTGGGGCAATCCCAGATATTTATACAAAGTGGGAGAAGAACCCCTTGAGAGCAGCGCTGCGGAGAAGGACTTGGGGGTCCTGGTGGACGAGAAGCTGGACATGAGCCAGCAGTGTGCGCTTGCAGCCCGGTAGGTCAACTGTGTTCCAGGCTGCATTAAAAAAGGGGTGGCCAGCAGGGAGAGGGAGGTGATTGTCCCCCTCTACTCGGCGCTTGTGAGGCCCCATCTGCAGTGATACGTTCAGGCCTGGGGCCCCCAGCACAGGAAGGACGTGGAGCTCTTGGAGTGGGTCCAGAGGAGGGCACTGAGATGTCAGAGGGCTGGAGCAGCTCTGCTACGAGGAAGGGTTGAGGGAACTGGGATTGTTTAGCTTGGAGAGGAGAAGGCTGCGGGGCAACCTCAGTGTGACCTTCCAGTAGTTGAAGGGAGCGTATAAACAGGAAGGGGAACGGCTGTTTGTGAGGGTGGATGGTGATAGGACAAGGGGAATGGTTTTAAACTGAGATGGGAGGTTTAGGTTGGATATTAGGAGGAAGCTTTTCAGCCAGAGGGTGGTGAGGCACTGGAACAGGTTGCCCAAGGAGGCTGTGGATGCCCCATCCCTGCAGGCATTCAAGGCCAGGCTGGATGTGGCTCTGGGCAGCCTGGGCTGCTGGTTGGCGACCCTGCACATAGCAGGGGGTTGGAACTCAATGATCATTGTGGTCCTTTTCAACCCAGGCCATTCTATGATTCTGTGGTACTATGAAATATCCCTCCAAAATGGTTAGAAGCTGTTTGTCCCATCTAGGAGCACCCAGAGTGTGCTGCTGTGCAGTACTCCAGCCCCGCGCCCTGTGGGATCATCCAGCCCCACAGCTCGGTGCAGGTGCTGGTGACACTGCGGGCCCAGGTGACCGGCAAGCAGCTGACGGTGGCTTCGGTCGCGGTGTTTGGAAGAGAGGAATCCCCGCTGGTGAGTCCCAGAGGTGCCCCTTTGCATGGCTCAGTTTGGTGGGGGAATATCCCACCTGAGGATTTCCGTGGGTGAATGAGTGACGATGGCTGGGGTGGCAGGAAGCCAAATCTTTGCTTCTCTGGGTGCTCTTTGGCTGCGTGCGGTGCTGAAATCAGCACGGGAGTGTGGGCATGGGCCAGATGCTGCCATATGCCTGGAAGTGTTTGTTTGTCCTGGGAGCGAAGGAGGTGACAGGAGCTCCGCATTGCACCAGGCTGTGTCCCCAGAGATGGTGCATTTACAGGAAGCAATGAAGGAAAAACGAGCTGGATGTGCTTGTATGCTTTCTGCTATAGCTCAGCCAAAGGAGCACGGGAATGATACAGCCAGAGTTTCCCAAGCAAAGGGATGGCACTGACCTTCTCCCAAGTATTTCTGATGACCCTACACCAGCTGCTTCCAATGACCCTTCTCCACCTTTCCACCATGGAACTCATTGCTCCAAACCCAGCTATGGGCAGACTTGCCACATAGAACTGATGTGAGCATGGAATGAAGGGTTGATGGTATTGCTCATGGCATCTGCACTCCTCACATCTAGAGCAAAAAGAGGTGTTTTTCTACCAAGCTTGGGAATGGATGAGGCAAACTATTCCTGGACTAAAACCTCCTAAAATTTGTTGCTCGTAGCCACACATACACGAGAGCAATAACAAAATATAGGCAAAAAAGTCTCACGTAGTGTCCTGGCTTCATCTAGCTGAGATCTAGAATGAATTTAGCTAATTAAACTTTAATTTAAAATGATATTAACTTTGAAGCACTTACACTAAAATGTCTTGTCATCCCTCTGAGCATGAAGTAGGATGTCAGAGGGTTGCTGGGAACCTTAAGCTTTCTGTAACAGAAAGGAAGGTTGACATTTTGAAAGCTGTTCAAGGGATTTAAGCTCTCATTAAAATGAATGGAAGTGATGCTGCTAAATCCCCTAGATGCTGCTGAACGTCTCAACCCAGACGTTTGTGGGTCTCAGTGTAAACCAGTCAACAGGAAGGCCAGGCAGTGCAGGAAGGCAAATTTTGCAGCAAAACCTGACATTTGACAGAACGTTTTCTTGTAAATAGAAGGCACGCTTCCCTAAAAGATGAGAGTTTCTCCCTGTTAGAACAACGCATGGTTTTGCTGTTAGCTTTTGTTTTTTAACTACACTGGTCTTGCAGAGCTTTTACCGTTGGGTTAACAATTTGTTTCAGCCCTTACCTTAATTTTTAATTCATTTCTTGCTTGGAAATGAATTTGTTGTTCTTTTGCCCAAACGGTGATAATTTCAACTGGAGAACTCTCGCTGACCCTAAAGCAATGGTTGGCACAAGACTGAACTCATGTGTGCCCATTAAACTAGTCAATATTGAGCAGCATTTACGCTCTAGTTGTTGAATAAGAAGTGAGTTTCTTGCCATCAGGCTAGGTTCCTGCATTTTCTGTAGGACTGCTCTGTAGTGTGAGTGTTGATTCACTGTTCCATGCTGTGACTCGGGCTGGAAGGGATCTTGGAGATACCAGGTTCCCTTTCTCTGCATACATGCTGCACTGATGGCATATCTTAGCCCATTGGAACATGCAATACAAATCTGACCTCAGTAGAGCAACCACAGTGTGTTCCCACAAAGCCAAATAGGAACTTGCTGTTGTCATCTTGAGTCATGCCTCCTGGTGTTGGTATCGTGCCTTTATAGCCTTCGGTGGAACCTCGGACAGCTCCCTCTGCCTGTTTAACCGTGCTTCCAGCTCTACTGAACTGGGGTTTTCTTGCCTCTTCCAAGAAGTCTATGGATGAAGGGTTCTTTTAATACAAGCTTTCTGTTGGTGAGGAGACATGATAGCACACACTCTAATTGATGCCAAACAGGTTTCTAGCTCCTCCTTCCTCAACCAGCTCCTGGTTTTGAGGTACAGCCTCCGTGCATGATTTCTAGTTCTTATTGCGCACAGTCGCGTCCTATCAAGAGGAGAGTGCTGGCTGAGGTGGAGGAGTGGTTCTGACAGCTGTCAATGCCATTTCCCTCTGTCAGACATCATTAAAGGTTTTACATTATGTTTTTCTTTTTCTTTTTTTTTTTTCTTGTGGCTGAATCCCGCTCTGTGCCTTCTGGTGAATCACACAGCATCTTGTCAGCGTGGGAGTTTTGTGCATCCAAGTCTTGTTGGGGTCTTTGGGATGGGTAAAAGTCAGCAAGACTGAGTAAATTCTCATTGTTCTAATGATGTGAGAAGGCAGACTGGTAAATGGATCTGCATTCCTCTTCCTGTAGCCTGTACCAGTTCTGCAAGAACAAAACTGCCAGGTCACAGACTGGCAAAGGAGAAAATGCTGAATGATGTAATTAATAATTAATGACTGCTATTCCTATAGTGTCAGGAGTAAACATAAATACAATTCAAAGGCAAGTGTGAACAAAGTGAGAAAAGCTGCGTTTCTTCACCCCAGTAAAGGTCTCTTCTGTCTTTCAGTTGGGAATCATCCCTAATCCTCCACTAGCTCCAGGTCTTTTGTGTTGTTACAACACTGAAAGCTTCAAACAGTCATAACACTCCCTCAGTCTAGGAGCATTCTGAGCACTGTCTCATCTTTTTAACCTTTCTTTCTCTTCTGGGGTCTTTTCTATGTGCTTCCTGGAGCAGGAAATCCATTTAGTGAGCACTGGAGAAGGCCCAGTTGTCTACGTGCAACCAAGTAAGCTGAATTTCGGCCGTATCCCAGTTCTGCAAGATGTTTCCCAAACTCTGCACCTCTTCAACCAGGCTGTCATCCCTGCATCATTCTGGACAGAGATGGTAAGTGATTGCAGGGCTGTTTTCTGACCTATTGTGACTGATCTATAGCAGCCTGAGACTCGGTCTTACGTACAATATTTCCATGTCACCATCTCAAAGAGAAAATGAAATATTCTGTGACCTCAGGTGGCTGGCTCTGGTTTATAAATGATGTTTTTTTGGAGGGTTTTGCATGCTGTTGTGTTATAGATTGCACCTGTGGCTGCGATCCCATTGCAATTCCTTCCTTCCTTCCTTGTGCAGTTGCACCCTGTGGAGCTTGCAAGAGGTATCTGCCTCTCAGTGCCCTAATTTATGAGACTGGGTGATAAATCCACCAGCCTCATGTTCTCCAAGATGCTAAGGCTGCTGTTTCGATCTCCTGCTGGCTCACTGCACAGGACAGCTCCTTCCCCTGCCTCCCATCGAATGGCTTATCTTGAAACTGTGGCTGCTAGCAGTGAGGCTTGTAGATCACAGACCCAACTCCAAAGAATGAGCTATTGATTGAAATTTTCACAACAGCAATGTTGCAGGACTGGCAGCTTAACAAACAGAATGAGATTAAATTAAGGGGCAGTGACAGGGAAAGCATAAAGCAAGTGTCTTATTCAGAATAGAAGAGGTGAGTGCTGTAATGGAGATGGCCACGTTGCCCACTTGGTGGTGCCCATTTTGTGCAAATCACTGTTCCTGTCGAGTTATGCTTTCCTCTTGATTTATGGGTGAAAAGAGCAAGCTGAGATGCAGATGACCTACATCCCTGCTTTGGGGTCAGCTTTGGAGTCAGCCAGGAGAGAGGCAAGCCAGGCTGGAATTGAAAGAAAGATCTCCAAAGCCGTACATTGAGGTGGAGAACTCTGTTGGCCTTCTAGTTTCAGCTGGGATGGAATTGTTTTCTTCAGTGTTTGGTATGATGCCATGTTTTGGGTCTAGGGGAAGAACAATGTTGATAATGCACTAATGTTTCTGGGTGCTGCTAAGCAGTGCTGTACAGAGCCAAGGCCTTTCACAGTGAAGGGCCCAAGGAGCTGAGAAGGAGCAGAATTGGGACAGTTGACTTAAACTGGCCAAAGGGATATATATTCCATACCATTTGGCATTGTGCAGAAGGAATTTTGAAGAGGGTGGGAGTTCATCTCTCTCTTTTGCTGCACAGGAGGCTAGCTGGGCACTGGGCTTGGATTTTGGTCTTGCCAAAGCTGGAGGGACCATTTCCATGTAGCAGACCGTGCCTTGAAATGTGTCAGGCACAAACGTGAGCTATGGCTAGGAATTTGCAGCCTTGTGCTGGCAGTGGGTTGCACCAAAGTGTTCTGAGGATGGCAGAAAGCTGTGTTTTCCCCAGGGTGTGGGTTGCACGTGGCTTTTAGAAGGGGCAGGAAAGGGTTGGAGGAGACTTTGGGAAAGGAGCCTGAAACCTGGCTGTAGGGAAGAGTGTTTATTGCATCAGTAACTTACATGAATTCATGCCCTCTCAAAATTGCTGTATTTTGGTAAACAAAGAAATTGTCATCTATTCATCTAAGGAAACTAAACTCAGAGTATTGTGCTGTGCTCATTGGCCAACGAAATTAAAGAAGTGGAGAAGTCTTCAAGGCAATTACGCTCCTACAAGCAAGAGTGACTCAGCTGCATGCTTTTCCCAGGGGACGATGAAAAGGATTGGTTATTAAATGTTGTGCTTGGCAGCCAGCAGCCAGACTGTGGCTGTGTCCTGCCTGGTGAGCCCCAAGGCTGAGTGCTGGTGGGGTGAGCTGGGACCAGGGGGAGCAGATGGAGGCAAGCAGCTGAATCAAGTGTGACAAATCAGGCTCTGTTGTCAGTGGCAGCAAGTCCCACACATCAGTTTTGATTTTTATTTTTTTTAAATTTATTGTAGAACATTCCCTTGGTGGTGTGCTGGGTCTGAAGCTGGACCTAAGCAGTCCACCTGCCATCTCTTTGCTGCCCTTTGCAGAGTTGGTGCAAAGCTGGAGGATTTCTGGCTGCTTGGCTGTCCATGGGAATCGGTTGCCCCTTCAGTCCCTGGACATCAGACATCTCCAAGTGGTCAGAACCCATGTAAAATCACAGTCATAAGGTTGGAAAAGACCACTCAGACCACCAGTTCCAAGCCAAGCCCAGCCCACCCCAACCATGCCCACTAACCATGACCCTCAGTGCCACATCCCCATGGTTCTCGGGCACCTCCAGGGATGGGCGCTCCACCACTTCCCTGTTCCACTGCCTGATCAGATCTTTGCAGTCAACAGCAACTGTTCTGCAGCATCACAACTCTGCCTGGCAGAGATCCCAGGTAGAGCATCAGTCTGTCCCTGCTCAGCTGACTAGTCTTAAAGAAATGCTGCTTGGGAAGGAGGACAGCTGCGTTCTGACTATTGAGTTCTGCTTCCCCTTGGACTTGTGCAAGGCTAGAAGGACCAGAACCCTTAATTAACTGGCTGTGAGTAGTGCGGTGGTTCCCCTGTTGTTTCTTGAGAGCTGCCATCCATCTCTCACACTCACTGGTGCTCATTACAGACAGATTTTGGCAGCTCTTACTCTCAATGGAAGTCTGTCCTGTGATGAGGAGCTAATGATCTCAGTGCTAAGCTTCTTGATTAAATGATTGATCCCAACCCTTGCTTAGCACTCAGGTACTCTGATGTCCAATAGTGCAAACTCCTACAGGGACAAAAATAGCCACTATCTTTGTCTATTCAGTGCATTACTGTGATTGCATCATTTCCCAGAGCACTTAGGGAAAAGCAAGAAGCAGGGATGTTATCAGAAGTCAGAGCTTAGACTGCGGATTCCTATAGATGGAATGTATGGGACTAGCCACTTCCAGCTCCTAGAGACTTGGAGCTCCAAGGGATTTCTGCACCATGGGGGAAATTTGGTTGGTGTGGGCAGGAGCTGCCCTACAAACCCACATGGAGGTGGCCCAGCACAACCTGTTGGTCCTGGTGGGTCTCCTGCTGGGTGCTGCCCCTCGCATCCAAGCTCTAATGCAGGAATGAAGGCATGCTGCAAATCACCCTGAGAAGTACAGCGGGTCTGCACTGGGAATTCAGAGCCTGTCTCCATCCAGACAACCTATCACTATTCCTCAGCAATAGTTTCTTGGGCACAATTTACTGCCCGACTTGCTGCCAGGCTTTGATAAATGAGCTTTGTCATGTAGCAAACTTGCAGATTCACCTCTGGAGCAGAGCTATCAGGTCTCCTTTTCAAGTGAGCTACCCTATGTCAGCACAAATCAGAGGAAAAGCTGTACCTTAATGTCAGTGAAGATCTCACACCCACTGGTTGGTTTGGACATGTTCTTTGGCTGGTGGCAGCGCAGTGGCAAGGGCTGTGGGGGCAGGAAGGGGATTCATGGTGTCGTCCACTTGAGGGTGGAACATGTTGCCCAGAGAAGCTGTGGGTGCCCCATCCCTGCAGGCATTCAGGGTCAGGTTGTTTGGCATCCCTTGGATTGGTCAAAATTGGGTTGGTGAAGGGGGGGTCCTCTCCCAGGGAGGTAAAACACAAGTTGCATAAACCCCTGCATAATTGTTTTTTTCAGACAGCATAGCTTAGATTTTGTGAAATGTACTGTGTCTTTTACCCTCATACCTTCAGCCTTCCTTTCCCCTGCACTCACAAATCTCCGTTGCTCCCACCCTGAGTTGATCCTGCTCCTCTTGCAGGACAGCAAAGATTCATGCTGGAGGGTTGAACCCTATCAAGGCGTCATCCCCCCTGAGACTGAGGTGTCGGTGGCTGTCATAGCCAACCTGGACGACACCAAGAAATTCCAGGACAACGTGAACATCTTCATAGAGAGCAGCAGCACCTACATGATCCCCGTCCGGGCTGTTGGCATCGGCACCACCATCGTCACTGATAAACCCTTTGCACCAGAGCTCAACCTGGGGCCACACTTCAGGTAGGGGCTCAAGAGTTTGGGATGCATTGCGGTCCTTCAGGTCAATCCTTCCTCTTGAGGTCCCAGCAGTGCTTCATTGATAGGAATTCCTTTAGAAATGCCTCATAGCCATTTGAAAGGCATAAAGCGCTCGCCCTCAAAAGCGACCGCAATGGAAACCAGTTGCTAACTTGTCGCTGAATCGCCCTTAGTTATAATGTGTTCATTTCCTCACTTTGTCAAATAGAGATCTGGAGCAAAACAGCAGGTCCCGGAAGCCTCTGGCTGAAAAACACTACATTACCAATATAAACATATTTCCCTTTGCAATAATGTTGCTTGCTTTTTCACTCAGTGTGGAGTATTGGTTCACAACAGCGTAAAACCTGGTGGTAGCTTGTTAGCAACTCCTTGACGAAATTAATGATGCTGTTTTATTTCTCCTCTGCCCGGCAGTGCTGGAGGAGCAGTAGAATTTCTTTGCCCTTGATCAGCTCACTTGTCTTTCCCTGCTGAGCTTCTGGTTATTAGGTGTAGTTTTCCCTTGTTTCTCCTGCCTGTATTTTTGTATTTGTTATTATTTTTTCTGCCATCTTTGCCATCACAGCTGTGGAATCACAAGGCATGGGATGGTGGCTGGGGACAGGTATGTCCCGTGGGCATGGGGGACACTTTCTATGACCAGCCCTGAAAGCGAGAGGAGGAAAAGCCTGCTGATATTGGGCAGGATAAATTAATTGTTAATTGAAAGGGCTCATCTCGAAGAGGGGCTTCTGTGTCTTACGAGCAGGGGAGGAAGGCAGGTCCTTACAAAGAGCCCAGGCACCAGCTGAGCTTCTCAGGGCTGTGGTCCTGCATCTGGCACGAGTGCTTTGAGTTCTCCATGAGACGTCTCATGCTGAGTTCTTACACAGCAAACACTTCTGCAGTCTGTTTCAAAGACTCATTGCCTTCTGTGTTTGTATTTAGCTCCTTAGGGTGGACGTGTGTTTTGTGCTGGTTTTGAACTTTTCCTGGAACTCATTCATTCCCTGGCCAAGCTGAGATTTATAATGGGTAAAATAGTTACTCCAGCCTTGCCTGCAGTTAGTGTTTCTTTACATGAAAGAATCAATTTCCATTAAATGCTCATTTAGGTTTATGTCTCGCTCTGGTTAGTTACCCCCTGCTGGTCTCCTCTGCAGACAGACTGGCTCTCACTGCTGTGCTCATATCAGGAGAACTTCCATTGATCCCATGTACCCATGTCCCATTTATCATCCCAAAACACAGCACCAGGGCAAAGGATGGTGATCTGTTGGGGGCAGCAAGAGATGCTGGGGGAAGCACCTTGGAAAAATACAGTGAGTGTGGAGCCCTGAAGTTAGTGGGCATGGTGGTGATGGGTCAGTGTTTGAACTAGATGAGCTCAGTGGTCTTTTCCTTAATGATTCATGAAAGCTGTTCCTCTCACACAGACCAAATGTTGCACGCTGATAAACTTGGGACAGCCGTGGTCTGGCTTCTGCTGTAGCCAGCAGAGTGCTGAAGCTGGGTGACTGTTGGGAAATCCCAGCTTCCCTGACACTTTCCATCTTCTCTGCTTCTCTTCCAGCCTGAGTTCCTGCTCTTATCACTTCAAGATAACGAACAGGGGAAGGCGCACCCACCTGCTCTACTGGACCATAGAAGGCTTCACCCCGCTCCACCAGCGCAGTCGCCTCCCAGCTGTGGGTGACACCAAGGACAGCCCCCCCCAGGGCCCCGTGTTCAGGCTTTGGCCGCTGAGGTTGGAGCTGATGCCGGGCAGGACGATGGAGATGACACTGGAAGGCTTCTCCAGCACTCCAAGGGTAAGGTTGGGTTTGGGGCTGAGCCCTTCCCATCGGGTTACATCCATGGGGTCGACCTCAGTGCCCCTTGGCTCTTAATGGAGAAAATGAGCATTTGCCTTCAGAAAGTGTTTAAATGCCACAAGTTACCATGGCAGCACCAGTTGCTTTCCTTGCTGGCCACCATCAGTTGCTAAGGCTTTTCTTGTTTCTATGGCTACCATAAAGCCATCTTGCTGATATCAAAATATGGGCTACTTTAGGGGGCAAACAGCAGGTGACAAGGTGATAAGGCGATAAAGCATCCCATGCTGAGGCGGAAGGGAAGGGCAGAGAAAAGAATTAAGCTCAGAGAGATTAGGAAGTAAGTAAATAATAATTAAACAACAACACACAAGAAAGACAAGGTGATATATCTGGGGGAAGCATCCACAACACCTGCGGGAGGGGGCAGTGTCTGGGAGCAGCAGCATTTTTCCTCCGTGCACAAACACAGGCAGAGGGCTTGTCTGACACCAAGCTACAGAGGAGAAAAATGAACACAGCGTGTGTCAGCCCTGGTGATCACAGGAGGACGTTCTCCACGTGGGGAACTGCTCCCAGGGATCGTTACCATTGACAGCTGGGGCTTGTGTCAATATTTCCACACCAGCCCTGCTGTCCCAAGGGCAGTTGGTCTGCCAGTAGGGCTGTGCACCCGTGAGCTGCAGCTTGAGGTGTTAATGGGGTCGCTGCATGGGCCCCTTTTGCCCGGGGAAGCCCAATTCAGAGGACTGCAGAATGGCTCGGGTTGGAAGGGAATTGTGCAGGGAAGCAGCCAGTGAGCAGGAATGAATCTGCAACATGCCCCCAGTGATAGCAGTTTTGAAAGGTGTTTGAGGGTGGTAGTGGAGGAAGATGTGGCAACTCATGTGGTGGGACTCTCCAGGCATTTCACTTTGCAGTTCTGAACTCTAGGAGATTGCTGGAGAGAGGGAAAGGGAACCAGGGAGGAAGTACAAAAACCAGGGCACTGGAGAGGGTGTTGTGTGCTCGTCTAGTTGTTGGCAGCCCTGCACATAGCATGGGGGTTGAAACTAGATGATGATTATGATTCTTTTCAGCCCAGGGCCATTCTATGATTCAATGAAAGCTGAATATGGATCTGTGAGCTCGGTTTGGGCTCCTGGGGCCACCTCCAAGCCCCTGGCCAGGCTCTTGCCTTGCTTGTGTGGGGTTGCAGTGGGGCAAAAGGGGGATGTGGAGAAGTGATTCCACAAGAGGAACCAGGAGAATTTGGAGTGTAAGAACACTTAGCTTGGGCAGACGGCTGCCACCTGAGATGCCCTGTTACATGGGCTTCTCCTTTGTATCCTTTCCTCTAAGCTTCCAAGGGAAGGCTTGTTGGCTTTGGACCCTCTTTTCCCTTAATGCAGTTATTTTTGTAGTGATGTCCTACTGCTTTCTGAAAAGGTTATGCTCAGCAATGGGGCACATGGGAGACTGTGGCATTGCAGGTGGTGACGGAGCGGCTGCTGTGCCATGCCATCATAGGCAGCAAGGCAGGGAAGACCCAGATCATGCAGGTGGACATCACATGCGAGTTCATTGCCCCTGTCCTGCAGCTCTCCTCCAGGGAAATCACTTTCCGTGTGGAGAAGGTAAGTGGCTGGGTTGTGTCCTCGTGCTCAGTTGTGGGGCTGCTGGCCTAAAGCCTTCGGGATGCAAAGTTAAGTCTTCTCCGAGTCCATGGAGCTTTGGTTATTGATTTGAACAGGACCATTCCTTGCTTCCTCACCCACGTAATGCTGGGATTACAGCTCCCTGTCAGAAGCAGACTGGGGCCACTTCTAGAGAGGCATTGGTTTCTGTACTCAGTGTAGAGGAGTTCTGAGGATCCCCTGTGGCACACTGAAGTCTAAACACCGGTCCTATAGGGAGGCTGAGAAAACCGAGAGTGCTGTCAGCAGCTCAGATTGATGAGGAAAAGCTGTCATGGTCTCTTGTCTCTCTGCCACTCTCCCTGCTGCTGGTAGAAATGTTGGCTCTTTGCATTTCCCCATCACCTCCTTCAAAGAAGCCGCAGACGTCCTTCAGTTGCGCTGACGATAACAGCAACGCAAAGCAGGTGCCCTTTGGTCTCCTAACTCCTGCCTCCTGCATCATCTTTCCCTCTCCCACAAGGTGTCTGAAAAAGAGAAAATAGTTCATTATTTATTGTCGGTGTTTCCAGGTCTCTCTTCCAGCTCCCTGGCTCTCAGCATAGCCCACGATCCTGCGAGCAGCTCAGATTTAATGAGAAGCTTTTCTCTCCTCCCTGGTGCCCACGCTCTGCTCAATGTGTGCTCTCCCATTTACTGAGCACGATGGCATGGCAGATGGCTGAGAGGAATGCGTGTAGAGCTCGTTTCCCAAACACTAACTTACACAAGTGGAAATGAGCCTTGCACCTCTCAGCCCAAAGCTGGAGTTGTATGATGTGGATTCGCTTTGTTTTGGCCGTGTAGAAGCAGCTGCCTCCTCTTGGGTCCCATTGCTTCCTCTGTAAGAGACTGATGTCTCCAGTCCCCTGCAGGATGCTGTGGCTTCTGAAAAAGAAAAGTGTTTGATGAACTTTGAGAAAATCTTTCTAAAAGAGGGAAAAGCAATTAGAGTGGTCAATAGAGAGATCTGCAATTCAGAGGTTGAAAAACGTGCAATGCAGCAGAAAGGGAAGGAGCCCAATGCCCACTCCTTCTCCATTTGTTGTTTCCTGTCTCTGTAGCAACCCAGCGATGTCCTAACTGCTCAGCACAAACCTCTGCACTTGAAGAACATCTCCTCCCTGCCACTCAGTGTGGTGCTGTTCATGGAGCAGCCCTTCTTGCTCTGCAACGCAGAGCAGCAGCCTCTCTCCAGGGACACCCAGGTGAGCAGCTCGGGCTTCATGGTGCAGCTTCAAGAATTGGAGATGTTTGGTCTTTGGGTCAGCAGCAGCCTGGTCTGAGCTAAACCACATTTTAATTGAGCTGCTGAAAGAAACAAGCTGCCTTTCTAATGGGTAAATTTGGATTTTCCCTCTCTGCTGCGAGCCTGAGGCTGCAATGCCATTGCCCATATTCCGAGTGTAAGAATGAAGAAACTCTTCAGGAGTCAGGGCTTACCATAGAGCTGACGTGGTTATGTTTTTGGCATGTAGCTTTCTCAGGTCCAGGATTCAGCAGACCAGTTTTTCTCTTGTATAGAGCAGAAATGTAAGCCTGAGATAGTCCCATGTAGGTGTTCAGGGTGCTTGTGGGCAGACACACACCATAGAGAAAATGAGGGATGAACTGAGAAACCCACATTGGCATCCCACCTGGAACACCACGTATTTACATACTTCATGCCACCAGACGTGGAACTGCATCATGCTGCTGATTAAACAGAATCATAGAATGGCTTGGGTTGGAAGGGACCGCAAAGACCACCTGGTTCCACCCCCTGCCATGGCCATGGTCAACTGCTGGATTAAGCACTAGGTCAGGTTGGCCAAGGCCCCATCCAGCCTGACCTTAACATCTCATCTCCTTACAGCCACTAAAGCTGAAGACTGGGGAGGAACTTCACCTCTCCATCAGATTTAACCCCGCTTACGAAGAGGGTTTGAACATCCGGGTAGCAGAGCGGGCTCTGAAAATACAATATCTCGAGCACCCTCTTGAGGAGCACGTTGCCGTTCGGGGGGAAGTCTACTTCCCAAATCTTCACATGGGGACCACGGCCGTGGACTTTGGCTGCATCTTGAACGACACCGAGGACGTGCGTTACGTTGAGATGACCAACTGCAGCCCGCTGCTCGTGCGGTACCGCTGGTCGTTCCTGGCAGGCAGCCGTGTGAGCCAGATGAGGTACGTGCCTTGCCCTTTTCTCCTTCCTTGTGTCCTTGTGTCTGTAATTTGCAGAGCCCAAGGCTGTCTGCTTGCCATCTGACAAATTGCTTTCAGCTTTCCCATCTGGAAATGTCACCTACTGACTGCGGTCGGGGTGAGTGCTCAGGGAAGAGGTGACCTGCACCAGTCTGCGACTTGGGAGGGACATGGTGTGTCCTACAGCTGCAAATGGAGGCTGTAGGAGCCTACAACACTTCAACCTTAATCTGTAGCCCAGAATCTCTCTTACATCTGAGTCGTAAAGTCATTAAGGTTGTAAAAGATTGACATCAAGTCCAACTGTTCCAGGCTGGATGTGGCTCTGGCCAGCCTGGTCTGGGGGTTGGCAACCCTATACATAGCAGAGGGGTTGAAACTACATAGTCACTGTGGTCCTCTTCATCCCAGGCCATTTTATGATTCTATGACCTACCACCTATATTGCCCACTAAACCAGCGCCCCCAGGGAGCAGAGCTCCCCCGTGGATTCCAAGCCCAAGGGCCATCTTGCAGTCATGCTGAAGCACATCTGTAAGCACATTTCCAGCCGTTCTTCCCGCTGTGGCCTCTCCCCATAGTACAAAAGTCTAGTCTGGATGGTTTTAATTACAGCAGCAAATGGTTTTTCCATAATGCCCTAGGAAAGTTAACCACTGTGCATTGAAGTGCTGCTCTTTTAAATAATACAGATCATCAATAAGCAGCTTTGTTTGGAGAATTGGATCTGGTTCACAGCAGGAGACCTGCTGGGGACTGGAAATTAGCTGTGGCTGTGTGGAGGGCTCAGGGGAGGATTTGGGCTCTGGGCAGCCCATTCTCAGCTGGGTCTGAGCAAGTAACAGCAGACCTTCTTGATGCATGGCACCATCAGGAATGGGCCCTAAAGGTTTCCAGTCATGCAGGGGGAGGTAGGCAGGCAGGAGGGGAGCAGGGCTGTAATCGTTGCTTGGAGGCCGCTGTCATCTCCTGGTAAATTAGATTAGGGTTTAATTACAAGCTAAAGGGAGAATCTAATTTTGATGATAGAACAATGCTTATATTTTATAATAACAGAGAAACAAGCACATTACACCAAAGCCTGTGTGGAATTAATTTCCTCTGGGGCCACTTGTTGGCCGGTTGCCTGTTTATCTTTACTCTTATTATTTAGAACCCCTTTGAGTTTTTGGAAATGTGAGAGCTGAGTTGTTTTTTTTCAGCTTTTAATCACCCTGTCCCCACCTAAATTGGCTTTGCTGGACCTGAGCCCACAGGCAGTGGTTCTTGCAGAGGATGCTGAGTCACCCAGCTCCATTGGCTGGGCAGCACCAAGCAGTTCCAGCATGGGAACATGGGCAGCATGGCAGCCTGTGCTCCATTGGTCTTGGGTGTAGACCCTTTGCTGGCTTGTTAGTGAGGAGGATGTTACGACAGCTCCCATTTCTGCTCTGCATCTTAATTAAGCATTAATATACTCTCCCTGGGTCCCTCAGCAGACACCATGTGATTCTCTGTGGCAGAGCTGGAAATGAAGGCAGTCTCCGAGCTATTAACACCTCAAATTGCTCATTAAGAGCCCAGCAGAAGGGCAGCATGTCAGATATTATTTCTGGTCCACATTAAGCACTCTTGGTATTCTAAATTATCGGATCAAACTAACTCAGCCTGACATGGGGAGAATCAAACATCGGGTCCCATGAAGGTGAGATTGATGGAATTTAACCATCCATCCATCTAACCTTGCTGGAGCCCATCATCAGAGGCTCCCAGCATCAATCAGACACACACATTTATTTTGACCAGGACATAAAAATGTTATTTCTCTGTCTGGACAAGATTGTGCCTAGATTTTATTATTTTTTTTTTCTTCTAACTGTTGCATGCATTATTCTCCTCCTCCGTACTCTTTAGTTCCTCAAGCAGAGCAATCACGTCACCCAGCCCAAGCACTGCTGTGGTTGGACGTGCCCAGGTCATGCCAACCATGCCTCTTTTCCAACGCTGCTGAGCCATGAATCTCTCGTGGTTCCTCCTCCCCTAGAGCACAGAGCAGGGACAGGCTGAGATCAGTCTCTCCCCTTCCCTTGCACCTCACCAAGTTGAGTTAAGCACTGCACTGCAGTGTTTTCTGCTGCGTCGGGATCAATTTCCAGAACGACCCAGAGGGAGGCAGAGCCAAATTCAAACACCACATTTCTTATCTTTAAGATCTCTTATCTTTAAGGTTTCTTCCACAAGGACTGACTTGTGCCTCTTTCCAAGGAAAGGACATAGCTCCTCCGTGTGACTTGAGATTCCCATCAAAAAGAAAAGCATTGCATCCACAGGTTGTACGAGGCATTTCTAGAATAACCAGAGACATCTGTAACAAATGCATCCTTCCTGCTACTGCCAAAGGCTCAACACTATAGTCAGCTGTTCTCCAAGGTTTTCTTCTTTATGGGAGCAAGCAGCAATGCATGGCTCCTTCTGAGCACTGCTGTTCCTGCATGACCCCTTTGTCCCTGTCCCTGTTTGAGACCCAGGTACACAAACCTTCCTGGGAGGCAGCTTGCATGCTCCATGTGGTCCGTGCTCCGGGACAAACCATCTGCACAGCTGTGGCACCTATTAAACCTGCTTTCTGCCTTGATCTGATGCCTCTGCAGTGGGAACTTCATGGCTACAAACCCAAAGCAATGCATCGCTAGCAAATCCTTTGTGTAAAGGGCTTGTTGAGTTAGGAAGATTCTCTTTCTTTTCTACCTGGGATTTTTTCCACCGATTTACTTCGAACAAACAAGGAGTCTTTCTCCTCCCAAGTGGGTCTTCTGTGGCATTAATAATTTCTTGTTCCTCTGCCCTCCCTCCTGCCATGTCCCCTGGCAGGCTGCACTGCAGGGACCCTGCCAGCCAGGATGCTGCCTCGTTACTGACAAAAACAATCTCTTGTTGTACTTGATGGGGCCTTTGTTTGTGGTGGTTTTATAACTAGGAAGAAATGGAAAATAGAGACAGTGAAAAACAGTGCAAGGCAAAAATCTGACAGCAGCTCTCTGTCAGGTGCCAGAGGAGAGGGGTAGCAAAAAGTTACATCTGAAATGCACGCATTTGTTGTGCCCTGGTGCTGGGGAGTCTCACACGAGGGACAGGAGTGTGCACCCCTTTCTCCCCAGTGTTGTCATGAGCCTGCTGTGTCTCAGAGAGCTCACAAGCCCCCTGGGGCAGCAGATCTGGGGCTTTGGTAGCTCCAAGGTAACTGCTTCTCCACAGCCCCATGGTGTTGGGTCTTTCAGTTTGGAGAGCTGCAATTCGTGCTTGGGATGCAAGCTAGCTCTCAGGAGGCTCTGAGCTCAGGGGCAGAGATGATGAGGAGATGAAACGAAGAAAACTTGGGTTTTCTGAGGCTCAGGTTGGATATTAGGAACAAATTATTCTCAGAAAGAGCAGTGAGGCACTGGCACAGCCGACCAGGAAGGTAGGGGAGTCACTGTCCCTGGGGGAACCATGGAGATGTGGCACTGAGGGATGTGGGCATGGTGGGGGTGGGCGGGGGTTGGGCTTTGGGATCTGAGAGGTCTTATCCAACCTTAATGGTTCTGTGATTCCTTTACCCAGTGGTGACCAACCCAAGCGCTTCCATTCTCCATGGTGGTCTTGGAGAGCAGTGCCATGGCATTGGGGAACACACTGGGGTAGGGCAAGTGAAGGCTATTTTCAGTGCAGTCACCTGGAACTGAAAGAAGAGTGGTGCTTTATGGGTTGACCTCCTCCAGAAACATCTCCTATGTCTCTCTGTGCCCACGGGCAGGGTGAGAAGTGCAGGTGCCCATGGCGCCTGGCCATGCCCCAGTGGTTGGGGTTCTGCAGTGCCAGGTCCCATGGAAAAGCTCTGAGAGAGCCAGAAGCTGTGGCAAGAGAAGCTTTCAAGACCCTGTCTGATTTTTCTGATGGAAAGTGATGGGTCAGTTGAGGTTTCAGGTGATTTCACATGCAGGAGCTGAATGTGGGAGCAGCATCCTTCAGTCTATGGGGCCAGGTCTCCTCTCTTGCTGCTCCAGTGCCCCGTGAGGAGGAGGAATGCTCGTTCTCAAAGCAGAGACTGCTTGCATCCAGCCAGCTGCAGTGGCAAGATGCAGTTTGGGTGTCCGTCCCAATGCTGATGGCTCTTGCTCAGCCTGCATCATCACATCGGGTTGGCAGCAGCAGCGTGATTTCTAGCTCCTCTATTTTGGGAGGAGGGTGTGGGAAGCGGTGTGAAGCTGTGTCCCCAGCAGGCTCACAGACAGGCTTATTTCTGGCATCTCAGAGGCTGGGGATGGCAGGGCCTCCTCCCTCCCTCCCCACTGGCCATCCAACTGCACTCCCATCCCCACTCTTCGCTCCATGGAGGTTTGAGCTGCACTCCGTGCACACGCAGTGGGAGACCCTGGATGGTGGAAGGCAGCTGGGGTTGGGTGAGATGGACACCGTGCTCATCTCCCCCCTCCCTCTGCTTTTCTAAGACCTCACCTTGGGGTCCCTTGCTGGGACATGAAGTCCCAGCAAGCAGAAGCCCAGCAGCTCTCACTGACCCGTTGGCTTGTTGGGATTCCTTCCCTTTCGTCTTGCACTTATTGCTCCCATTTCCAGGCTTTCCCCCTGGAAGTGGTCTATGGCTGCCTTCCAGCAGTACTCGATGACCACATCAACTCCTGGAGTCCCAGAGAGCTTCTACTTCAGCATGAGAAATATTGCTGTTGTCGAGGCGCCGCGAAGTTGCCTCAAACCATTCTGTAGAATCAGGGGTAATTTAATAAATGGTTATGGATTTTCCATCTCTGGGCTTTACCTCTCCTCAGGAGTTATTAACCCCGTAGTATTTATCTCAAGCAGCTCCAAGCTGTGGTTATTTTCCCTTGCTAGGGTGGATGTTGGCTGGAGGACTGGCTGAGCCATGAGTACCCACTGGGGAGTGTATTGTTAAGGGCAGGCACCAAATTCCCAGCTAGGAGTGAAGCACCCAAGGCTGCTGCAAAAGCCTCTTCTTGGCTCTTGGTTAAAAACAGCCAAGACCTCCTTCCCCCAAAGTACTTAGCACTGCTGTTTGGCTCTGTCCTCATTCCAGGCACAGAGTTTGAGCCTATCCCCAGTGGCTTCCATCAGCCTCATCCTGCTGAACAGCTCATCCATCCCATGCAGGATTCCCACTGCAGGTCCCTGTTCAGATGTATTCTCTGTTCTAGATTCAGTCCTCCAGTACCTAAATATTTCATCAAACCCCAACCAAAGAAAGAAGAAGGAGCCCCAATGGAGCCCTTGGCATCAGCAAGCAGCAGCAGCCATGATATGGACATGAAGGAGCCAGACCAAGCAGTGGGAGCAGCAGGAGAACCTTCCCCAGAGCCAGCAGATGCAGATGGACCCCTGGAGACAGAGGTAGAGTGTGTCTCTACCTATAGACCTCCTGCTTGGATGTTGCATTGACAGTCACAGAGCAGATGGGTGCTTTCCCAAAACAAGAGGTTGCAGACAGTCTGCTGTCACCCGGCTTTGGGAATGGCTTTGCTGACTGTTGGTGTGCTTTGGAGATCGATCCCAGTGGTGGTGGGGTCAGGAAATGCCAAAATGAGCATGAAGTTCAAGGAGAAGGGCTGTGCCTGCTTGCATCCTAATATCAACTGTGTAAACATTGTGAGTCCACATGTTTTTTTTCTTAGCCAGAAGCAATGATACCCTGTGGCTGCACAGAGCAGTGTGGCTAAATGCTGAGTTAGAAGCATGCAGTCTTTTTGATTTCCTGCTTTGTTGTCATGTATACACAAGTAAACCAGGGAAATCCAAGTGGATGTGCCTAAGCAGGATCCAAAACTGCCTCAAATCTGTACTGCAGTTTGATTTTCTGCTCACGTTGCTGTATTTAGGCTATATCTGTATAGCCTTTCTGGGGAGAAGGGAGATTGTAAGCTTAGAAGAGTCTGGCTAACATCTTTTGGAATGCATGCTTTGCTTGTTTTGAAAATGCAGATACGACAAAATGGTGTTGAAACCAGGACATGTATGTGTAGTGCAGAAAGATGTTGAGGATGGTGGGTTTGGAGAGGTTCTGTTGGGGCTGGAAGGGAATTAATCCCCTTATAGCTCCTTTTGTAGGCTAGGAAGGAGGATGGGGAGCTGTGCTCAGAGTTTCGGAGTTCTACACTGCTGAAGTGAGCAGCACTGGTTGTTAGCTGAAAGCTCTATAACTGCTTGTTGGCCAAAGAATAAACTATATAAGGCCAAAAAGCCTTTTTGAAGAGTGCCGAAGATGGCCAAATCTTGCCATTTCTTCCTGAGAAGAAAAGGGAATGTGAGAAAACTCAGCCTTCCCCTGTGTTTTATCTGTTAGGGGAGATAGAGCCTCTAATTGGGTCTCAGGATGTCCCCTAAATACTCTTGCAGCTACTACTGAAGTCAAGACTGCAGAACAAAACACTTCTTCTAATTAAGAAGAAGCACATATTCCTCAACTCCAAGACCAATTACAAAGCCTTCCTGTGTAAATAGGGATCAAAACCCCAAGGACAAGTTATCTTCTTTTGAGGGCACTTTTGAGGTTAAATACCACTGAAGCAGCATCTCAGCTGCCTTGGCCAGGATGGGGCCATTCAAAAAGGTCACTCCAATGGAGATCTTCAGCTCTCTGGCAGCGGGGAGCAGATGAGATGAAACCTAAGCAGCACTTGAAGGTCTGCCAGTCACTTCCCAAGTCCTTATTTTTCAGTTTTTGATGTTCTTCTCTTGTAGCTGGGTCCCTTTTTTAGTCACCTCACCTGTCCAGGTTTGGGCATCAGTTGTGGATGGGCTCAGAACCACATTGAACTGATGGCAGGGACATTCCATGTTTGATTGGTGCCTGGCTTCAATCTCAGCTGTGTCTAGCTTGACAAGGTTCTTCCTTATCCATTGAGATAATCATAGGAGGTTGTCATAGAATACCCCAACCTGGAAGGGACCCATAAGGATCATGGAGTCCAACTCCTGGCTCTGTGATCTGCGTGGATCCCTTCCAACTCAGGATATTCTATGATTCTTCAAACCAACAGAGAAGAGCCCACGCAGGTAGGATGTGGATGTGGCAGCAGATGGAATCATAGAGCAATAGAATATCCCAAGTTGGAAGGGACTCACAAGGATCATCGAGTCCAACTCCTGAGATTGATCTCCCTCCAAGCAGTCAGCTCCTGCTGCAGCTCCTGGTGCTCTTTTTCCAGCTGCTACCACCTGCTGTCCAGGAACTGGAGAGTGCTGCAGAGATGGTGAGTGCTGCAGAGACTCGGAGCCTGGTGGAGACCAAGGAACCGATGGAGTTTGTGGAGAACGAGCCCCTTGCCTTGGGTGTGGAGGAGGTAAGAGCTATCTCCTTGCTTTGACTTCCACATTTTCAGTGTAGCAAGCAGTTACCTGGCCCCTGCACATGCTGATGGCCCTTGGTGCTGCTCAGTGGCCTTGCATCCCTCCAAGCACAGCACTGTGCAGTGCTGATGAAGCAACCAGCCCTGGGAGAGGCCATGCAGGACGTGTTGTAGGGCTGAGCAAGGACCACACCTGTGGGCATTATTCACCCTGTTGGCATTAATCAAGTGGGCATTATTCATTCTCTCGGCATTAATCAAGCAGACTGTAGGAAGTTTTTGCAGCGGATTTTGCTGCAGCATTTTAAGGGAGGGCAGTGTGTTAGTGCCCAGAAAAGGACAAGAAGCCATGTGGGCTGAGCTGGAGCCCTCCCCCAGCTGCAGAACTCTCATCTCCAAGTCTCGTGCTTCTCCAAAAGCAGTTAAAGCTTCTAAAGGCATGATCTGCTGCGGAGAGAATGCATTGCTGCCAGGAGACCTCCCAAATTATGCTAATGTAATGTATTAATGAAAGCATTAATTAGTGAGTATGGGAGAAGATTTCCCTGTGGTTCCTCCGCTGAAAAGCGGAATGGCTGTGAAAGAGGTTAGGATGATTTTGTGTGTCTGAGTGCCCCTGCAGCCACGTCCTTCACTCCAAGCCAGAGCTCCAGCCTCACCCCAGGGCTGGGTGGCTCTTCTGCACTGACCTTGATGCTCCTTACCCCAACCTCCCCTTCCTGCAGGTTTTTGACATCCTGCCACTATATGGCGAGCTGCAGCCAGGCGAGAGCCAGCAGGTCACCTTCACTTTCTTTGGCCATGCCAACCTGGTGGTCCACATCACGGCACTGTGTGAGGTGCAGGGGGGTCCAACCTACGAGGTGATGCTCAGCGGGGAGGCCTCAGTCATCAGCTACCTCCTCGATGTCACAGAGATCGACTGGGGGCTGCAGGTACCACAGCTTCTCTTGGGGCTGGTCCTCATCTTCAGCAAGGTCTAGGACCCTTTCCACGAACTCTGTCAGGTGGACAGCTTTCCCTGCCCTTCCTCCAGCATCTGTGTAACACATCTTGCATCCCAGCTGTTGTTCTTATGGCCATTTCCATTCTGCAGAGCTGGGAGTTCCTCAAGGTTTCTAGCACTGCTTCCCTGGGCAGAAGGGTGAGGAACATGTCCTTAGGACATCCAGCTCCTACAGGCTGAGACCCAAGGAGATGCTCTTTACTACTGCTTTTGATTAAGCAACAAAATAAATCAGGGGAGAAGCTGAATTGGGCTTCCCAGTCAGTAGGTGGAGAGAATTTCCCCAGAATAACTCCTACTTTCCCTGTTTTCAACTAAAAGCCATTTAGATATTTCTAACTACATACAGCACTGTCTCCCTTTTTGCTGCTAGCTCCACCAATGCTTGCAGACAAATGCCCATCCAGCTATTGCAACATGCATGCTACTTTGCAGGGATAAATGATGAGTAGTGGGGTGATGACCCAGAAGTGGCCACTAGACTTTGGCACTGCAGAACAGGGCAGCTGTCCTGGTTTATCTTTGATTTTTGGTGGCATTTGACCCTCTGTATGTGGTTTGTTTTGCACCTCTACAAGCCAGCCCTGATACCCGTTCCTATGCCCTGCAGCTGTGGGATCCCCACGTTAGTGTCATCTCACCTTAGGAGGCTCAGTGCCCATCTTCTGTCCCTCCACAGCTGTTTAATGAAGTTGCTGAAGCAGAGCTCACCCTGCAGAACAGTGGCAAGGTGGGATTCCAGTACCAGGTGATGAGCCCCAGCGACTGCCCTCTGCCTGGCGTGCCCCTGGTGCTGCCCAGCACGGTGAGTACAGGGCAGCACAAGCACTGAACCTTGGCCCTGTGGGGCAGAGAAGGGCTGCTTTTGTTCTCTAGCTGGCTCCTTTGCCAGAAATGGGCAGCCCTGGTGCAGGTCCCTTGCTCCTGCAGAGCTTTGTGGGGCAGTGAGGGGGGCAAGGAGGAGAGGAGCACCTGGCATCCTACAAAAGGATGACACGCTGATGCCCTCTTGCTGTGAGCTTCCGAAGTCGCAGCTGAGACTTGTAGCAGCATCAGCCTTGTCACTTCTGCTTTCCCCTCTCTGCTCCTGTATGTCGCTCACTGTCTGTCCACCCAACTTTGGTGCCTTCCCCCTTCCTTCTCCCACTCTTTGCAGGGTTATGTTGGACCTAGCCAGGAGCAGGTGCTGAAGGTCTACTACCTACCAGGAGTACCTGGAGCCTTCTGCAGGACTTTCCAGATCCAAGTGGGGCACTTGGAGCCAGAAACCATCACTCTGAAAGGGGAGGGGAGCTTTCCCAGGATCTGCTTGGATCTGCCCAGGAATATCAGAGGTGAGCTCTGCCTCTCTATCCCCAGGAAGGTCCCCTGGTTTCCTCCTGTGCTATACACCCATTGGGTGACTGTCACCCACCTGGAGGCTTGAGGGGTGTCACACCCCAACACCCAGCCCTCCAGCAGATTTTTGAGTCCCCAGTTAAGGGAACCCATGTGGGCTTTGCCCCAGGAAGGGCTTGCCAGTGTGTCTGCCAGCTGGAAGGATTATTGTCTACATGACCAGCAGGGCACTTGGCAGGGACAGATTAGCATCACACTGCAGGGGATGAGGTGTTCCTCTGTATGGGGAAGATGGGTGGAAGTGAGCATCCAGATTCAGAGGAAAAGCAGCACCTGCTTGCCATAGACTGCCTGCAGAGTGCTGCTGTGAGAAGACAAGGTTGGAGGAGGGGGGCTTCCCAGCTTACATGAGATTGGTGCTGTACTCCCACTTCTATTTTCGGATATTTTCTTCCTTCAGGAAATGAAAAATATGAGAAGATCCTTCAGGAGGCAAAAGAGAAGGTGGAGAAAGAGAGCCAGAAAGATGAAGTAGTTGTTGCTGGGGAGGCCACAGCCACTGAGACACCCGTGGATGACTTGGATACAGTGGTGAGAACTTGGTTCTGCCCTGTTTGGCACGTGCCACTCTTCTGCAGTGGGGTTGGGTGTGCCCTGCTGTCACCTGGGACCTCCTGCCTGTGATCATCCATCCTTTCTGCATCATCTTTGAGTTTATAGCACTTTGTGATGGAGATGCAGGGCATCACTGGGGTGCTTGCTCACAAATTCTGCCACATTCATGGAATTTAATAGCTGAATGTAGGTGCCCCATCCCTGGAGGTGCCCAAGGTTGGGTTGGATGGAGCCCTCGGCAACCTTATCTGATAGGTGGCAACCAGCCCGTTGACTCTGCTCTCCACAGTTGGACATTCGGCTGCAGATGCAAATGGAAGAGATGCTGGTAGAGGAACACGCCTTGGAGCAGCAGGTCTCTTGTCTCCCAGAGGACTTTGTCTTTGACCAGCGAGCTCTTCAGAGGCTTCTCAGGTTGGTGGGGACTCCCTGCCTTCAGGTGCCGCAAGGTAACACCCAGCACCACTGCTCCTGAGAACTCCTGCAGAGCTGGGATCTGGGAAGGAGCTGATCCAGAGGGATGTACCATGCTGTCTGTGAGCAGTTGGGTGCCCTCCCATCTGCAGGGCCACCCACAAGCTTTGGGGGTGCCTAACTCCCCACCTGCTCCATTCCAATGCAGACCATGTTGCCTATCCATCACCACAGGCAACACCCCTTCTAACTAGCCTCTTTTGTTCCAACAAATGACTGAGGTAGAAGACACACTACAAAACAGGTGGTTTGTGTTTTGCTGAGTGGGTTTCCTCTGGAAAAAGACCTTTCCATGAATCTCATGTGTGCTGGTAACTGCCTTTACCAGTGCTAGGATCCATGGAATCTACTATCGGTGAACCCATATCCATGCACTTACACCATTTAAAACTAACCTGCTTTTTGTTAAGATCTCACTGCTAGCTGAGGAATGGTTTAAAAACTCTCCTTATTCCTTCTTTCAGGGTGCAGCTGCCTGAGTACGTCCTGGACTTTGGCTATGTCATTCTTGGTAACATCCATACACACATTGTGAAGGTCACCAACACTGGGCAGCTGCCTGTGTCCTTCTGTGCAGACGGACGTGTCCTGCGTGACACAGGTAAGTGGGATGGAGGTGCTTCTCATCATTTCTGATGGTGTATGGCCCTGGACACATGGAGGGTTTTGGGTGCTTTTTTGTACAGCTTGCTCCTCTTCAGGACTCCATGCTCAGTAGTGTAGAGCCTGAGTTCTTCTGGACAGTGTCCTGGCCCACCTGTGGCTGCCCAAATGCTTGGGTGCAGGGCTGAGAAGGCCCAGTCACCTGGGAAGCCTCTCAGCATCTCCAGCTCTTGACTACCAAGAGGTTTTGTACACGCTGTGGGCTTGCGTTGCAAATAGAGGAACCCTTTGTGGTTTAGAAGTGCTTTGGTCATAACACCTCTGTTCATCCTTCATGAGGAAAGAGCTTGTGAGGTCTTCCTTCGCATCAAAACAGACTTCCAAAACAGGCTTTGACATAAGGCTTGTCATCCACCATGCCATGAGACACCATGTTGAGTTACCATGAGATGAATGAATGCCTCCTCCAAGTTGTTGTTCCTCCATTTGAGTAAGGGAACTTTAGCTGGATATCCCTTTTGAGGAGGTCACCAACCATCCTTGGGGTGAAGGATTCCTTGTGACACAGGGCAGCAAGTCTTCTCTAGAGGTGAAAAGGGCTCCTTCACAGAGCAGTCACACCTGTATGACTTTTTGGTGCGTTGGTCGCTCATCTCAGCTGCACTGTTGTCATCCTTGAAGGTTTCACTGTGGAGCTGGACCGTGTGACAAACCTGCCATACTGCGAGACCGAGACGTTCGAGGTGCGCTTCGACCCGCAGAGTGCCAACGTGCCACTGGGAGCAGCAGATGTGCTGCTGCCCATCAAGGTACCACCTTTTGTCACTTATGTCAGGCAAGGCATAGCAGCAGGACCCACCTGGGCTCTCAGCTGGACACTCTACTCTTCACTAGGTCACAGGAGGCCCCACGTTTCACCTCTGCCTTCGTGCCTGCGTGACTATGCCATCCCTCTGCATCTCCAGGGACAGCCTGGAGTTCTCCACTGTCCAGTGTGGGCAGTGTCAGGAGGAAACCATTCAGCTCTACAATCAGTTCCAGGTGCCCTGTAAATGGTTCATTACCTTGAAGGAGCCTGTTAAGAAGGTAATATTTAGTAGGCATGGAGGGATGGGTTGATGGTTGGACTTAGGTGGTTGTGCAGGTCTTTTCCAAACTTAACGATTCTATGGGTTAGTGGGCATGGTGGTGATGGGTTGATGGTTGGGCTAGATGATCCTTGGGGTCTTAATGATCCTATGACTTCTATGATTCTATAAAGCAAGGACAGCGTGTAGCTTATCAGTTGGTTTTCCTTGGCCTCTGTTTCCTTTTTTGCCCCCTATGAGTGCCTGAGCACTTAGGTTACTACTCGTGAAGCCTTTGAAGGGTACAGGGCAAGGCTGGTTCATCTCAACCTGTTCCCTATCTGGTGCTCCTCTTGTCTGCCATCTGCGCCCGTGCCTCCTTGTCCCCAGCCCTGTGTCTGAGACCTGCAGGAATGGTGGGTCCATCATTACAGGTCACAGAAGCCTCACAGGTTGGTTTCTGTGCCCAGGTGGATAAATATTTGCCAGCAAGCGTGCGACGGAAACTGCAGCAGGAGCTGAAGGCCAAGCCCTGCGTCTTCGAGGTGCTGCCCTTGGCTGGGGACCTCGCCCAAGGGCAACGATGCAACGTGAGGGTCAGGTTTACACCCACTGAAGAGGTGAGATGGGCAGAGCTCTAACGAGAGCACAGGGAGAAGGAGCACACTGCAGGGCTGAGCCTTGGAAGGGCTGCTCTGAGCTGATCAGCAGACTGATGAGGTGCATTCCTGGGCATGGCAGCACAGACATCCACACCACTGTGATGCCAGTGATCCCTGTCACGTGGCCCAGGCACTTTGGGAGACAGCATGAGCCAGGAAACCTTCCCAAAACTTGGGTTACATCTGACTTGGAGCCTGTTAGCATGTGGCAGTATGGACACGGATGCTTACATGCCTGGAGTGCTCCCAGTGATGTAGCAAGCTAGTTGAGATGTAACCATCTTATCTGTGGCTTTGACCAGAGTCAGACATGTTTTGACCAGAGCAGAGAAGTTTCTAGCCAGGCTCGTCTGCCTCTACCTGATTCTGCTGCTTGATACAGCAACGCCAGGGCTGTGTCTGAGCAACATAACCCTCTTTTCAGAGATCCTACAGATGCGAGCTGAAGATTAACATTTGCCAAAGCAGCCGACCTCTCCAGCTGCAAATGTCAGGGTATGGGCTGGAGCCACGACTGGAGTTCGACCCCCCACTGCTTGAGCTGGGACCTCTGCTGCCATACAGCAGTGGAGCAACAGGGACAGTGGTGGTGAAGAACCCATGCGAGTTCCCCATTGAGTTTTACTCACTGGAGTTTGACCAGCAGTACCTTGCTGAGGAGCAGGTGAGGTCTGCTCCTCGTGCCATGGCTTCATGGTACTTCAGTTCCCTGAGGAAATGTAGGAAGTCCCCAAGGCAAGGTCTGGTGGCCTTTCATTGTCAAGTCTTCTCTTCTTCATGTGTTGCTTGGTTTCTTTTCCTTATGCATGCAGATCCTGCGGATGCTGAAGGACTATGATTGCCGCAATATCCTATTGCTGCCTCCTCGTGCCCCGGGTGAGAAGCTGCCCCCGGAGGTGCTGGAATACTACCAGGACCAGAAGAGGCTGCAGGATGAGCAAGCCAAATCCAGGACTGGGGATCCAGCAGGCCAGGACAATGGTGAGGCTGTCCTGAATGTGTCTCACCCACAAAGATTGAGTGAGCTCCTCAGCCAGTAGAACCAGTTCCACCATCACCAGTATTTTAAATTTTCTCCTTCCAAACAACAAAAGCAGATGCTCAAACTTCCCCCAAGGCAGACACAGGTTTCTGAGTGCCTTGGGCAACTCGCTTCGCGGGGAGTTCTCCATCTTTTTTCATATGGCCATGTAAAGTGACGAATGGCAGAGGGCAAGTTGTTTGGCCACATTCATCATCATCAGCCTTCTCCTTGTCCTTTCTCCTCAGCCAGTGGTGAAGATGTCCAGTTGCTCTTGGATCAGGGAGGAAAGCACTCTGCTGAGATCATTCATACCCTCTCATCTCATTACTCTGTCATTCCTCCCTCCACTTCTGATGAAAGCCAGTCCAACAAGGTGGACTCTAAATCTGAAAGGGGAGAAGAAGAGGAGGAAGATCTTGAGAAAAGACACGGAGCAGGTCAGAGCCCTATGATTATTGCCTCTTCTGTGTCCCCTGTGGCAGAAGGGCCTTTAGGCATCACTGGCTGCCTGTGCTTTCCCCTTTCTGCCTCTCCATTTGCTGCATTCTGAATGGGACTTGTCAGCAAGCGATTTAAGGCAGACCCTAAATACAAGAAGAGCATGGGGAAGCCCCAGGTGCGATACTGGAGTCAGCAGGGTCTCCTCTCCCAGGATCTGAGGGGATGGGGAAGAAGTTGAGTATCACTGGGTGTGCAGGAGGCTGATTTCTGTACTGTGTTCTGCCCAGCAGAGCATCAGCGGAGCACCGGCAGCAGCAAGGAGGCTACAGGAGAACTGGATGACAGCCCTGTGCTCAGAGCCATCGCCCGCCACCTGGGCATCGATATCTCTCCTGAGAGCCGTGAGGCCCAAAACCGACAAGGAATCGCCATCATCATCCACGGGGCACCCCTGACTGGTGCGTGTGCCACACGGGGAGGAGGAGCAGGGAGAGAGGCATCCTGGTGGGCCACCACTTGAAGTCAGGTGTCCGTGGATCTGCAAGGCTGTGAAGCAGCACCAGGCCTTCCCCCAGCTGGTGGAAGTGGCTCATCTTGTGTCTGTACAGCTGGGCTTTTGTCCCCCCAAACGAGGTGGCCTTAGCTATGTTGCCTCACAGGAGTGTGTTGGCTTGTGGCCTCCAGAAGGGCTGATCCTCACAAACATGCCTCGGTGCTGCATGAAGAGCCCTCTGAGACAGAAATAAATGGTGGTGGGACGGGGCTCGAGCACTGAGGTGACAAAGCCCTTGGGTGGCAGTGAGCTGGAGGTGATCTCCCTCTCTAGAACAACATTTCTAGCCGCATTCAGGCTGCCTCCCTCTTGGTTTCCCGTGCCGGTGTCACCATGTAGGCCTTCCTCTCCCTCAAGGAAAGACATCGGTCGCAGTCGCCCTCTCCAGGCATTATGGCACAGCCTGCTTGTCCATCGACTCGCTGGTGATGGAGGCCATCTCTGAGAGGAGCAGCTCAGCTGGGCTCCGTGCGTGGGAGCTGTGCCTCAGGGCTGCCATAGAGCAGGGCCACAAGGAGACGGAGGATGCTGGTATGTCCAGAGACGTGGCCAGAGCCACCCCAAGCACCCATGACTTCTTAATTACTCCACATGAGCTGCTGCCCAGAGAGTTAGGAGGTGCCCAGTGCCATGGATGGGGCCCTGGCCAGCCCAATTTACTGATTGGCAGCCCTACCCACTTCAGGGGGTTGGAACCCGATGATCTCTCCAACCTAAGCCATTCTGCAATTCTATGGCTCTGTTAGTTGGCAGTGTGTGGAAGCGCAAAGCCAGCTCACAAACCCTCTCCAGTTTGAAATCTCTTCATTTTGAGGGCTCACATGGGGATGCTTCCTGCTGCCTGCAGGCTGCTTAGCACATGTCCCTTTTCCTGAGAGTGGTGAAGCACACCTGCATATTTCTCAGGGTTTTTATTATTTCCTCAAAGCTAAATTCAGCCAGCTCTCCATGGCCATCAGGCAGAACTGCTGCCTGTTTTAACGAGGAAAAAGCCCTGTGAAGTGGCCTCATTAAGCACTAGGTGCCTGGCTTGGAGAGCGATTTCACAAACATGAGAGAAAGGGAAGAATAGCCTCCCCGAGGAGCCTCAGATGAGAGACATGCTGCAGACTGACTCTTTTCTCCAGAGATTTTTCCTATTTACGCCATCAGCTCATGGATGTTATGCTGTTCCCCACATGAAACCAGCAACTTTTAAGGTGTTTTGTTGGACAGCTGGTGCTCCTAGCAGGGCAGATTGAGGGCAGACATCAGTTTTTAAAGGAAAACTTTGCATTCCAAGCCTTGGGTTGGGTTGGGTTGGGTAGGGAGAAGATGGGATGGGTTGGGATATCCAGCATGGAAAATGTAGCTCCAGTGGAGATTGGTGGTGGCAGCTGGGGCAAGACTGAGCATTGGAGCATCCGTAGGAGAATGCAGGGTGTGGAAACAATGGTCCTGAAGGGTGAACCCTTGGCTTGATCTCTAGGGGACATACCATGCAGCTTTTTTTTAGTGGTAGTATTTAGTATTGAGTGGTAGGTGGATGGTTGGACTAGGTGATCTTAGAGGTCTTTTCCAACCTTAATGATCTTATGATTTTATGGTTGTGTGTTAGGAAGGACACAGTGTTGTACAACAAATGGCTTGAAGACCCAATGGCACGCTCGGCTAGCAGTGCCCATCTCTAGGCCCTGCTGAGCTTCTGTCCCCTCTGCAGGTCAAAGCACAGACCCATCCGCCCCTCAGCTCGGCGCTGAGCCCAGGCACAGCCTGGACATGAGCCAGTCCAGCTCTGGGGAAAAGACCAGCCTGCACTCCGTCAGCTCCCGCAGCCGGGCGAGTGCAGCAACAGGCAGGAGGAGATCAGACAACCATGCATCCCAGTCCCAGAAACTGCAGTTCGTGGACCCAGCAGGCTCACAGGTGAAGAATAATCACGCTGGTGATTCATGAGACCTTTTGAGTGTCTTTGAGTAGTGCTGGGTATAGTTCAAGGTGGGAAGAAAACTTCTGCTGGGCCATGTGGTTTGCTGGCAAGGTGCAGTCCTGATCAGCATGGCAGCTTGCAGGATGCTGTGTTACAAGTTTGGTTTGCTGCTGTCCCAGAATGTGCTCATTCCTGGAGCCCTCACCTCACAGCTTTGTTCTACCTCAGACCTTATCTCCAAGCACTTGGAGTTGCCTGGAGTTCTTCCAAAGGGTTTAATTCGTCTTCTGCAGTGCTCCTCCAGTTGTCATCGCCTCTCGCTGTTTCCCTGCATCCCCACTCAGCAGTGGCTGAGCACTGAAGGGAGCACAGCAGGAGAGACGGGCTTGATGAGCTGCGTGCTGCCCGAGGACGTGCTGGGAGCCATCCTGTCAGAGAGGCTGCAGGTATGGCACATCCTCTGCTTTGGGGGTCAGGAGGGTGGGAGGCACTGAGAGGCGTTAGGGGACAGCTGGAGGGAGTCCTGGGCTGCCAGCATCTCGGTGAAGATGCAGATGCCATCAGCTGGCAGAGTGCGGGAATGCCTGAGCTGATGTATCTCTGAAAGAGTAGAAATGTGCTGGCATGGCTGCCCAGGGAGATGTGGGAGTCAGCATCCCTGGAGGTATTCAAGAAAAGGGTGGATGTGGCACAGAATGACTTGGTCTAGAGCAATTACAGGCATGCGAGGATGGCTGGACTAGGTGATCTTGTTGGTCTTTCCAACCTTTATGATTCCATGATTTGCAGTACCAGCTCCAAGGTGATGGACAACAAGATGGCTTGTGTCCTTGGACATCTGCATTTATTGCCAAGCTGAGAGCATGCTGTTGCTGACTCTCTCTCTTCCTTTTTTTGCTTTATTCCCAGCTGAGTGACTGCTACCAGGGAGTGGTCTTTGATGGCCTGGAGACCCTCTTTGCACGCAGCATGGCATCTGCTCTCCTCTGCCTGCTCAAAGCTGTCAACAACCGTCCTCACATCTATTTTGTGAACCTGTTCCAGGACTATGCCTCTTGGAAAGCCAAAGAGATGGCTGCAAAAGAGCAGGAAGGTGAGAATCATCTCCATACCTATCAAATGTCCTCTCAAGCTCTCAGCCTTACCATTGTGTCCACCTGGACATAACCAACAGAACTTGTACAAAATGTTTTTTTTTAATCCTTCCTTTAGTATCAGAGAACCATAGAATCATTGAGGTTGGAAAAGACTTCTAAGATCACCTAGTCCCAACTGTCCACCTACCACCAATGTTGCCCACTGCCCACATGCCTCAGTGTTGTGTCCCCATGGCCCATGAACACCTCCAGGGACAGTGACTCTCCCACCTCCTTGGGCAGCTGTGCCAGTGCCCAAACACTCTTTCAGAGGAGTTTTTCTTAATATCCAACCTTCTGCCTCAGCATAGCTAGCACTCACCTCATGGTTGCTTAAAGTATATCTTCATGATATGCAAAATGCCTACCTTACAGTGTGTGTCTTTAAAGCTTGGACAGAAGTGCAAGCTCTTATGGCGTGGTACCTATCCTCCGTGCATCCTCCACAATGGGACATGGTTCTTGCAAAGCAGCACTTTGGGGCATTATCAGCAGGGGTTGGGGCTCCCCACTATCAGCATATCCTGGAGTGTCTGGGAAGGTTTGTGTGCTCACCCCCAGCATCAAGCTCTGTGTGTATCTGCTAATGACTTCTCGTGTGTGCATGGAAGAACGGGAGCAGGAAGAAGTTGCCAGGAGGGAGAAAGCACGCCTGCTGGAGATGGATGAGGAGGAGTATGATGCCCTCACTGAGGAGCAGAAAGCTCAGTTTGATGACCATATACTACAAGTCCAGCGTGAGAGGAAGAGGAGGTCTGTAAGCTTTACGCGGGCAGCTCTCCAGTATGGTGTCCCTGAAGGGTTCCCCTGTTCCCATCCCACATGGGGCTCCTGACCCACCTGCTGCCCTCTTCCCTTCCCCGTGCTGGGTGCAGGCAGGCTGCTGGAGATTTGATTGAGTGACACCACAGCAAGTCTCAGCACTTTGTTCTGTCAAGGCTGAAACTTGTTTCCCCAGGGGGAGATGACTAGGGCTGCTTCAAATGGCTCTGATTTTCAGGACAGACAGCACAAGTTTCCTAGGGCAATAGCTATGTAAAGTGTAGTTGCTCAGAGCCTGTTTTGCAGGAGGGAAATGACTGCGGCTTTTGCTTTCTGATTTAATGGTTGTCCTGTTGCTGGGCACCACTGAAAAGAGCCCAGCCTCATCCACCCAGGGCTCTCAGCCTTTCCTCATACAGGAGATGCTCCAGGACCCGACCATCCCTGCAGCCCTCTGCTGGGCTCTCTCTCTGTCCCTGCCTGCCTTGAACTGGGCAGCCCAGAACTGGGACCAGTGCTCTGGCTATGGCCCTCTCAGGGCAGAGCACAGGGGAGGAGAACCTGTAGAGCTCCGTTCCAGGCAGACCTTATCAGAGCAGGTGCACAATTTAGAATCATAGAGACATTAAGGTTGGAAAGGACCTCTCAGATCCCCAAGTCCAACGCCAGTCCATCCCCACCATGCCTACTGACCACATTCATCAGTGCCACACCCCCACGGTTCTGGAACGTCTTCAGGGATGGTGACAGCCTGTGCCAGTGCCTCACCAGTCTTTTGGAGAATAAATTCTTCCTAATACCCAACATGAACCTCCCCTGGTGCATTGTGAGGCCACCACCTGTCATCCTATCGCTATTACTGGGAGATGAAACCAACCCCCAGCAGGTCCTGAATTTGGCTACGGGCAGGCACGATCCATGTATTCTGTGGTGACTCGCAGTGATGTTATTCTGTCTGACTTGCTGAAGGAGGATGGAGCAGCTGGCTCGAGAACTTGAGGAAAGGCAGAGGCAGGAACTAGAGCGCTTGAAGGAGGAGGAAGAGCGGAGGAAGAAGTCTAAGCGGGGAAGGAGAGAGCTTGGAAAAGAAAAAGACAGTGTCCTGGGGAAGAGAAGCCAGCCTGGAGGCAGACAGGTGGGTGGTTGTGCTATTGCAATGATCATCACCATCCCACAAGAACTGACTCAGTGCTTTGAAATACTTCTTTTCTCCTCTCCTGCCCAGGATGCCACCGCATCCACCAGCAACACCAACGCATCCACCAGCAACCGCTCAGACACCAGCGATGGGGTGGACAAAAAGGGATCTACAAAGGAGCACCCAGACTCTGCTGTAGGTGACAAGGATGAGAAGAAGAAGTGTAACAAGGTCCCCCCGACGAATGCCAGCCCAGCAGCGCCCATGCAACCCAGCACCACGGAGCAGGAGGAAGCCAAGGAGAAGACACTGAGCGATAGTGAAAAGATCTTGGCCATGAGATTTAAGATCTATGAGGCATCGCAGAAAGATATCACGCATATTTTATCAAACTGGGACAGGGTTCAGGGCGTTCTGGTGTCCTCTTGGAGCCAGGAGGAGGTGTGGCAGAGGACAGAAGAGCAGAGCAAGCATTTATCCAGACACAAAAGCAGGAGGGAGAGGGAGAAGGAGCGGCAGGAGAAGGAACGCCTGGAGAAGGAGCGGCAGGAGAAACTGAAGGCTCTCGAGGAATCCCAAGCACAGGCAGGGGAAGGTGCAGAAGGGTCAGCAAAAGGCCAGAGTGTCGGGGTGCCTTGCTTGGATATCCAGGTGCTGGACACAGAGGATGCTATTGGGAAGATCCTGGAGAGTGGAAAGCTGCCCCCCGCAGAGCAGGTAAAGCCCTCTGGAGCTCAAATGCTGAGGTCCAAGACCTGGTGCTTTGTGTCCCACCAAGTGACAATGGCACAGAGCCTTGTCCCATGCTTGTTGTTCCACTGCAGCTCCATGGCAGCTATGGGGTTGGGAAGGTTCTTGGTTCTTCTCATATGATGGAAAGAGGGAGTGCCATTCTGGCACTGCTCTGGAGCCCATCCACCCCAGCGTGCATAAAAAAGCACAGTATTCCATGTAAAAACATTGCCAATTTTTCAGTGTCTGAAAGGAAAGAGTGTGAGGATGAATGTGACTGAGAACTGATGGAGTTTTCTCTGATCTTTTAGATCCTGGATAGCCTGGGTCTGGGGCCCTCAGGGCCTCCCATTCCTCCTACTGCATTCTACTCTGTGATCCACTACCCAGAGAAGCGAGCGGCCCCAGCAGGAGAAGCCCTCAAGCACTTCATCTTCATAATGCCAGAAGGTGCGGTGGAAGAAGAAGAAAAGAAGGAATCTGAAAGTCTTGTGGATGTCCCCATCACTCCTACCATGAAGGTGCCAGGGCAAAGGGATTGGGTGGGGGAGATGGAAAAGAACCACTGCAGAAGAGCAGTGATGGTCCCCATGTCTGCAGGAACCCACAGCACATCCCTGGCCTCCTGATTCAACTGAACAAACCCTGTGTGGGGGAAGGATGGAGGCTCTGGTGCAATCAGAAAAGAGATTTCATGGGCAGAACAAAGCCCAGTAAAAGAGAGCAAGGCAGTGGGCAGATGTGAAACCTGTAGAAACTGGTCATTTATGGATTCTCTTGTGTGTTTGTCTACAAACCTGCAGCTTTCTTTCCAGGGCGGGGATGAATTAGGACAGGTCTCACCTTACTCTTCCTCATCCGGTGCATAGGTGTCAGAGGAGCAGCTCACCCCCACCAGAGGGAAAGCGAGGAAGGAAAAAACTGAGGGCAGCAAGGAGGTCAAGAAAGAGAAGCGGAGCTCTGCCCGGAGCAAGAAAAATCTCCATGGGACGGGCACAGGAACATCAACACATCCTGCTGATGTGGAGCAAAGCAGCGTGGACGTGGCCCCCTCTCCAGGGAAGCCCATCAGGTGAGAGAGGAAGGAGAGCCATCTCACCAAATGGTTGGCCATTCCCATGGGCTGCTGGGCGGTGAGTCCCCAGCCCTCCTCCTTGTCTCGTTGACATGTTCCCAACATCTGAAGTGTCCTCTGTAACTGCCAGGCTGAGCAGCCTCCGGTGGATCGTGCCTGCCCACGGCCAGGTTGAGCTGAAGGTACACTTCACCTCCTCAGTGCCGGGCCAGTTTGACCAGACAATGAATTTTGAGGTGCTGGGGACAAAGCGACCGTACCAGCTGCACTGCAGGGGCATTTGTGTGTACCCCACCATCAGCCAGGACCCACGGTAAGGCTCCTCCATAACTGCCCCCTGCTCTGCTTCCCTCTGTACTTGGAGCAGGGGCTGGCCATTGTAGCCCAGTGACCACTTCCCACCACCTTACATCACCTTTGACATGAGTCTATCTGAGCACTCCAGTGTCTCACCCAGCTTGGAGCTGGGAACCTCTGCTGCTGAGGGTTATGGCTTTCAGTCCACGTTGGAGCATCTCATAGCTCCTCATCTTCCCATTTTCTCCCTCCTAGGGTGGTGTTTCCTCACCGAAGGAAGAGCAAAGCAGACAATGACATCATTTTCAAGCAGTATGTCATGAGCACGGGTGTGTTCCACTTTGGGCCACTGCTCTGTGGGAAGTCCAGAGACTGGTATGTACTGGTGGGCTGGCAGCCGGTGCCACGGCTGCTCCTGGGTAGACGTCCCAATGGCCCAAGGTGTCTTTGGGCAGCTCATGTCCTCCCTCCTCTTCTTAGCTTCCTCACTTATGACAGTGAACGTAATGGTGCTTTTTAAAGTGTTTTGAGCTGTATGGGCAGACTGACCAAGCAATTATTTTTCCTGTGGCGTTATAAAATGTTGATTAATCTGTTATATTAGGCAGACTTTATGATTTGGCCTGCCAGCATGTGTGTATGACCTGCAGAGGAATAGCAGTGGGATTTATGAACCTGACTGCTGGATGAGGTCTGCCTTAAAAGCTGTCATTGTCACTGCTGGCGTGGTTCTATTTTTAATTTTGCTCTTTTTTTAATATCAGAAATGAAGCCTTTGCCTTCATGGGAGCCCTGGAGATCCAGTGATATTTTACAACCCTGGGAAATGAAATAAAAACTCTTTAAAAACAAAAGGGCATCTTCAGGTAGCCTGATGAATGGACTCAGGTTTCCTTTGTAACCATTTTTTTGCAAAAGCCTTTCTTGACACCGTGCAGGGAAAGGACCAGAGATGCAGGAAGGACCCGTGTGCCAGATCACTTTTATTCTTGAATAGTGTTGCAAAGTGTTCTTTCTTTAAATGCTCGTGCCTTGTCACACTGATGGGATTGGGGCACCAGGTGAAGGTGCAGACGTAGAAGTAATGGAAGGCTGAACACAGCATGCAGTGTGCTCCTTTTTCCTAGCCTGCTTGTTACACTGTGGTGAGAGCAGCCCCTTGCTGCCAGCATGCAGAACTTGCCTCGATGGGTGATAAACGCAGCGATCCCAGCATTGCTGAAGCCTTCTCTCTTTGTGGATAGGTACAAGGCACTGCCTTTCCCCAGCAACTGTGAGAAGATAACCATCCTCAACATCACCCCCTTGGAAGCAGAAGTGCATTTCTTCTTTGAGCACGATCTCAAAGCAGACACGTTCATTTTAGACCCTCCCAGCATGACGCTGAAACCCAATGAGAAGCAGGTAGGAGGCGAGCATGCAGCGATGCAGCACCCAGGAGTTGCTCTACCTGCTCACCAAACCTCTTCTCTGTCTCTTTTTGGGGCTAGGAACTGAGCATTTGGGCGTACCCCACTTTGCCTGGCCTCGTGGAAGACAAGCTCGTGTGCTGCATTAAAGACAACCCAGAGCCAGTAGTCTTCCACCTGTGCTGCCACGGGGTGCGGATGGAGCTGACGGTCAGCCCCAAGCACGTGAACTTTGGGAAGCTGCTGCTGCACAGGTCAGCCCCCAGCTGCTCTGCTAGCAGCAAGAGCCACCAGCCAGGTCCCCTTCAGCTTCTTTGGGTTATAGAGTCATAGATTCATCACAGTTGGAAGGACCTCTAAGATCATCAAACCCAACCATCAACCCATCACCACCAACGTTCACTCAGAATCGTACAGTCATAGAATCACTGAGATTGGAACACAGTTTTCAGATCCCCAGGTCCAACCCCAGCCCTCCCCCACCGTGCCCACTGCCCATGTCCCTCAGTGCCACGTCCCCATGGCTTGGGGACACCCCATCCCTGGGCAGCTGTGCCACTGCCTCGCTGCTCTTTCAGAGATTTTTCTCCTAATATCCAGTCTGACCTCCTTTGACCCAACTTAAGACCGTTGCCTCTCATCCTTTCATCCTTTACGCGTATAAGTTTTTCTCTAGAGAGAGGGAGGCCGACCTTTCAAAGGGGCCATTGGCCAAATGGGAAGGATAGGGCTGCTCCAAGGTGCAAAGCTTGTGCCTGTGCTGAGCTTCTTGGTGTGCCTGCAGGAGTGACAGCAAGCAGCTGGTGCTGCGCAACCCCATGCTGCTGCCTGCAGCCTGGAGGCTCAGCGGGCTGGAGAACCTCGGCGAGGACTTCTCTGTATCACAAAGTGAAGGCACTGTGGAGCCCTGTGCAGAATTGGTTGTCTATCTGTATTTCAAAGCCACAAAGGCTGTCAACATTAAGAAGGCCATCCGTCTGGAGGTGAGGGGATGTTGCTGTCCTGAATGGAGCAGGACAAGGCAACCAAGGGTCTCGGGGATGGAGGTTGTGCTGGAAAGGTTACCTGCAAGGAGGGCAGAGGGATGAGCATTTGTGAACTTCCTTTCTGCTTACAGACCCTTAGCAGCAAGGAAGGATGGCTTTGTGGCCATAGTTCTCTATGATTTAAATCACTGGTAGCCCACCAAGTAGGTTATGCCATGGTGGAACCAGCCAGCTATCATTATCCATATATACCAATAGAATTTAGGAGAATTGTCCCTGCGGTGTTTGTTTCTTGCTGCCTTAGGTCTCAGATGCAGAAAACATCCTGGGGATTGTTCAGATAGAAAATATCCAAATCCAAGCAGAAGCCTATGATGTTGCTCTGAGCATCACCATTTCCAAAGGTCAGTGGATGCCCCAAAACAAAGCAAACCAGATGCGTTGCATTGCGTGCAACCAAAACACCTGGGAGGGGTTGGGGTAGAATCATAGAACCATTAAGGTTTGAAAAGACCTTTTTAAGGTCATCTAGTAAACCCATCCACCTACCACCAGTATTGCCTACTAACCACGTCCCTCAGTGCCATGTCTCCATGGTTCTCAAACACCTCCAGGACGATGACCTCACCACCTCCTCAGGCACCTTGTTCTAATGCCTGACCACACTTTTAGAGAACTTTTTCCTAGCACGGGCGTGCTAAGCGTGGCCATAAAGCACGTGTCCTTCAAGCTGCGTGGCATGAAGCACTGTCAGGGCAGAGAGAGCCTTGAGCCTCTTATGTCCCAGCTTTGAAATGTGTCATTTCCCATGCAGTTTGATTTGTGTTTGCCGAAATGACAGCAATGTGAAAAAGCAGTTGGCAGCTCCTGAAGGCACAGCAGAGCACGTGGAGTAGTACAAACTGTGCTTGGAAGCAAGGAGATGGAAACTGGGCTCCTTGTCTGCTAAACCCTGCAGATATTCTCTAAGCAAGAGAAAGGACAACAGAGCAGTTAAACTTCCAGGCTGGGAAGGGTGCTGAGGATTTTGTGCCACTTGAGAGCCTCAGATAGGCATCTTGTCACTTGGAGTAGCCCACAGCAACTCAGATATTGACCACCTCTTTCCCCTTATGGGATTTCTGCAGGTATGGATGGCAACGTGGATTTTGGAGTCCTTAGGGTGGAGGATGATGCAAAGCAAATGTTAACCCTAAAGAACAAAGGGAAGTATGAGATTGCATACAGGTGAGCGACTGCTTCGGCCACCTTGTCTGTCCTTACTTTTAGGGTGTGTTCATTTCTCCTTATGAAACTCTTTAAATGAGGGAATGAGAAAGTCAGTGTTGAAGTGAGATTGGAGCACTTTTGTCTGCAGTCTGTGCCAAAATCTGGGGATTCCCCAAGTAGAGATGGACTCTTTCGACTCTTTCCCTCTTTTATTTTATTTTATTTTTTTAAGGTCCTGGCTGTGTTGCTGCTACCCAGTACCTATAACCACAGAGGTCTTTGTCTCTTCTCTTTGTCCCCAGCTTCATGTTGAAAAACGCGGATACTGACATTCCAAACTTGGCATCCCACTTTGCCATCCAGCCACAGAGAGGGGTGCTGCCTGCCTCTGAGCGCCCTGTACACGTCCATCTGGTCTTCCACCCGAAGGCAGAAATAAATATTGAGGACAAACCCATCCTGAAGTGCCAGGTGAGCTGCCCCAGGCAGGTGGGTATCAACCCTGGATGTTAGCAGGATGTGTGTCTCCTGGGAGGAGAGGTTTCGCTGGGAAATCCTCTCTTAGATACATGCAACGTAATCTTTAGAAGGTGTTGGTGGTGCTTCCCAAGCAGAACTGAAAATCTGGCTCTGGAGGAGGCATTGAGACAGGGTTAATAGGCTAAGGATGATGTGGGGTGACAGGAGGAGACATGGGACTCCTCACTGTGTTACCAAACCCTCCTCTGGCTGCAGGTGATTGAGCCCAGCCTCTGTGAAGGAGGGGAGGCCATTGCCATCATCCCAGTGAAGGTGTCTGCCAAGGCCGTGTTCAGCAAGTACAGCATCACCCCAGCCTCATTCATTGATTTCGGGACTGTGGTGAATGGCACCAAGAAAACCTGCAGCTTCATCCTGGAAAACAGAGGCAGCCTTGACTTCAAATTCCAAATCTACAAAGCAGAGCAGGATGCATCTGGGTTAAGAAGGAAAAGGTGGGTGAAGTTCTGCAGTGCCTGTCCTAGTCATGAGAGTGTGGCTGGCTATTCAGAGGGACCCAAAAATGCCTCGGCTGCCCCATGCGCAGGACAGAGTTGGTGGTAGAGCTGATCTACCCATGACCATCACCAGGCCAACGCTTGTGGATCCATCAGGAACATGACTGTAGGAAGGCTTCCCTCCATGAGGAGAAGGTTCTGGCCTTGGAGGATGGTGAGGAGCTCAGCACGATGGATAATTCTGCTTTCTCCTCTCAGTGTCAATCATGGGATGTCCGATGACTCTAATGAGAATGAAAGCATCGACAAAGAGCCCAACTCTGGGAAGGAAAACAGGCAGTCTCTGCAGAAGGACACGAACCCCTTCATGCAGGTGGGTGGCCATGGGTTGGGATACAGTCACGTAGTGGGGCTGCCTCTGAGCCGTGGGTCACCCCTCACTGACTGGAGGCCAGGGGGCGTCACGCTCCTTGCTGGGGACAGCCAAGGCAAGGCTGCGAGTCATCAGCCTCTCTGGGGCTCTGTCTGCAGGCACGCTTGACTCTCGGCATGTTCACGGTGTACCCTGGCTTTGGCTCCATCCCTCCTGGGGGCCAGCAGACCATCACAGTGGATTGCCAGGCAGAGCCAGTGGGGACATGCGAGGAGCATCTATCAATCAATATCTGTGACAGAGACCCCAAGGACAATCCTGTTGGCATCCCCTACACCCTGCTGGCTGAGTCCTGCCTTCCAGGTATACACCACCTACAGGTTGCTATAGCCAAGTCCAACAGTAGGGAGAGGGCAGGAGGAATATGTGGAAGGGCAAGCAGAAAGTAATGTCCTTTAGCACTGATGGTGCCTGGGCTCCCAGGCTGAGTCTTACAGCCTTCTGGGTCCGCATAACCTCAGCAGGAAGGCTTCTCAGTCCTCTTTTCTTCTTGCAGCATTTGTAGTTGATGACATAGGTTCCATCTTTGAGGAGCATCGTATCTGCAGCAACACTAACCTCTGCCAGATCCTGCAGACTGTGCAGGACAAAGGTGTGTTCATCACAGATGAGAATAAGTTCATCTTCACCAACGTTCTGGTTGGGCACCGGGCCTCAGCCCGCTTCAAGATCCGCAATGTGGGCAAAGTCCCCTGTGACGTGGTCCTCTCCATCAAGCCCATCTCCACTAAGGTAAGAAAAGGGTGATTGCTCCTCTTTTAAGGTGGGAGCCTGCCTTGCTTTCTAGATTCATCTTGCCCGCTCTAATCCAGCTCTGTGCAAAGTTACAGGGGAGAGCAGCAGCCCCTGGGTTGTGTTCAGCACATCTCAAGGTTTTGGCTCATTCCTCTGGGTCTGTGGAGGGAGACCTGAACCCTTCTGAATCTCTCTTGGAAACACATAGAAGGGTCTTTTCTACTGGGCCCAATGTGTCTGGGCTCCAAGGAGGCCATTTCATCAGGCTGCTTATTTTTCTTCTCTTTAAATGTCAATTCTAGATTATTTGCAGGGTTTTCCATGCACCTCCTGCTCTCCTGGGCTTTATGGCAGCTCCCTGTCTAAGGCCAGCATTACTTTGGTGTCTTCCCTTGAGACGGAAGCGTCCTGTCCCCTGCTCCCTGATACACGTGTGAATTGGGCTGCACTGCATGGAAGGTTTTATGCCCTAACATCACTCCGTGTGCTTCCCTCCAGCATAACAGCCGCATCAGTGACGTCTTTGAGGTGGATCCCATTCAGATGTGTGTGCCCAGCCGTTCTCACGCCTTTGCTACAGTGACCTTCAGTCCACAAACGATGCAGAGCTACCAGTGCACTTTTGAGGCTTGCCTTGAACTCCAGGCAAGGTAACACACCCTGTGAGATGGTAGGGGGACGTCTGTGATAGCTGCCTCTCCTCTGGGAGGATGCAGACCTGTCGTAGAATCACAGAATGACTCAGGTTGAGAAGGACCTCTTAGATCACCAAGTCCAACCCCAGCCCATCCCCACCATGCCCACTAACCAGCTCCCTAATGCAGAGATGTGCAGAAGACAAAGAGGTTGATGAAGTGGTTTCTGTGCCACATTATTTCCTCCTGGATCCTGTGCTAAGGATGTGGGAGGAGAGGGACAAGGGGGCTGTATAAACACCAGCCAATAACGATTTCTCCTCTGCCCCTCCTGCAGCCCAGTGGCAATTAAAACAGAAAGCCTGACATTTGATATCAGTGGGGAGGGGAACTTGCCTCGGGTGACAGTCCTGCGTCCAGTGCTTCGCAACAAGAGGGGGAACCCTCTGCTCCTCTTCAAGAAACTCTTGCTTGGTGATTCAGAAAAGCTCCCTCTGGTCCTTCAGAACAATGGCATCATACCTGTCCAGGTGAGGGGCTGCTGGGGGAATGCATCAACTACTCTGGAAGCAAGTTCTTGTCCCATGGAGGAGAAAGCATGGCACAGACTTGCTGCTACACTGTGCGTCCCCTCTCCATTCTCTTCCTATCTCATATGTGGAAATGTATGACATCCTACTTACCTTATATTCTATTTGATCACATCTTACCGCAGTTTAATTAAACTTGACTGTAGTTTAATTCCATTCTGCTCATTATTTACTCTTTCTCAGTGAGGGCCCAGCAGCAGCTCAGTGTTGGTCTTTGGGCTGTCCTGCACCCTCACTGTTGTGGCAGTGCTCTGTGTTCCCTTTTCTCAGTTGATGATAGATATGTTGGATGAAGCGAGAGTTTTCTTCCTGAAAGCCAGGCCCACCACCCACTGCATCTATCAGGTTACAGACACAAAGGAGGATTCTACTGGAGAAGGTAAATGCATTAGCCATGAAGTGTGGGCATCCAAACAGGTTGGATAATAGGATAAAATTCTTCTACAAAGAAGCAGTGATGCAGTGGCACAGCTGCCCAGGCAGTGGGGGAGCCACCATCCCTGGGGTGTCCCAGAGCTGTGGGGATGTGGCACTGAGGGATGTGGGCAGTTGGCCTGGTGAGGTGGGGTTGGCTTAGAGATCTGAGAGCTCTTTTTCACCCAGTCTTAATGATTCTGTTATTCTAAACATGTGCCCTGCTCAAGGTTTGCCAAGCAGCAGCTAGATGTTAGGCACTGACTGGAGGAGGTTTGGGAGCCAGGTGTAAACCAGACGTTGAGACACTTAAGGCTGTGTGTGCTGTCATCATAGCCTTGTGAGCATAAGAGGAATATGCAGAGCTATAGGTGGGAGCACCTGTGCTTAGAAACAGCTGGGTTTCAATCACTTCTTCCTATTATATCCCAAGGAAGAATTTCCTCTGAACAGATCTATCACTGTCTCTAATTTCTTTGGTGCAGGGAGAAAGCCCCACACTGCTTCCTGTGTCCTACATCATGGGGAATCGGCAGAGTTTGACGTGCTTTTCAAACCCAACCTGCCCCAGCGTGTGGAAGGACAGATCCACCTGTCTGTGGTGGACAACCCCTATGAGGAGACCAACATCCAGCTGGTGGGTGAGGGCTACGAGGATGATTTCACACTAGATAACATCCACGGACTTGTGGCAGACAGCTTTGAGGAGAATACTGAAAGCAATCTGGAGGAGGACATAATTGAAGGTAAGAGAATTCAGGTGGACATCTCTGGCAGTCTGCATGTGATACACTATGGAGATGAAGGCCATGTTCAAGTATGTGTTCTCTATATAAGCAACCCTGTGCTGTCACCATCAGACCTGATGGTCTGTGAGCACACCTGCCCTCTACATGCTGTAATACGTGCCCACCCGTACCCAGACAGCCACACTTAGGGACTTGTCAGGGTGCATCTCTGAAGGACAGTGGGAGAATGGGGAATTGCATCTCCCAGAGGTAGGAAGGCTTGGAGCAAGGCAAGGAGTCGGGCTGGGTGGACCTCACTACACACTGACATCTCTTGCTCTCCTCCCTAACAGCTGCCAGAGTGGATCACATCCAGTTTGGGGACTGTCACATTGGGAAGCCCTACCAGGTGACCTTCACGATCACCAACCGCAGCCAGGCGGAGGCGATGCGGTTCGAGTGGCTGGCAAGCTCCCCCTTCCACTTCTCACCCCAGGTGAGTGCTGGCAGCTCTGCCTTTCCCACTGCCCAGATAGATTTCTGGGAGCTACCAGTGACTTTCCACCTACTGGTGCTTTTCAGTGCTGGGAGATGCAAACCAGAACTTAGCTGGGGCTCCTTGTTGTACGAGATGGTATCTTTGCATCACAACTCCTTTGCTGATGGTCCTGTCCTGGCCAGTGATTCCATTTGGGTCTTGGCTCCCATTCTCCCTAGGTGGGACACCTCCATGCTGGCTGTGCTAAGGACATCACAGTGACCTTGAAGTCAGATGTTGCAGTCACCTGCCAAGCACAGCCTGTGAAGTGTAAGGTGGCCAGGATCTCCTTCCAGCTGCCAGCAGAGCAGGTCTCTGACTGGGACGACCGCCTGCACACTGTCAAATGGGTGGATGCCACCAGGGGGGAGGCAGCTATGTGGCCAGTCAAGAAGAAGGTAAGAAGCACAGCAGCAAAAGCCAACCCATAAAAACAGGTGCCTAAAAACAGCAGCAAAGCTACCATCTGCTGGCTGAGCAGTTCCTGCTTCCTCCTGAAGCATGAGCAATATATGGTGGTCTTAGAGGAGTCCAAAGAATTACCATCTCCAGAAGCTCTTGTTCAAGCACCAAGTAATATTAGAGCTTTTCAATTTGCTAATGTTACAGTAACTGTAAAATGACTGAAGGAAAATCAAGTCCGAAAAGAATGACACATAGTCAGTAATTCACTATCCCACACCTTTGAGAGTGGAAGAACATAGCTAACCAGGCAGCTTCCAGCCCTCTGAGGAGCTCCTCAGAGAACCAAGCTTGTCATCTCTTCCTCGTGGTTTCCAGCACCATTTGGGGTTTCTGGGGAACGCCTGCCCCAAGCTGAGGCCCTGCTATCAATTAGCTTTCACACCTGATCACAGCATGATATGCTGGTGAGCATGGCTTGGCAACCTTGCCCACAGCAAGGAGCTAGAAGTAGGTAGTCTTTGAAGTCCCTCCAACCCCAGCTGTTCTATGATTCTGTACACTCTTACCTTGAGTGATGGTTCTTCCCTGGTGTCTGAACCATTATAAGACCTCTAAGCTATTTTTTTTTTCTCTGTCAGAGCATCAGCAGCCAGAAATTTCCCTAACGATCTCATTCCCTTCCCAAGATGTCTGTGTGGCTGTTGTCCCACATGTGACTTTTGGAAGGCACTTTCAAGGAAAGGTGGTACTTAGGTTTGTTCACTCTTTGGGTTCTCTGTCCACAGGGCTCCAACAGAGAAGCTTAATCCTAATATAGAAACCTGTCAGATTTATTGGGGGCCAGGACATATGTCAGACATTCTACAGGATTTAAACATGGGGGCTGATAACTGGTCATAGTCCACATGGGCATATTCACACCACAGTGGTGGTGACTGCTTTGAGCAGCATTATGTAGCATTTATCTAAATAAATGGGAACGGTCCTTCCTAGCTCCTGTATGTAGTTGATTTTGGAGTCTCGGGAGCTCTCTGCTCAGTGATTCTTCCTTGTCCTCTTTGGAGGTGATCGAGACAGACCCAGAACCAGCTCACACCATCCTGGAGAACAGCAGCCGCGAAGTGGAACTTCGCCTGAGCGCTGTCATTGATTATGCTGACTTCCAGTTGGATGTGGACACGATTCAGTTCAAGGAGACCTTGCTGTTCCAGACGAGGAGATTCCCGTGAGTGGTGGAGGTGGAGCAGGGACTGCTCCAAAGGCAGCTGCCCATTTGAGATGCGAGGCTGGAATAAACCGCTTGGATTGAATCTCTCAGGCACCACACCTGCACCTTCCTCTTTAACTTCTAAGCTTGTAAATATGTCATCACTGACAGCTTTCATTGGTTGTTACTTTTTTTTTCTCCTTGCTTTTCAGTTTCCAGCTGTCCAATACAGGGAATGTGTCCCTGGAGTACACCTGGATGGCAGACGTGGGGGGTGAGAGAGCAGAGAGCCCAGCTGGGGAGCTGCTCCCATCCAGGCTGGAAGGTACGGAACTGGCTCTGCTGGCAGCTTGGGGTGCCTGGCATCCACTGAATGTGCTCACCTCCCTCCCTGTCTGTCCTGATGTTGGTTCCTTCCCAGCATGCTTGTGCTGAAGCTGATTCATTGGGCTGTGCCATCAGTCGTCTTGGGCACTGGTTATGGAAGTCAGAGAATCATAGCATCATTACGGTTGGAAAAGACCACTGGGAACATCTAGTTCAACCACTGATGCTGTCCTTGAGGGAGATGAGTTTGTCCAACATGACATAGTGCTCAGAAATGTTCCCAGCTGGTGCAGTGCACTGGTTTCTACCATAAGTTGGCACATCTTTGACCTGGGCCAACTCACTCAGTAGTTCCTGGAAATGTATAGGGGTGAACGCTGGCCAGAAGCCATTCCACAGGAGAAGTTTGCCTTTAGCAACTCAGTTCTGGAGATGAAGAGAGTTTGACAGGATTTCCTTCCTGAAAGTAAATGTCCTGCTAAGCTCTTCCTTCCCACAGGGCGTTGCCTTTCCTCCATGCCTGTTGCCTCTGTGAAGCTCCCATTCGGCCGGCTGGGCCATGCCCTAGAGCACACCTCATCCACCCTGAGCTCACCCGCAAGCCTTGGCCATGCCACCCCACTGTTCTCTGTTGAGCCTCCCAGCGGCACCATCCCTGCTGGCCAGGAGCAGCTCTTCCAGATGAAGTTCTCTCCAGTGTATGTGGGGAATTTTAAGAGCTGCATGGTCTGCAGGTAGGAAATGGTGGCTCTTTAACTCATGCTTTGCCTCCAGTGGGGGGTGGGAATGCAGACTTGGGGACAGCTACTCCCATAGGGGCAGCGGGAATAACCAGCATGCAGGAGTGAGTAAAGGTGATTATCTGGCCTTGGTGGAAGCAGGCATGGAGACATTTTATAAAATATTAAGCTCTTCTTGTGTTGTAGCATCTGGAATGGGCGATTCAGAAAGGCTGCCTAGGGGCCAGCGAAAGCTAAATAGCCTTCTTTATCAGACAAGCATGACCTTCCTGTCTACATAGAAACTTGTGTTCTTCTCTAGACACACAGCTGTTCCCACTTCTACCATCTCAGCTCTGCACTTCTGCTGGAATTTCTTGCACTGAGAAAGAACACAACACAAGCAGCTGTCTGGAAGCAATGTTCTCCTAATATCATTCTTTCTAGCATTCCTAACCTGAAACCAAATCAGAAGGGCCCAAAGGTGGTTGTGAAGGGGAAAAGCCAGATGCCACATTGCCACTTTGAACTGGAGGATTCTGACTACATCACTGCAAAGAGGCGCAAACCGGAGCTGCCGGAGCCCAGAGGGGCAGTGCTAGATCTGAAGACCAAAGTAATCGAGTTTGTAGCAACTGGGGTTGGCAGCAGGAACAGCAGGTAGGTGTGGGCATGGCTTCTGTTAATGGCTTCTTGTCACCCTCCTTAAGCAGAGGCATCTCCAGCCCTGTGGCACATCTGTACCATGTCTGTGTCCTGCTGACACGTGCCCACCAGTCTGCTGTGGGGCTGGAACAAGCTGGCAAAGAACAAGTGGCCAGTTTTTCCTTCTCTTTGCCCTTTACTTCAATGAACACAGCTGGTAGTGTGTGCTCAGCTCCTCAGCATGGAGTTGAGCTAAGAGAACCCCATCTAAACCTGTGCTATGGGGCAGTACAACATTGGTCCCTTCCAAGAGCATCTTTGGGACATTCTTGCACCTTTGACATACCAGCCACAACAGACAGTATCATCTTCCAAAGGAGTCTTGTTGGACCTGATTTCACCATTTTTAAGGTTCAAGAGTTTGGCTATATCCTTTCTATAATTTCTTTCTCGTTAGCTGGCATTATTTCCATTATTTCCATCTAGGAGACAAACCGCTTGCAGAAAGCAGATGAAATGTTCATGTTCCCAGCATTGTCCACCTGCATCCAACATCTGGATGATGTCCAGGCTGGCAGTGCTTGGTGCCTGCTGCAGGATAGGATTATTCATGTCCTGCTGCCACCTCAGCAGTCTTTTTCACTTTGTGTGCCCAGGACCTTCAAGGTGATGAACCCAACCAGTTCTGCATACTCCTTCCAGTGGACATGCCAGGACCCTGAAGCCCCACCAGGACAGAGAGCTTTCTTCTGCCTCACAGAGAGAGGGCAGATCCAGCCTGGGAAGAAAGCAGAGGTGGGTGCAGAAAAGGAGGAAGGTTGGCCCAGTAAAACGTATGCCAGTTTGACACCAGCTGTGTCTAAGCTCTGGGTGTCTGATCTCACTGTGAGCTTGCTTTAGGCAAGGTCATGATGAAACTATTGACTGGAGTTGGCAGAAAACCTGTTCTTACACTGCCAACATCTGCCATGCCTTTGGGCTGTAAGTGTCACAGTGGCCTGCCTCTGAGCTGAGAGCTTTCTGGGATTTCTCTATGCTACAGCCTGCACTTCCTTCCCTTACCCCTGCCAAGGGCAGCAACATTCCTTCATTTGCCTCTTTCTCCTTAGATCAAGTTTGAATTCATCCCCCGACATCTGGACATCACCGAGTCCTTCTGGGTCTTTACAATCCCTGAGAAGAGCGTTTCAGTCCTGTTCCTGCTGGTGGGACACAGCACTGAACCACTAGTGACTCTGGACAGGTCCCACCTGAACCTCCTTTTGCTGTTACTTGGTAAGCACATGGTTATGCCTTATACGCTCAGACATACGCTGATCCAGTTCTGTTGTTCGAGCCAAACTCCCAAAAGGAAGCTGGAAATGGGAGCTGGCACTTGTGAGCACGTCAGCCAGCTCCTGGACCTGATTGTAGGAGGAAGAGGGAGGGGAAGGGAAGAAGACAAGGGTACTGGGGGCACAGTGTGTGGCTGAGGCTTCCAGGAGAGGACTTGGGAGTGATGCCAGGAAGACCAGGGGGTGAGAAGCTGGTTTCCATGCTCTCATCCTGAGCATGCCGTGCTGCAAACTTCCACCGCGCTCAGCACATGGGCAGGAGCACACTGTGCCATGGTGGCCATGCTGCCAGGGGAATTAGGGGTTTCCAGAGACTAATCTGTTCCTTTTCCAGGGCACAAAGTACAGCAGACCATCTATATGATCAACAGCGAGAAGGAGGCTTTCGCCTTTGCTTTCAGAGAAAGCTCTCTCTTCTCAGAGGGATGCAGCACCTCGGTGAAAGTAGAGCCCATGGCAGGCTCCATTGCTCCCCTTTCAAGGTAATGAGGCAGTGTGATGGGCTACCAGGCCAGATTCCCTCTCCCACCAGCCAAATGTTGCATGGTCACTTTGCTTTGGAGGCTTTCTCCCCTCTGCAGTCACCAAGTGACACTCAGCAATGGCACATATCTGCCTTGGTTCATTCCCTCCCCTAAGAAGCACCAGAAACCTGCAGGCTTTGCTGTCCAGTGGCTGTTTGGGTTACCCTGGCCTTATGGGCCCCCTTGCCAGCAAAGTTCAGATTTGGATCTTCTGGTTTTGATGGCAGAATCATGTTTTGAGGCTTTAACCATCTGATTTCCCAAGCCAGCAGCTGTCCAGCCAATACCACAGATCCACCAGGGGTGTGCCTACTCACAGCCTGCCCAGGTGCTGCATTAGCTCCAGGCAGCTTTGCCTTGGTTTAAAAGATGCTGAGCTTTGCAACAGAGCACTATGCACAGCTGCTGGCTTCTTCCAAACCTAGGGCCTTGCTGCAGCCACTGCACGCTGTTCTCCCAAGGACCATGCAGTACAGGGCCAAGAAAGCCATCAGAGGGTGAATGGAGACAAAAACGGGTTTTCTCTCCCCAGATTTCCCATTACAATTGCCTTCACACCGACACTAGAAGGAGAGGTGGTCTTCAACCTCAAATGCGATGTCAAGAGGAAGACGGAGCCTCTCTCCCTGAATATCAAGGCCACTGGCTACACCATGAGTGTGTCTGTCAGGTGTGAGAACAGCGATGGTGGTGTAACTGAGCTCAGTGCACAGGAGGTCAACGTCATTGACTTCGAGGAGGTGAGCAGCTCCTCTTGCTCTACATGGTCCTGCAAGACGGTACCTCAACCAGGAGCTTTGCAGATATGTTTGAGCAAGAGGGCAGACGTTTCATAAAGTCACTGAGGTTGGAGAAGACCGCTAAGATCATTGAGACCAACCATCAGCCTCCCCCACCATGCCCACTGCCCACGTCCCTCAGTGCCACATCCCCATGGTTCTTGTACATCTCCAGGGATTGTGACTCCCCCACCTCCCTGGACAGTTCTGCCACTGCATCACTGCTCTTCTGGAGTAGAAATTGTTCCTAATATCCAGCCCAAACCTCCTCTGGGGGCAACTTGAGGCCATTACTGCTCATCTTTTACATGTTCAAGCTGTTCTCTAGAGAGAGGGAGACTGATCTTTCATGGTGGTCATCCATCAGATGGGAAGGATCCAGGAGCATGTGAGGAAGGAGCCCTTGCTGTGTCTGTTGGCATTTTGCAGGCACCAAACCCCCACATCCTTGCCACTTTCTCCCCCCAGGTGCAGCTGAATGAGAGCACCCGGCGCACCTTCAGCATCTACAACAATGGCAAGTTCAGCTTCACCTTCTCATGGGAGCTGAGCGGCCCCACAGCCCGGGTGCAGCTCCTGTCCCTCAGCCCTCGGACAGGCAGTGTGCATGCTGAGGGTAAGGTGGACACCCAGCTGGTTTTTCACCCTCGGAAAATGTGCACATTAAAGGACGTAGAGCTGACACTGCAGGTGAGGCAGCTGTGTGTAATGGGGGGAGTTTGACTTTCCCACATGCCAGCTTGGCAGCAAGAGCTCAGAGCTGGGGGTGAGCTCCAGCTTTGAAGATGCTGAGCAGGACAGAGAGGTTACTGCTGCCAAACTGGAGAGCCTGACAGCTTCTGAACCCATTATCTTAGTGAGTGCTCACCCATGGCCATGACTCTCCAGAAACCATCCCTTCCTCTTTCTGCTGTCCTTTGGCATCGGGCTTTCCTTATTGTCACTGCAGCAGCTGTCCTCACGCTCTTCCTCACCCATCTCTTGTGTTTGTGGCTGCAGTTCCCATCTCTTGAGCTGGCTTAAGCTGTCTTTCTCCCCACCAGATCAGCAAGGGTCCTACGTTTACCTGCGTGTTCCTGGCCACTGTGGTAGTGCCCACTGTCCACTTCTCAACCACAAGACTCAACTTCGGAGCCTGCTTCATCTACCAGGCTGGGATGGCACCTGCACGGCAGACTCTTGCCATCACAAACAAAGCAGACAAAGATGTCAGGTAGGACTTCACATGCTCATTCACTCCTCTCCCATCCTGTGCCAGACCCAGCAGTCTTCATGCCTGAGTTGTTCTGACGATGGGGTTTCACAAAGCATTTCTCTTGGCTGACGGGAGTCTTTGCTTGTATACAATTCTCCTTGGGGTGCCAGTCACACAAGAAACCACTTGAGGCCATTTCCCTCTACTAAGCACGCTATGACCTGCTGCCAAGATAAGCACACCCCAGGATGTAGCCATTGTGCCCTAATAACACTGCAGCCCTGATGTTGTCTCCTGAGCACCACACGCAACACCTCTGCTTCTCTTTGCTGTGCTTTCTGCCAGTTTGAGCTGCTTGTTCACCAACACCATGCACCTGGAGGTGGACTTCCCAGGGTACATCCTTCACCCAGGAGGGACGGTGGAGGTGCCCATCACTTTCTATCCCAGAGAAGCTGCATCTTACCATGAGCTCATTCCTTTTGAAATCAATGGTCTTTGTCAACAGACTGTTGAGGTCCAAGGAAAGGGTGCAGAAATGAAGGTGAGAGGAAATCCAAACCCTAAAACTCTAGCCAGCCAGCACGGCTTTCCTCATCTCTCTTCCCCAGCCTGCCATGATTTGATTTTCCACCTTTCCTTTTGTTTCACCTGTCTCCCTCCTGTCTCAGGTGGACATTGTGGAACCTCAAGGGAAGGTGGTGAAGCTGGGAGCCCTCTCTGTGGGACAGACGGTGAAGAAGATTGTCATCATAGCAAACAATAGTGTTGCCCCTCTCACTTTTAAGCTCTGTTTCATGCCCACTGTACCAGAACTGCAAGAAGATGGGGTAAGGCCACTTCCTTCACTAGAGAACCCTTAGGGGAACCTACAGGAGTACCTGCAGGTACCCATGAGCTGCTTGGGATGGGAGCTGGCATTAATTACAAATGTGTGCTGTCCTCTCGTTTCTTTGCACAGGTTCTTTGCTTGCACCCCAACAGAGAACTAAGTTTGAAGCCCAAAGGAGACACCTGTAAAGTGGAGGTGATCTTCTCCCCAGAGCGCCGCATTCAGCCGTTCACTGAGGAAGTGATGCTGGAGAGCAGCGGGCTGCTGCGCTCCCTGTTCATGGTGCAGGGCTCCTGCCAGGGGATCTGTGTCAGCTTGGACGAGGAGTACCTCAGCTTTGGAGCAGTGGTGCAGCAGAGCTGCACGTCCCAGCGCATCACCATGCAGAACACGGGCGACACTGGAGTCAAGTAATGTAAAACCGTGACTTATCTGAGTGCTGAGAGCTGGGGTGGGGGTTGGATGGTGCTGTAGCTTGCCTAGGTAGTTCCCTTCTGCCTTGTCATATCGTTGGAGAGCTGTGCAGTCAGGTCCTAGCAGTTATCAGGGATATACTCAAAAGCAGTAGGGTGCAAGCTGAGTTCTGCCCAACTTAAAACCTCACCACACCTGAGATCCTATGGAGAAGAGTACAGTAGGTGTGGAAGCAGCATATTGCATTCACAGCCTCCCCATTGCTAATCCTTTCTGTACTTATGCTTTCCTTTGCAAGGTTCAAGTGGGACGTCAAGAGCTTCAAGCCAGATTTCTCCATCAGCCCCACAAAGGGTTACATCTCCCCAGGAATGGATGTCCCCTTCGTGGTGAGCTTCCACCCGTCGAAGCTGAGCCCCACTATCCAGTATGAGGGGCTGCAGTGCTTCATCCAGGGCAGTGAGCCACTCTGCCTTACTCTGGCAGGGTGCTGCATGGAGACCCCTGTCATCAAAGAGGTAACAGCAGCAGTGCTGGGCTCGGGTCCCTCTTATCCCACCACACCTCTTCCAGGGTACAGACTGGGGGCTCCTTACCTGCTCCTCGTTTTCCTTCTCCTTCACCCAGCATGACAAAACTCATTCCTCTTCTTTTTCTATGAACAACCAACAAGATTGACTCCAAAAGCTATGGCACAATTGGACATTTGGCAGATGACTTTTCCTAAAACACTTCTTGCTGTGCTCCAAGGCCTGGTGTAGAGATGGTCTAAGACCCTTTTTCAGACTTCTGCCTCTTCCTTTGATCTCTCTGCAAGTGGGTGAGCAGGTGGCAGCCCTGTGGAAAGAAATCCTCTGTCCAACCAAGCATGATCTGTGCTCCTCCATTACAGACCTTGATTTTTTCATGCCATGTGCGTGAGAAGCACAGCCAGACCATCCTCCTGTCCAACCCAAGCAATGAGCCCTGGGCTGTGAAACCTGTCATTGAGGGTGATCACTGGAAAGGACTTGAATGCATCCATCTTGATGGCAATCAACAAGACAAGCCATACAAGATCACCTACAAGCCCCTAACCATGAGCTCTGAGAAAAAAAAGCATCAGGTATGTGAGCTGAGCCAATATGCTGACCCTCCTGGCACAACCTTCATAGCTAACCCTGCTTTGGGCAGGACGTTAGACAAGATGGTCTCCTCTAAACATGAATTATCCTAAATCCTATGTTGGGCATCTGCCCACTGCCCTGCTCCATCTGGCCTTACAGCAAGCCAGAACTGAAGCCCAGAGCAATAACAAAGGCCAGAGATCTCCTTGGTCAGTTTCCAGGGCACTGAGCAGATCTATACCCTGTTGGGGTTGCATGTGATTGGTATCTCCTTAATGTATGATATTCATATTTAAAGCCTTACATTAAGAGTCCTGCAGTTTTCAGTTCTTCTGGAGACAGAGGAGATGCCACAGAAGGCGTTTGGTGTTGGCTCCTGAGATGAATACTGTGCATGAAAGAGTCAGTAACTGCTCTGGGCTGAGAGCAGGAGAGCTCACAAACCCCATTCCTTGTCTCCAGGGCTCCATCTTCTTCCCATTGCCAGATGGGACAGGCTTGTACTACCTCCTGCAAGGGTCTGCTGAGGACCCAAAGTGCTCAGGGACCATTGTTCGGGAGGTTCCATGCAGGACTCCCTACACTGAGCTCCTCCCCGTCTCCAACTGGCTGAACAAACCGCAGAGGTGAGTTGGGCCCAGGAGGTCTCTTCCCATCAGCAAATCCTGCAGCGGTGCAAGGAGGGACTTTTTGCTGAATGGGAGTCCTTCTGGCAAGCTTTGCACTGCTGTTGGCCACTTTCTGACCATAGATGCCTGTGGTCACACTGCTCACGTTCAGATCCACCCTGGAGCACTTTTCTCTAGGGTACTGGCTCCCTCTGCCCGAGGCAGGGTGGAGGACCAGGGGCTGTGATGTACCCCCAGGTGATGGATACCCTATGGGGTTTCTTCCTTCCTACCCTCACTGCCTCCTCCTCACCCGCAGGTTCCTTGTGGTAATGGAAATACTCAAACCAGAGGACATGGAACATAGTTCTGTGCTGCATGGGCTGGAATACATTGATGTGCCTGGCTCCAGCAAGAAGGACTACAAGCTCACATTCTTCTCCTACAAGGAAGGAGTCTTTAGCACAGTGGTAAATGTAGACACCAGGCTGCAGGGTCCTTCCAGGAGCTGTTTGCTGGCTGAGTAGCCACATGCCTCTTTTCATATCTCCATGTGCCCAGTCTGTAAGGTCCCAGGCAGACACCAGGCACTTCCAGATGCACTCCTTGTGCTGTCAGTCTTGGCAGCCCTTGAGGGTTGCAAAACACGAGCTGGTCAGGTCATAGGTGAGGTGGAAGCATTCTGGAGATTACAAATGGAAATACTTTGCCCCAGTCTTGCACTCCTCCCATGTGGTTGCTTATGGCCATCTGTGAAGTGTGGGTGCTGAGCTGGAGAGCTCTTTGGGCTGGTCTAGTACACCCGGTAGATTTCCGTGTGTAAAATGACCAGAGCTTCCTTTTTTTTCTCTGATTCAGGTGACCTTCCTCAATGAGGTGACCAAGGAATACTTGTTTTACATGATCACCTTCAAGGCCACTGCTTCAGGACCCATTGGCACTGTCGAAGTGAGCGCCGCTGTCCGGCAGAACGTGTCTTCCACCATCAAGGTGGACAACCCTCTTGCTGCCCCAGTGGTGTTTGACGTAGATTGCAAAGTGCCTGACATCACTGTTCCCCCACATTTCACTGTTCCTGCTCATTCAGAGGTAGGTTTAGAGCTCACCCAACGCACACTTTTCAGCCTTTCTGGGAGCAGGTGCTTGTTGAATGTGATGCCCTATGTTGGCCAATATGGGGCTGCTCTTCAAGGGTGACAGCTCCCACTTCTCCCACTTGCTAGTAACTCAAAGGGGAAGGAGTGAATGAGAGTATCTCCAGTAAGAATTGCCCTGTCCTGATGTTCTGTCACGTTGCCTCCTGAGATATGCAAACCCGGTGTCCCACAGGCCATCCTGCAAGTGTGACTGCCTTGCATCTTCTTTCCATGATTGCTCTTCTTTGGGCCAGGTCCCTGTGCAGAGTCAGTTGGGTCTCCCGTGTCCTCACTAGCAGTGTGCTCAGCTGTGTCAAGCTGCCCAGCTTCCCTGAGAACTGCTGGAAACACATTATAAAGACAAAATTTATGACTGTAGTAGCAGTGAAAGAGAAGCATGTTGTATGGAGTAGGGGTTTAATCCTTGTTTCCAAAGAAAGCAGGGATGTGTGTTATCAAATTTGATAATGTGTGAGCAGAGCGAGGGCACAGCTACTAGAGCTTGCTAAAGCAGGGATGATGGGTGAAGGACTGGTATTTGGGCTCCTCTGGGTTCTGTCTAGAGCAGGTTGGGCTCCCGCCCAGCACTGTGAGCGCACTTGGGACTGATTTCCTCCATCCTCTGCCTGACCTTGTGACTTTTGCCTCCATCCTTCCCAGGCCAATCTTGTCTTTGAGTACCAGCCTTTGAAGGTAGGTGAGAGCACTGGGCGCCTGATGCTCCATAGCAGTAATTTGGGCTCATTCTACTACGAGTTGATCCTGAAAGCCACAGTTAGCAAGCCGGAGAAGCCACTGTACTTCTGCACTATGCTGGGCTCTAACCAGACCATCACCACCAAGATCATGAATTACAACCGCCAAAAGACAGAATACATCCTCCAGGTAAGTGTGCTGCGCTCTTGCAAGAGGAAGGGAGCCCAGCTGCACAGAAAGGCTGGGAGGCAGCACCTCTGGATGGTGCCAGCCCTCTCTGTGGATGGATCCTGATCCTTCAGCTTTGCCTGGCATAGCTGGAATGGCCATGGGAGCCTGGTGGGTCTTCCTATCAAAGCTGGACCCGTCCCCATCTGGACTGTCCTCACTCACAGACCCTTTCCACTGCCCTTGCTGGAACTGCTCTTGCAGATCCCATGGTGCCTGGACTTCCATGTTGCTGCCGGAGCTGGGACTTTAGATGTCTCAGGCCTTGGGTGCAGGATTATTCCTGCTGGGAAGATTTAGGCAGTCTCTGTGGAACAACATGGGGAGGGAAATGTGATAGGCAAAAGAAAGCATGGGGAGAAATACTTGAAGGGACTAGTGGGTAGCAACTGGACATGAGGCAGCAGTGTGCCCCTGCAGCCCAGAAAGCCAGCCAAAACCCTGGGCTACATCCAAAGCAGCACAGCCAGAAGGACAGGGAGGGGATGTGTCCCTCTGCTGTGAGACCTCACCTGGAGCACTGTGTCCGGATGGGGAGTGCTCAGTGCAGGAGAGACATGGACCTGTTGGAGTGTATCTGGAGGTGGGCCACAGAAACGACCTATGGGATGGAGCACCTCCCTACAGACACAGGCTGAGAGCTGGGGCTGTGCAACATAAAGAAGGGAAGGCTGCAGAGAGACCTGTGAGCAGCCTTCAGTATCTAAAAGGGCTGTAAGAAAGAAGGGGACAGGCTCTTAGGCAGTTGTGATATGACAAGGGGGAATGGTTTCAAACCAGAAGATGTGCAATTTAGATTGGATATAAGGAAGAAATGGTACAGGCTGAGGAGAGAGGTAGTGGCTGCCCTGTCCCTGTAGACACTCAAGGTCAGGCTGGATGGTGCTCTGAGCACTGATGGAGCTGTGGGTGTCCCTGTTAGCTACAGGAGAGTTGGACTAGATGACTTCAAGGTTCTCTTCCTACTAAAACGATGCAGGGGGAGCCTTGCTTTCTTCCCTGCTGTCCCCTCTGAGCTCTGCTTTTGTGACACTCCTCTGCTTGTCCCTCCTGTCCCGTACAGACTGACTGTGCTGATTTCCAGACGGAGAAGACCATCAGCATGCCTCCCGCCTGCCTGGGGGGCTCGGAGGTGAGCGTGGAGGTGATCTATGAGCCCTGCCAGCTGGGCGAGTCCCGGGCCACCCTGCAGCTCCTGGGCCCTTCAGGCAGGGAATACAGCATCCCGCTCTTCGGCCTCGCCCTGCCCCCCAGGCCGCAGGGCCCCTTCCTCATCAAGGCCGGTGGCAGCACCTCCATCCCCTTCAAGAACATCTTCCCCCAGCCCACAGCCTTCAGGTACAACGTGGAGAACCCAGCCTTCACCGTGAGAGCCACCGAGACCCTGCGCCCCAAGAAGACCATCTTCATGGCTGTCTCCTTCGAGGGCAGCCCGGATGGCACCAAGACCCCCGTCAGCAGCCGGCTGGTGGTCTCCTGCGCCCGAACGGATGGCCTGGGAGCGGGCATCTCCTGGGTGTTCTACCTGCAGGGGCTGCCCCTCGAGAAGTGATGGGGTCGGAGGTGTCTCCCATGGGCACGGCGCCGGCTGAGGGGGCTCGTGGTGCTATGGTGGGGGTCTGTGTCACGGCTTGGAATAAAGGCATGGGCAGAGCAGAGTGCTGTGGATATTGGAGAGGGACTTAGAGGTTCTGGTGGACGAGAAGCTGGACATGAGCCAGCAGTGTGCGCCTGCAGCCCGGAAGGCCAACTGTGTGCTGGGCTGCATTAAAAAGGGGTGGCCAGCAGGGAGCGGGAGGTGATTGTCCCCCTCTGCTCGGCTCTTGCGAGGCCCCATCTGCAGCGCTGCGTCCAGGCCTGGGGCACCCAGCATAGGAAGGACGTGGAGCTCTTGGAGCGGGTCCACAGGAGGGCACTGAGATGTCAGAGGGCTCTTCTGTGCGGAAAGGAATAGGAGCTCCTGTCCGATGAGGAAAGGCTGAGGGAACTGGGCTTGTTTCCCTTGGAGAGGAGAAGGCTCTGGGCAGACCTCACTGTGGCCTTCCAGTACTTGAAGGGAGCGTATAAACAGGAGGGGGAACGGCTGTTTATGAGGGTGGATGGTGACAGGACAAGGGGGAATGGTTTTAAACCGAAACAGGGGAGGTTTAGGTTAGATACTAGGAGGAAGTTTTTCAGCCAGAGGGCGGTGAGGCACTGGAACAGGTTGCCCAAGGAGGCTGTGGATGCCCCATCCCTGCAGGCATTCAAGGCCAGGCTGGATGTGGCTCTGGGCATCCTGGGCTGCTGGTTGGCGACCTGCACACAGCAGGGGGTTGGAACCGGATGAGCATCGCGCTCCTTTGCAACCATTCTGTGATGCAGAGTCTGGGGACGCTCCTCCGCGCCGCGCGGGGGCGCCCTTCGGCGGGGCGTGGTCACGTGAGGCGGGCGGGAGGGTCACGTGATGCGGGCGGGCCGCCGGTGGCGGCGGGGTCGGGCGGTGATGGTGGCGGCGGTGCCATGAACGCGGAGCGGGACCTGGCGCCGCTGGCGCCCAGCGTGGTGCGGGCGCTGAACGACAAGCTGTACGAGAAGAGGAAAGTGGCGGCCCTCGAGATCGAGAAGTGAGAAAACGATGGGGGAAAAAGCCGGGGGAACGGCGGGGGTGAGGGCGCGGGGCTGTGGGGCGGCCGCAGGTCCGAGAGGGAGACGGGGGGAACCGACCTTCAGGGCGTCCGACCCCAGGTGAAGGTGTGTGGGACTTTGCTGGCACTGCCGTGCGTCCTTTCGTTCGTCAGTGCACCTCCCCGCTGCGTCTGAACTCCTGTGCTGTCACTGCGGGCGCCGTGCTGCTCCGTGGCCGTGCGTGGGAAGGACCCGTCTGTCCCCTTCCTGCACTGCTCTGCCGGCATCCCCTGGGGTGCAGCCGGCTGTCCTGACGGGCAGCGGGCTGACGGCGAGCCAGCAGTGTGGTCTTATGGCCGGGAGCGATGCAGTGCGCAGATTGTGGCCAGCAGGGTGAAGGAGGTGCTCCTCCCCTCTTCTCTGCCCCGAGGAGGGCACATCTGGAGCTCTGGGTCCACTTCTGGGCTCCTACGTTCAAGGCAGACAGAGAACTGCTGGAGGAGTCCAGTTAAAGAGATGAGTGGGGCATGGAGCATCTCCTGTGTGAGCAAGGGCTGAGAGCCCCGGGGCTGTTCAGCCTGGAGAGGAGATCTCATCGATGCTTATAAGTCTCTGAAGAGTGAAAGTTGAGCGGATGGGGCCAGGCTCTTTTCAGTGGTGGCCAGCAGCAGAACAAGGGCACAGACTAGAGCACAGGGCTCCTGGGCTCCATCAAAAGAGGGGTGGCCAGCAGGGACAGGGAGGTGATTGTTCCCCTCTACTCTGCTCT